TCCTAGTAATGGCCTGATCAGCACAGCACGTTGAAAGAAAGAAAAATACCCATCATAAGGGAAAGAAATGATGTGAATCAACTATAAGAGATTGTCATAGGTCACCCTAGCATGTTTAAGCCAGATAGGAGAGGAACTGTGGTTTGTACCGTCCCCCTTCGGAGGTCTGAAGTGGGACATGGTTTATGACACATTAGATCCCATAGAGCATCTTAAGAACATAGTCTTATATCCTTTCAATTGAACTTGACAATATATCCTTCTTGCCTAGGTACCTACGTAATGTATCTGAGAGTGTTAAGAATGGTAATTAGAATTGGTATCGCAGTAAGAAGACATATCTTCAACGGAATGATGTGAGAATACTAACTCGATTTTTAATAGTACATGCATTAACGGCTACTCCTTTTCATTGGCAAGGTCAATTGGGTAACCACTACCTATTATATATAATACCACCTATACTAGTTGTCGGACTGTGGTCCCCTTGAATGCACATTAGAAACCACCGAACGTCTCACTAACCAAAAGGTCATCCAGGATTATGAAATCTCCGTAATCTGTGTTATTGATGCTATGCTCGTCAGATTGGCTTGTCATTACAAGCTTTTCGACAATCTCGGCATGTTGCGCTAAGCAGGTCTCGCCAAGGTCCCAGCTTGAATTGTCTCTGACGACGCAATGCTGTTATTAAATCCCATGCAAGTCTAATAGAGCTACTTTGGGAGAGTTTGTTCGGAGACTTTTCGGTTTCGAGCGCACAGCGCAAGAGGATCGAGACCGTTGATGAAAAAGCAAAAGCGCTCATAGGTAGCCAGAAGTCGCGTAATTGTTCTTCTTGGAGTTCTTGGACCAAGAAGACAATATGCTCAGCCGTACTTCGAATATTTATATATTGGTTGGCTAAGTCGTCGCTATTAATCTCATTCTTAGATCCAGCATTTTCCATTCGGATGCGATGAGTTAATAATTTAACGGAAAGATATGCTAATCGGAGGTTAGGCTCGCCGGGAACGTTAAGAAGAACGCCACGGGTTATGGCCTGGCGGACATCGTCTCCTAAGCTCTCTACCCATCTATTAAGGCGAAGCTCCAGACTATCGATCGGTGTATTGGCCTCTTTTCTAACCTGGTAGAGATATTGTAGGTAGTAATCAAGAACATCGGTTAGCTCCGAAAGGGCGACGAAAACAGACATAGCATCATGCTGCCTTTGTAAATCTGCTCGATTAAGTTGATACTCAACCTTCGGTTGGGGAACGTCGTAGAAAGACCTTTGAATATGTGGTGGTGTGCCGCAAGCTAAGCTTAACCTACACATCAATAAGCTCAAACTCGGTGGGTTTTCCGGTTCTATACGTGGGTTTACCATTTATCATGAATCAGTATTGTCCACCATGTATACATTCGAAGCATCTTCTCGGGCTGCGGTATGTCCCAGGAAAGGGGATTATGATTCAAACCAAGCGAGTAGGCAAGAGATACCGCACTCCCGAGTCGAACACTATTACCTACTATGGCAGTTGTTGGTCGGCCTCCAATATTCAATAATATTGCAATGATGGTGTAAATTCCTGGCGAGAGAAAAAGCTCAGACTGGAGGGCTTCACTGGCAAGGTTCCAAATGAAGCGAACGTCTGGAGACCTTTGTTCTGCAAGCTGGGGATCAGATCTCCAATAGACTAGACTGTGCGCGTAGAGAGAGGAAAGGAGGGCTGGAGATAGTCGCTCTTTGGTAGTAGAATATTGCCTTTGGAACGATTCCTCATTTAAAAGGGGGAAGCAGATATTTGCCTTTTGAAAATAACTTTGGTACGCAATCAGTCACTCAGTAATTACTTTTTACCTGGAAAGGGGACTGTGCTCACAGGTTAATTAATTGCTGTGTCCATGGCTCGAGTAACTTTTCAACGACTTGACATTTCGAGTGTGATGGATTCGCATTCATCGCAAGTCCTAGGGGGCGCTTTTGTACCACTATGAAAAAGACTTGTCGGCTAAGATTGCTTCGCTTTGGACGAATCTGATGTGTACTGCAACCGTCGCCGGTGGTAGTAGATAGATAGTCAACCAGGACTTGACTATCTCCAGCCATTGCAGGGCTTATTATATGATTTTCATGTTCTGTTTCTTCAATTGATAGGGAAGTTGATTGGGGCTGAATATTATCATGATGATAATTATAAATAATAGGACTTGCCCTGGGGACGTCATTAATATCCCATGTGGTGTTGACAGTGACGTTGGTTTCATCATCAATAGTGGTCGAATGTTCATTTACCTCATCGCCGTAGCCAGTAACATCCGGAATGGATTGAGGCTGTACTGTGTCTCTTCGAACATGAGTCCTTTGAGCTCCAGTGTAACCCTCAATGGGACTCGCCTGCTTCTTGATCGGAAAGGAGCACTCGGTCCCATGGACCTGACACATTAAGCATGATGCTGAATGGGCCTCGATCTTACAGCGGGACTTCCTTTTCCGACAGGGAAGACAAGCCGGGCGTAAATGAGATCGATAGGGCCTTTCCCGTGTACTCTTCGACTGCATGTGGAGCATATATTTGGCCGCGGAAAATAGTAACTGAGGTCTGGCTCTTTTAACTTGGTGTTATTAGGCCGAGAACTCTTAATAAGTCAATAAGAAAAGGTGGAAGATGCTGGTTAGGTATTCCAGAGATGTGAGAAGAGAGTGACATGTACCCAAATTTTAAGCATGCGTTGTTTCGAACCGCAGTGGCTAATAGCTTAGGTTAGATCGATGAGAAATAAGTAGGCATGATGCATCGCATAATCCAACCCATTGACATCTATTTCTCTAGATGTGGATCTACTGGACCAATAATTTATGCAGCTTTCATTAGCAGAGCTTCCTACTTGTGGAGACTTATTGTGTTGTTATGAGTTTCCCGCGGCAAACCCTGCCCCCCTCGGGAAGAGAATACTGACATCTAAGGGTCTGCAGGCCAGAATTGAATCGAAGCAAGGGAGTAGTAAGGTTCCAGATGTCCCATAATTGTGTAGATATCAGGTATTGCTAATACAACGGCATAGCGCCTGGAGTAGTGGCAAATGCCTGTTCTAGCAACTGAATGCCCTCCTGTATCTGCTCTCTTGTAACAGTGATCGGTGGGGCTATCCTAAAGATTCCACTGAAGCTTCCGTGGCTACTTAGATTGGCCCATACACCGAGATCGTATGCTTTGTCCGCTATAGAACTTGCTAACTCTGGCGCTGGTACCTTTGTCACTCTATCGGTCACGATCTCAACACCAGCCATTAATCCCCTCCCGCGCACATCTCCAATGCACCCGTACCGCTGTTTTAATGCCTCAAGGTTTTCATGCAGAATCTTTCCCATAGCCCTAGAATGCTCGACCAGATGATCACGCAGTACGATTTCCAAGACTTTGTTACCTACCGCGGCAGGTAAGGGATCATTCACCTGTCGGGAATATAAGAAACTGACAAGTTGAACATACAGGGCAGATTACTTACGTGGGTTGTATAGAAGCAGTAGTCTCTTTCAATGCACACCTTCTCAATCTCTGAGCTGGTCACGACGGCGCTTAGCGGAAGACCATTTCCAAGAGTTTTGCTCAGCGTCAATATATCCGGGACTACGTTTTCGTGAAGGATGGCCATCATATCGCCGCAGCGCCCGACGCCGGTTTGTGCTTCGTCGACGATTAAAAGCATACCCCTTTTCTCGCAATGATTCTTTAGAGCCTTTAGGTATCCCGCGGGGAGGACATGTATGCCCGCGGAGGACTGGATGCACTCTACTATGACAGCAGCGAGCGACCCGCAGGACGCTTGATCGATTAGACTCCAGCCATAGCCGAGCTCGGTCTCCCAATCGTATGATCCGTCTGGATGGCGAAATATGGATCGATATGCGTTAGGAGCTGGTAGCATATGCATTCCAGGCATGAGAGGCCCTTGACCTTTTCTTCCGTAATGATACTGAACACTAAGAGCTTGAGCCGTCACTCCATGCCATGAGCCATTCACGGCTACAATTTCAAATTTACCGGTATAAACTTTGGCTAGCTTGATTGCCGCTTCGTTGGACTCGCCCTAGAATATAAGATTAGGATTGGCTTCATAGGGGTAGCTTGGTAAATTTCAAGGGAAGATCTTTGATAGCCGGCGTAGAATATTAATCAAGATCAGTGCTTACTCCGGTAGATAGGAAGAAAGCCTTGTCTAGGCCCGGTGGAAGTAACGAACAGAGTCTCTCGCCTAAGGTTATAACAGGGGGCGAAACCATCCCCGAAAAGAGATGGTCAAGATTTTCTGCGTGGTCGACTATTGTCTTCACAATCTCGGGATGTCCATGGCCCAACAAGCAAGACATCTGGCCAGATGTCCAGTCAAGAACTTTGTGACCTGCTGCCGTATATACATAGAGGCCCTTGGCACCACATATGACATCTTTCATGAACTTAGTTCCATAATTGAATAGATATTGCGACGTTTTCCTCTGAAGCACTGCTTGATCTTCGTTTCTGTAGAGACTTGGTACTATGTCATAGGATTGTGTCATAATGCCAGTGCTCTTGTCAGCGAGCTCACTTTGTCCTGTCTCAGATGCCATAGTTATTTGTTTCATTCAGAAGAGGTGGTATCCCCTCTGAACGTATGCCGATATACTATTGTAAGTCCCCAGAGGAAAAAAAGAAAAAAAATTATAAAAGGTAGCTTTCCAACATTTCCTCCTATGGCGATTATTGAAGCGGCCTGCTTTATAGATAAGCCTAATTGCTGAGGAGGCGAGTGGGTTAATCGGGGAGTTTCCCGCGGACTAGCTACCGGACCCGCGGAGAACCAGTCGGGCGAATACTAGGGGACACATTCAACGACGAGGAGGTTATTGCCAAGCAGTCTCCTAGACCAAAACCTAGTTCCGTAACAGTATATTTTCTTCATTATTTACCATATGTAGTAGTTATTAGTAAAATGCCCTCTACATTAGGTAACTACATGAAACGGAAGTGACTTAATATAAGGTATGTTATTTGCTTGAAAATATTATTTTAAGTTCTAGATTTGTTTAATTTTAATAATTATCCATTTGTTGTTTCGAAGTAATCACACATTTAGAGCCTTGATCCTATATTGCAAGGCAAATTACTTGTACCCATGAGATCGTTAGGTATCCTATTAAAATAATCTCGTTTGAGCCTCTATTAGTACCTAACGTATCTCTTGTGCGACAAAGCCTCCCATTTCCGTCAAATACCACAAAGGGCCTTTTCGGCCTACTAATACGAAAACGATTGGACAGCACTTGTCAAGAAAATCTTTGTTGATTAAACAGGTGATAAGGGAATCGTCAATCCGCAAACTACATTGTTAGTTGCCATCAGTGCTAGGTACCTAATTACCATACTCAGGTCTAATTATTAGTTAACAATATTCGAGAAACAGAAAGAGAATGTCTGACCTGGATTTAGAGTACGTATTTCGTATTTCGTTCCTCGATCTTCGCACCGAGTTTTATTTGGCTGTTGGCTTATACATATACGGTATTTTATGATAGGAAAGGCTAACGTGTATCAAGCGAGGATGTCCAGGATGCGAGGGACCTTTTGACAGAATATTTTGAGAGTGAAAACCCGAGACGATTCAAGTTTGAAAAGGTTATCGGGGTTGGAGCCAACGGTGTAGCATGGCGACTCATATATAAGCCGAGGACTCCCGGCGGGGGGCCAGGCAGGTCACAGCGCCTTGTCATGAAGATGGACCGTGCCCATGCGAGTGGTGGCCTAGGGGAGGACGGAGGCGCCGGTCAAATTTCAAATGAGGGCATGTATCTTTCGGTTCGTTGGAATCTAAAAGCTTGCGGGAGACCAAACTCACATGCTTCTAGATCTTACAGTGGGCTAAGCACATCGTAAAACTCATACAACCACCAAATGACCCTCTTAGTCGACAATTTGAGGGCATCCAGCCCCATGGAATCAGGCAGGGGGAATGGATCTACATCGAGTGGCTAGAAAAGTAAGTAGCTGAAGTTGTCCAGGGCAGCGTTATGTCAATTCCATGCCTTCGCGTTTCTTTGCCGAAATTCTGCATCTAAGATGACATTTTCTTCAGTGGAACGATTGGCTCGTTTCTCGATAGAGCTTATGAGAAAGATCGACAGCTCCCGAATAGGATGTTATGGAGCTTCTTCTTGTGCTGTAAGTCTTAGCGATCTAAGATGGTAACCTGCGGTTATTGCGTCGATCTAGAGGCTAATAATTGGCGTCGCAGTGATCCGTATAGGAATCGCCTTGGCATGGCCACCGGCCGGGCCTGGGAATGACGGCGAGCCGCAAACGGAAACTATCGGACCAGGGCCAGGTAGGAGAATAGTGCACGACGATTTGCATGACGAGAATGGTATATCCCGCCTGGAAAATCCCTGAACTCCAATAGCTGACCAACATCCAGTCATGTTTGGACCTTTCGAACCAGACAGTGATGGTGAACACGACTTGACTCCAATCATAAAGGCGATCGACTTTGGAACTGCGAAAGAATTTCCGGCTGACCGCAGGTAAGTCACCTAGAATAGTCCAAACATTAAGCAAAAACTAACCTAGGTACCTAACGTACAGTGATTTTTCGCACAAGGGAGAGCCTGATAACGTCTTTGATTTCGGAGTGGTGAGTTTTTTGAGCTTCGTATTTCCCTGTTCTTCTAGTTCCCCCTTTATTTCCACGAAGATAACCTAATAAGATTCCAACTAGCTCATGTCCGGGATGGCAACACTTGACCGCAGCAGCGCACTCGGCCTTATGCCGAGAACAGCAGGAGCGGACTACTATTATCCGGGAGGCGGTGAGATGCGAATCCTGGTCGCAGCGACATTTATGATTCCAGATAGAGACCCAAACAATACTCTGGATCCCGAGTTGCGCTATTTGATAATGTCTTGCACCGCAGTCAGACCTGAGGACAGACCATCACTGGCAGACTTGGAGGACCGAGTTTCGCACGTGCTCGAGGAGCGAGACGAGGACTGGTACATATTGCGCAACATGAATGCCAGGGATGAAAGCGACGATAATATTGACGATATTCTTCAAGAGTTACTATTGGATGCTTGAAAGGTGATACTTCTCATATGTATACCAGGTCGTAATACACTACTCAAGCAAGATGTATAGTAATTATTCAATCCTAACCTTCTAACCTAGTTACAACCCTTTCATTACTATTTTTTGAGAGCAAACATAGAACACCGCGCCAACCAAGTTATGACATAATAACAATGTGCTCTCTCTTCCTCATGTAAAAGTCATCAGTCCACTTTGCAATGTGAGACACAACATCTGCTTGGGTCTTCTTAATATCTGGGTTTACCGCATTTTGAACACGGAGGTCGTTACAGTGACGCGAGCCGGGGATCAAAATACTGGGAACATTTGGCGTGGAAGCTAAGGGGCCTCTAGGCCTAAACTCACTGGCGACAGAAGCTGACCTCCATGGATCAAACTCACCGTTCACCCAGAGGAGCCGGGACTCGGCGTCCAAGTATTCAGGTAGCTGCCAGCCTTTGGTATGGGCATTTATGTCTGACGCTGTCTTGCCCAAGGCACTCCCATACGTGAACTCACCCTCCTCGGGAAAAAATAACTCGCACTGACGCTGCCAGTAGTCTGCGTTGGCGAGACGTGAGAATACAGTAGGGCGGTTTACTGGTGCACCACTGGTTTTGAGCGTTAGGTGGTGGGGATTGGCTAACGATCGAGGCAGGGGGTTCTTACGTTTGGTAGTAGAAAAAGGGATCGTTACAAGTCATCCATACCCAAGTACGACCAAACCCATTCCCTTCAGTTTGGTCCGTGAACATTGGGCTGGAGGAATTATAAGTGTCGAAGCACGCGGTGTTATAGTCGCTCTTCCACTCATCATAACCGTAGGAAGCACAATCTACTTGGTTAGATTGCGAACGAGAGTGATAAATCTTGCAAACTTACACCCTGGCAGGTAATGAGCTTGGAACCACTTAGCAAAGTTAGGTAAAGCAACTTTGAGGCCTACTCCACGAGGATTACTACTGTTAAGTGGAGCGGTTGAGTTTGGAGGAAAACCCTCAATGGCATCACACCTATATAGGCTGTGTGAGTTTTTCTGAACATGCAACTATAGAGTTGTTTCCTATATGAATGACTTACATCTGGTAGAATTGGGAGTAACCAGAGGTGAATTGAATGCTCTGCCAAGCCCAGATTGGAGATGATATCGCCCTGGAAATAGTGTTAGAACGACAGTACTAGAGAGAGAAGGATTGTGAGAATACATACGCAGCTACATCATCTGGATGCACGAGATCTTGAAGCCCGAATAGCTGCTTTAAGCCGGCTGTATCTTTTTGAGACCCGTTGGTAAAGACCTTGTCAACATGATCAATAATGGCGGCATAATCTTCTGAGCAGTTCTTGGGCATGCCTTGTTGGATAGGGTAGAAATATTGCCAGTAATCGAAAATCGCCTCGACGGGACCACTACTAGAATGCGTCGCCCAAAAAGTCCCGGGTGCAAGACTTTCGATCCAGGCACCTAAGGCACCCGAGTAGGAACCGCCACTCCAGATCCAAGGGGCATTGGATGCGTTCGATGTGCCATCTGCGTCGAACGGTAGCTTAACAGTTTGGGCAAAATGAACGAAGTCGGCGACTGATTGGTTCAAGTTCAAGAACTGAAGGTTCTTCGTTGTTTGGATTTCATACGGCGTGCTGTTGCCCCAGTATCGATGCTCAACTAAGACAACAGCACCACCAACTTCTTTGGCAATCAGACCGGTGAGAGCTTGGTCAGTCATATACGACATATAACCCGCAGCAGCGACCTCGCCAGGGGTAAATAAGATGACGGGTGACCCCGGGCCTTTCCAGAATGTGGCATTATACCAATAGGTCTGGTTAAACACTCCGAAGTCTGGATTGCTGTGATCGATATATTGCTCAAAATAGGCAATGCCCGTGGCAGACTGCCCGGGATCGGCGAGTGCGGCCAAAATATCTTCACTAACATTGTCAGATGGCGGGTAAGGAATAGGAGGCGTTAAGCCGAGCACGACCGGCAAACAGATGAAGGAGAAGAAATATTGAACCATAAAGCATATCATTGCGGCAGTAATATCGACCAAAGGAGAGGTGGAAGGGAACGCGTCAACGCCAACGGAACCCTGAGGGCAAAAAGAAGACAAGGAAAGGCTGGCGGCTTGGGATGACCATCATGGTGGGTGAGACAGTTATTTATTATTATTTACCTATAGATTACTTATAGACAATAGATAAACGCCTCAATCTGCGGGGAGATAGTGACGGCAAGACATAGGTAACCTTTGGATGATGGTATAGGTAGCTAATAATAGAATTCGTCATTTATTATAGGCGAGGAAAGGGGACGCAATTATCCGTAATTGTCTACATGATACAATATGATGCAGGATTTAGAGTGAAGATTGTGCAATTTAGCTTGCTGATGTATGGAAGTACTGATATTGACGGGTTGATATCGTAGAGTTTAGGTGCCTCTTAGTTAGATCCGATTGGCGGGATTATGTACGGCGTCCGGGGGTAAGAAGGCGGGACTTGAGATAATATTAGCCACATGCGGGAAAGCTCAAGCCACAATAGAGGCTTTAGCTTGTACCAATCAATCAATCAATCAATCAATTATAGAACTTACCTATCGTCCATCACTAATCGTTAATTAATCTACCTAACCTAAGGTACTCGGATTGGATTCCACTCATCAAATTCCAACGTCGGATCCGCGGACCACTTCAAAGCTACTAGCCCAACTTACGTCGCGACATTCTATTTAACCAATTGACTATCTGCGCGTCTGACGTATTTCAAGATGGGTCTCTTGAGCGGCTCGTCCGACGCTCCTCCAAGTACGCATTCCATTCCATTTTCGCATCTGCAACTGCTGACCGGAACCTACAGAAGCTACACGGGAGGAGATGCGAGACGCCAAACTTCCCCTAGCCTACCGAGATAGCTGCGCGAACCTCCTCATTCCCCTCAACAGATGTCGCGTCGACACATACTACCTCCCGTGGAAGTGTAGCGTACGTCGTGTTTCTTCCTTTCCCATGTATGCTCCAGTCAGTGTCCGGCTAGACTAACAACGTTCTCGTTATTTTTGCCGAACAGGATGAGCGACATAGCTACGAGAAATGCCAGTACGACGAGTTCAAGAAGCGCGTAGCGAGGATGGACGAGCTGAGGGAGGCCAAGGGCGGGGCACGAAGCAATTGAAACCGGCCTGCATTTTCATGTAGGTAGGTAGAAAGGGAACAAATGGACTTGTACATATCCTAAAACCCCTCTACTAGTTCTAAGAGGTATATTCGTCATTTACCGAAGAGCTACTATCTTTAAGTTGTGCTTCGGAACCTCTCCGCGTTTCGCTCGTTACTTAGTAATGACACCAAACGCCCGAAATGCCCTTTTGTAATAATGGGGCTACGCTTCTGCGCGACTACCTCATAATATCTCTACGGGCATATAATGCACGTTTCCTTGGTGTTAATCTTGAGACAAGGGTTGTCGCCAACCTCTGTAGAAAGAATCCTAGTTGATATATTTGCTTAAACTGTGGATATTCTCTAGTGTTTCTAGTTATGAATCTTGCTTAAGACTTCGGTCTTCACTACGAACATAATCTTTCATTTTTGGTTGTAGTGTGATTTTATTTTATTTGCTCTAGCTGTTAAACTAAACTGAAGCAATTAGCCTTATAGAAGGGCGTAGAATATGACACCGGTACGCCATTTCTTAGCTACCTAACCTAATATCATCCGTTAAACTAACATCGTGCCTGAACAAAATGAACTAGAATCTCGAGCTTGTCTTTCTCCGAGGTTTAATCGGACTGAAGGTGGAGACCGATACTGAGGGAGAAGTCGACAGAGGTCCCTGCGACGAAGAGATAAATTTCCCCCTTTTTGGTGGTTGAGGTCTGATAGGTGCTGTCACACTTCTCGCGTTGCGGTTTTTGCTATCAATCTTCTTATGTACCCACCCGTTACCCCTCGGTAAACTGTCCGGATCAGGAGAATATGTCCCATCAACCTCGTCGTCAGCATAATTCTCGGTATAGACAGGTTCTGAATCTGAAGACAATTCGACTACCTGCGTTCCAGGAGGAAGTGTGAATTGGGATGACTCTTTGGGTAATTTCCGTTTCTTTATCGGTGGAGGAGAGGTTTTGATTGGTGGAGACTTTGAAAGCGTTTTAACAACGCCATCCTCCGCAACACTGTCGAGACCTCTCCTTTGGCTGTTCCGCTCAAAGCTATCCGGAACTCTTGAGGAGCTTGTTTGATAATCTGACGTGTTATCTAACTTCTGCATTTTTTCTTCATAGTCTTGGTCCTTTTGCGCTTGGGCCTTTTGCGGTCCATTGAAGGGTAGATACTGCGACTGAGATTGAGACTGAGACTTGGATGGACTCTGTGTATTTCGCGAAGTGAGCGCCGTGCACCATATGGTATTAATTGAGGACAATGAACTAGGAGTTGAGGGTTCTGCTGACAATCGTAATTCTGATTCTTGCACCTTTGTCTCTTGTCCGGCAGCCGACTCTTCTTGGAGAAAGGGCGTAGGCGTAGGGGTTGAAACATCCTCATCTGATTCTAGATCCTGTTGGTATTCAGTATCTAGAGCAGTAGAGATGCCGTCATCTGTGATTTTAAGGGAATCTGGCTCTGTAATTTCCACGTGTAAAGTATAATCCAGCTGCCGTCCACTGCGAGCACTACTCACTGACGAAGGGGGGATCATAGCTTTAGACCTCACAACCTTCGGTGTCCCGGTAACAACTTCATCCTCGTGACTGTCAAATAGAGGGGCTGATGAATGTCTAATACTGGGAAGTTCCGATCCTGGAACCTCGATGTCTAGCCTAGTGGATGGACCATCCGAATCGACATCGCGGCTGGAAATATCCTGAACTGGTAGTTGACTAACTTGTATACCTACGGATTGGTTGGTACTCTCGTGTAACTGTTGGGAAGGGCTATTGACCTGCGAAGAATTAGACGCTGACATGCCGCTGTGTTGTTCTGCCTGACCCGATGAAGAAATTTCGACGCAAGTAACGCCGGACGTGTTTTCCTCAATTGATTCTTTTGTGCTAGACCGCTCTCGTTCTAAGCGTGCGTCGACTTTTGCGTCTTCGGCGACGGCTGGCGGTTCACTCGTCGTATCTGAGCTAACTTTAGGGAGGGGGCTAGCTGTACTAGGTTTCTCGTTATGCGCTATGGTAGAAAGCGGCTGTTGAAGAATTCTAGGTTGCTGCATTTCGGCAAAGCCGATAGTCCGAAATCCTTCGTCCTCTCCTTCATCTTCGTCGTCGTCGTCGTCATCGAGATCTGGCGCTTCGAATTTGTCATATATCCGCTGGCCAGTACTCTCGTCATATTTCTTCTGGTTTCGATCAAGATATCGATCCCTCTTAGCAAGACAGACTTCTAAGCCGGTAGCGTCGTCATCGATTCTAACCACTACACCCGTCACGTTAGAAAGCTGCGGCTGCCAGCTGGTCGCCGACGAGCATGACCACTGCTGCCAGGTTATCACCATTCCAACTTGAACTTCCCCGGGACGTAGAGCAGGAAGCGCTAATAAATCCGATGGCAAGGATGGAAGATCATCCATGTCTGTGAACTGGCTCGCATCATTTATAGGTCTGTTGGCCTCGCGGGGTTGGCATGCCTCAGTATCATCATAGTTGAGTTCGACGTCGGCATCATTAGTGTAATCGTCGTCCATACCATTAAATGTATCATCATACATTTCTTCGTTCCACATGTCAGATTCTTCGTGAGTCCGTTTCTTGCTTGAGCGGTTATCTTGGTAGAAATGTCCTTGGTTTCTCTGTGCTCGCTTACTTTGGCCACCACGCTTGTTTTTCTTCTGAGACCATAAGTTTTGCTGTTGAGGATCCCAGCGCTGAACGAATGGAAATGGGGGTTCGCTGAGCTGCACCCCTTCGTAACAGCACTCTACGGCTCGATATATGATTTTGTCTTTCCAGGACTCAAGATCATCCTCCACCGTCGGGCCGTCTTCATTTATTTGCCGCGTACCATCCTTTCCCTGGCTGAGTCTTGGGTTGTCGAGAGGCCGAATATTTCTCATTAACTTTTCCCGTAATTTATCCTCGTCTTCTTTTGTTTTGGGGTTACGAAGACCTAATGCACCGAAAATGAGTCTCCGACCGGCGCCTATATCTACACGGAGCTTCTTTTGAACAGAAGCTGATGAATCCGCGTCTTCGTCTACAGGTGTCATCGCCGATGTGTCCGGCTGGATAACCTGACGGTTAGGTTCGTTGTGCTCATCTAGCTTCCGTTTTGTTGAAGCGAACGTTCTGGATGACTCGTTGAGTCGAGTAGGAAGGCCAATTTCTATTCCGCCACTAGCGATCGCATTTAGCAGCTCCTGACGCTTAGCTTCAAAGAGAGCCTTTTCGTCTATGGCAGACAATCCAGTTTCCTCGCTCGTAGACGTCGCACCCATAATCGTACTCTGTTGCGCTAGCTTTTTAGCCTTGTTTGCGGCTCTTCGGCGAGCATTTCGCTTTTTTGTCCTCTCGTTACCAGCTCCGGGAGGCACTGGCTGAACCTGGGGAACAGCATTTGGTAGTGGTTGTGAAGGCTTAGTTTGCCCGCTTCCGGTGAGCGAAGTTTGGACGTATGCTCTAGCTGTATCGGTGTTATTGAAAGTCTCTTCTACACCTTCGCTTTTTGACGTGGAATTTGATTCAGCTCCGCTAGATTCTCCATCAGAACTTTTATCCGAGGATATGTCACTACTGTCAGAAGTCTCGTTACTACTTCTGATTTGGGTTAGGTTGTTATCATGGCCGAGACCTCTTTGTCGGCCGAGCTTTTGACTATTGGAAGACTGATGCTTCAGGGAGATTTCTTCTGGACCATCATCACTATCATCACCTTCACTGTCCGAATCGCTTGACATATCATCATAGGAACTCTTAGGAGAGCTATCTGCCGGACGCATATTACTATCGTCATCGTCATCATCGCTATTGTCGCTTTCATTGTTACCACGGTCGCTACCATTTGATGACATATCTTCGTCGTCGTTATTGTCTTCATCTTCATCTTCGGAATCACTATCACTTGAGGTTTCAAGATCTTCACTCTCCGAGCTAGAACTTGTAGCGTCGCTCGATGTATCGTCTTCCTCAACTGTCTTTTCGGGGCTAATTTTATGGCCGTTTAACGTCGCAGACGTAGTTTCACTCTCACCGCTCGCCTTATTACTATCAAACGAGGTTGATATTGCAGCCATCTGCGCTAGCCCCTTGCCAGAAGTAATTGATCCAGGTGGAAGGCCTCGATGATCAAACTGTCGTACAAAGGCAGATACTTGCTCTTCGTCATCTTCATCGTACATATCCTTGTCATCGTGGGCGATGTCGTCGACAATATCCTCTTCTGGGTACGTAGTAGGAATATCTTTTGTTGGACTACTTTTTCGTGATTTTCGTGATTTTAATTTTGATGTTGTTCTCGTAGGCATTGTCCCTGCTAGTAATGCGGATTCTGGCAGCTGCGGTACGAAACCACTAGCTAGAATATCGTACGCTGATTTAAGGTCATCGCCGGAGGTCGCCAAAATCTTCTCGCAGATGCTTACTGGCGCCGAGGGGAACGCAGCTTGTAATGCTGATACCTTATTGTAATCTTCCCTAGTTGAACCCTGCGCATCTGAAGGTTCCTTATCCTCCACAATGGCATTATCTTCCGCTAAATCCCGGAGTTCCTGCTCAAGATCATCTTCGTCGCTTTGCATTTCTGAGTTTTGCTGATCACAATCGTCTGATTCAGAACCGTCACTTTCATCCTCTGCCTCTGCTTCATCGTCAAAGTCACCATCTTCTGTTTCGGCACCGATGAAATCGAACTTCGGGCTAAATTTGACGCTCGGAAAGGCTGATTTATCCGCTGAGCGTTCGCCATTAGTAAGAAGTAACATAGGTGTATCTTCGTCGTCGTCTAGGCTATCATCTAGGCTCTCGTGAGGGTGTAAAAGTCTACGGCGCTTCCGCGGAGGTTCGATTGGAGGTCGGCCGGTCGGGACCCTTAAAAGGCGACGCCCGAAAGGGATACCATCGACGAGGTGTCTACCGTCGGAAGAGATCTGATACCGACCGCTGATTCGACGACGCCTGTTGTCGTCTCGATCGAGGGCTCGAATGAAGACCCGATCATCAGGTTTAAGGACGGTCCGCACAGGTTGAAAATGGAGGCATTCGAAATTTGTACCGTCTTGATCGCGCAGCTCGACGACGTAGTCTTCTAACCCTTTCTGGCCGATCTCTAAGGGAAAGGTCTCGTTAACCTTCTCGATGAGCTTTGAGATAGTCGGGTTGTCTTCGAGAGACACATTCCACATGAGTCGTTCTTCCGGAAGGCCATCCCTGCGCACCACCAGGCGTAGGCGCATGTCTTTCTCAGCCATGATTACGTGTGCCCCAGACACTAGAACCGAATACGCAGATAATTAAAGGGTATAATTATAAGGTCATGAAGATGATTTGTGTTATTTATCAATTAATCTTTGGTGTAGAGTAACCGTTGACCCAAAAGGGTGACTTTATTTTGGTGTGGAAAAAGTGGCAGATTTCATTTCTTAGGTAGACCACACAATAATTACACGATGAGAAGTCTCAAACGGAGAGCTACTAAGAAAGCGCGTTGAGCTTTGCAGCTCCAGTAGAATCCGTTTTTCGTTCAATGTTTTTAGGGTCAAGGCGCATAGGCGGTACGGTACGTACTGGAGATATTCGCGGTAGATGAAGATTATGGAGCCTGCTTAAAGGCTAGGTAGCCGGTCTAAAAATTTCAATGGCAAGGATCGTGGGGTACATGGACGGACCCTAGGAGATGCAAACGCCAATAGATTGACAGTCCATTTTAGGTACATGGGTACTTTTCGATAAGATACCTATAGCACCCTACCTAGGTACATATAGAGGTAGGTATGTAGGTAATGTGAAGGTATTGGTATTCAATACATGGAAATGAAGCGCATCTGGTACATTCATAGAACATCAACGCAGGCGCTGTGAATTTGCCCCTTATAAATAACGCAATTAGTCAAACAATAGTTACAATCATGTTGGATGAATGATATGAAATTATGTACCAAATCTCTTAGCGACCTAAACGCGAGCCTAGGTACCTAGGTACTTGATATAATCTTATATAATCTTACTCCTCTTCATGTGTCACATAAAACCAAAAATCTACAATGTCGTTCTATGATTTTTGAAAATACAAGGCTCTCGAGCGTATTTAGAATAAACATATAATGGCGTATGTGCGCATCAAGGCGGTAGGGTACCCATATCCAGCATATGTCCCATCTTCTCGATCTATAGGTGATTTACGCGGTCAGCTGCTGGATATCATATCTTGGACAATTATTTCAAAAAAGGCAAAGGAGAAAATAAACGAGAAAACACACACCTTTGTTTTTAGATAGCCCTCTACTTCTCGACTCCTAAATCCCCCCTTACCCTTCCAGCTTAGCGGCACCATTGCGACGCGCTCAGTTACTCTGACCTCCCTATTCGGTCCTTCGACGGCCCTAATCTTGTCCGGGTTGTTAGTCAGCAACCGAATCTCTTCCTGCCCCAGATCAAGGAGCATGGCTGTTGCCAACCCGTAGCTCCGCGCATCTGCTGGATGCCGTAACAGCAGATTTGCCTCCACCGTATCGGATCCTAAGTCTTGCAAGTTATACGCCTTTAACTTCTCGCCAAGGCCAATACCGCGCCCTTCTTGCCGTAGATAGATGACGATACCGCCGTTGACAGCGGTAGGTAGCGACATAAGTCTCGCCGCCTCGTCTAACTGTTCGCCGCAGTCGCAACGCGCAGACCACGCTGTCTCGCCGGTATAACATTCTGAATGTATCCGAACAAGAGGAGGTCCATCAGGGTGTGGAACTTCCTCTGCCAGGTCATTGTCAGTAGAAGATGAGCCGCCCGCCATGCCGCTTTTCGTCCTTCCTGGGTAAAGGCGACCGGTGTATGCACCCCTCACCATACGGTCCATCTCCGTCTCTCCATCTCTCGGCGCATCCAAAGAGCTGCTTCGTATATGTGGACCAAACACTATTGCAAGATGTTCCTTGTTATCGACATTATTAGTGTATAGATGTAAGAACATTTCGGTTCCGGATACTGTCGGGATACGAGCGCGCACGATGCATTGAACCTCAGGTAGGGTCTCGAGAAGCCTTGGTCGCTTAGTACCGCAACCACCAGATGGGATAGAAGAGTCAACGGGAACGCCAGGAGGCTGTCGTTCAGCTAAGGGCGTAGGCGTCGCATTACCTGGGGTTGCAGGAGGTGTAAAGGCGGGAGAAAGAAGCGAGGGTGGCGGCGGCCGGCTCGCATCGTCGGTCGGCGTAGAAGCTGGATTTGAGGTGGATGGAGGAACTAGAGAGGAGAGGGATAGCTCATCCTGGTCTAAGCTAGGTGCGACAGCGCTGCCTTCGTCTTCCCGAAGCGGCCGTGACCGCGGGGAATAGAAAGACGGGAGATTTGTCGTATCCTCGTGCGTTTGAAGTTCTAGCACACCACGGGGATTCCCCACGGAAGACGAATTGGGGCCTGGCATGCCTTCATAGAAATCAATTCAAGTCTTACGATAGTTTAGAATATGCAAAAACATGCAGCGGAAAGAGGCAAAAGAATGGCGCTGAGGCGCTGACATGAGAACCGGCTAGATTTTGGTGGGGTGTACATAAGATATGTATCAATATGTACGTAATAATATGGCGAATTCGAAGTACGTAAGGTACCTATGTATGGAAGCGGCTGAGAAACCGAGGTATACATAGATACCTAGGTACCTTAAGTACCTAGGTGCATCATTTTCAATGCAGCCAAGATAGGTAACAGGCATATTCCCTGTAATGTACATATGGTATGTACCCAACCTAGGGGGGTACCTGAGGTCCTACATTATATACACAAGGTAACCTACCTATAAAGACATGATGTAAATATCTGGAGTCCTCTCCACCTTCCTGTGGCATAGATGTGCTGTACACCTTGATAATCAATAATTAACTTTTATCGGTTAGGTAGGTACCTATGTGCTTTGTGTACCTGAGGTAGATGGTACATGTAGTCATATATGAGGTAGGTACCTATATTTATAAGTTGCATGTCTAATAGAGCCTCTCGCCTTCCCATGTGCTTGTTTGCTTTAAAGTTCCTTATGTTCTCCTGTCCTTTAACATCATTCGGGAGTTAGCACCTTTCGTCTTCTCAACTTCTAAGTCAACTTAGAAGATTAGTAAAAAACGTATCTATCTCTTCACCGATTTATAAAAGCACTGCAAAACCTTACTGTTTACAGGATGCTGCCACCAAGCCTTGTTAGTACATACCAACAGTACAAGAATGACACCGATTCTATTGCTGGCTGGCTTGCCTCTACGGCAAAGGCTACCGGCTATGTGTCCGACCCCTTAACTCAGCAGCCACCCAAGGGGACAAGTACACGGCTGAAAGGTAAAGCGAGGGCTGAAGCTAAGAAGATGCAAGCTTCCTCAACTAGCAAACCAACAGCAGTCAACAAGTACATTATCAAGATCAAGGACTTCATACCACTTGCAGAGTTTATAGCTTCCAAGCACGACATATCTATCCCAAACTCGCTCACCACTACCCTGCGTCGAGTCATCATTGCCCGTGGAGGGTTTAGTAACCTGCTTGCCGAGAAAGGGGCCATCGCAGATGAGATATCGGAAGTCAACCACGGCTATTTTGTAGGCGTCCTTGAGAAGGTACAAGAGATTCTGAAACTGAAACCGCAAACGAATACCACGTCAACTAGTTCTGCTGGTTCCTCCCCTACAGCTTCCAAGGATAACTCTCGCGCGGGGACTACTGATGATGAGTTGTCCAACAAATTCGCCGGCTTAAAGGTGTATGAGCCCTCGGAAGATTTCCTCAATGCACCTGACATGGAACGACCAAAGGTCCGCGAAGGTGATAATGTAACATACGAAGCAGAGCCACCATCGTCCCTTGAAGATCTCTACGTTGCCGTAACACTATTGATCAACGATATCAACAAGATTCGATCTCGCATCGAATGGATATGGACCAACTATCGAGATGGGTTTTTTGAGCTGGCTGCCTGTGCGGTTACCACTAATACCGCTATTGACCTAGCACGGAAACTCAGTAAGTCGATTATAATCTTGATTCTTCCATATTCCCAATACCTCATCTTATAGGGCGTTTGCAATATTTCCCCAGCACAGTTTGTCATAATTCGATCCAAATCCATTTCCTACTTTTCTGTCCATGCACAGTGCTAACAATTTACCGCAGTGGAAGACGTAATACCGATGTTCCAAGATCATGGTGGGTTATTGGCGGTCTTGAACCAGTTTCACATCGCCCAAGCGATGATGAAAGGGTACGAGCCTTTTAGTCACTCGCCCAGCGGTGCCGATAATTTCAACTACGACACATACGACATTGCGAATGGAACCTACATATTAACCTGCAGAATCATGGATGCGTTCACTAGGGTAGTGCAGCCTCGAGCCATTCCACTGTACAAGGAAGGGATGTTTGGTTACTACGATCCTCGAAGCGCTCGAGATTCCAAGTCGGGCTATCAGAAATTCGAAGAAGATCGAGTGTTACTCATGTCGTTCTTCACAGAGCTCATGGCGGTGGAACGGGGGGTTAGCGACTATCCAGTCGAAGACGAATTTTTGCGTGGAATCAAGGAGCTAGCCAAGACTAAAGAAGTGCCATTTTACCTTGTCTTTGCCGCCCAGATATTTCTTGATATTCACTATATCCTTCGTGGGAACGCAGATCGAGGGTTTGAGACGCTCCAAATGAACCTTCATTTTTTGAATCGAGAAATTGAGGAGCATTTCGAATTCCATAAAGACCTGAAAATTGATAACTGGCCCACCAGTCACAACCAGATGATACGATACCTTCAAGCAAAAATACAGTACATACTAGGAGACCCCATATACAAGGCCAAAACTCAAGCGTACCACGAACTCCGCGAGCCCGTTCCAGCGTCCATGGAGCCCAATAGAATGTTGAAAATGTCACCGGTTCTCAGCGGCCTTTTGCTCTACCATTTTCGCTCATCCACCTGGGAAATCGGTATCAGGCTCGCAGACGCTTGGGGATCCATCACTTACTCACTGCATCTGTATAATGCCCTACAGAGCGAGAAGCTACTACCAAACTGCTGGCCAGATATGGACTTGGTATGGGCGGTACTCGGTGATAAATTCTTCGTTGGAGATACCCCCAAAACTCCAGAAAACTACTTCAAGAAGTTCTCCCTCCAAATGGGCGCAACAGCAGCAGCGTTTACTGGCAAGCGCCGGAAGAACACGGCCTTGACCTCTCGGTCGGGGCCTCGAGGGATCAAAGATGGGATACCAGTTTCGTCTATGTTTATGAATCGGTACCGACATGGAACGGGGCAGGTCGACTGGACGGCTGAGCACATTGCCAAAATCGTCGACCTTAGCCTGTGGGAGACAGAAGGTTTAGAGGAAGAGGGCACTGTGATTCTGGGACAGGTCGATACCAAGAAGCCGAAACGGCAGTCGAAATCAATCAAGGCTAACAAGTTCTCAGAAATGCCGCCAGAACAACTCATCAGAGCCTTAATGTTCGCATTGCAAGGTGAGGCCCTTGAGTTAGCTCTCCCTTACACCGCAATGCACCGTGAATGCTGGTCACTTTTACGAGCCGTACGAAAGCATTGTGATCCCCTGCTTCGACAGATGTTCACCTCAAAGTATATGGAGCGAGAAACAGAACTGCCTTTTGTAGTGGGCTGGATATTCACCGCTCTTTGGGAAGGACAAGATACGAAGCTTCTAGGAGATGCCGGCGTTGCCGTTGCTGAGTTCATACAATCAAATGGTAATACAGTCCTGGACTTGCTAAAAAGTATAGGAGTACCTGTGGTCTTCGGGGGAGAAGAGATAGTATAAGCTGTGGCGAGAACTTCAGCGCACCTCTTTTATTTAAATCGCTATAGTTGTGGACGAAGCCTCAGTACGGTAATTTGATGCGAATGCCTCTTAACACGTCTGTATTGTACGTGATGAATAGCTTCGTCTCAAAAGGAATTATTTTGCACACATGGGTAGTCGAAATGAATGAAACGACTCCTCTACATTCTAGCCTTGATTTATGCATTCTACTGTAGCTTCTCGCCTAGGAGTCTCTTATAATGAACACCTAGGTATTGACTACGAAAGCATACTAGCACCCTATTAATTTTATTTAGATACTATGTAGCAATTGTTGATAGGCATTGCGAACTTATTTTTAAGCAATGCCCCGCTTGTCTTCAGGGGGGCATCAATTCAAAATACGATCTGGCGAGTGAAGAGGAAATGAACACCTATGGCAGCAACCTGTTATGGTGGGCGTTAAGGTTATTTTCCTTTCACTGCTATAGAGAACTTGAACAATATGAGGCAACCCGACTACCTATCTTGTCCCCCTTTTTCATTTAGCCGCTTGTGGGCTGATCATGGTATTCCAAGAAAGTGACGATCTAACAGTACGGTATACAGTCATTATTATTGTTCCATTCCACAATATCTTTGCTAATATGTCTTTATTTGGTTCCCGTTTTCGTTTCCTTACATCTTTGTCTAATTTTTCGTCGTGAACAGATGAGTAAGAAATGCTGTATATTTAGGTCGACTCGTCGAGTCTGCGAGCATATCTGAATTACAATTCCATCATTATGTTCTATTAGATCTTCCAATCTCCTGGCCTTCCTGTATAGTATGATATATAGCTATTAGTATGTGTGGCATTAGCTGTGCCTTCACTTTTATAAGTAGGCGTCAGCTTTGCTCCGTCTGAAATGACAAGGTCTCCCAGTACTCGTCTGAAAAGCTCTAGAGCGGCCTTTGGCTGATAGTACGGCACTTCATGCCCTGCGTCATAGACCCGCGTGAAGCTGAAGTTACCGTACTGCCTACTTTCCCCATATTCAACGCCATCAACTACAAATGGGGCGTAGCCGGCTTCTTTGAACTCCTTCTTGTGGGTGTAGTTTACTGCCAACGATACGGCTTCCCCGCCCATCCAATTGCATATATAATCCTAGTAAACAATGATCAGCATCGTCTTTATAAAACTACACTCCGTGTAGAAAGGGCACACGCGGGTGTAGTGAGATGATAGGGGTCTTACAGCATCGCCGTATATCATTGCGATACGTACATCGTATGCTAGAAGAGCCTCGAGGTCCTCCAATAGATTTGGATATACAAAGTCGCCGGTATAATCGAAGCCTGTGTATACTTGGTTGCTGCTAGTAGATGTGTAATTGATATCGACACCAATGGCATTCTGGACTTTCGGGGTATTAAGGTAGTCGGCCCAGTATCCAGGTGGGATATTTGCATCGCTCTCGGCGCGGATATCATAAGGATTTCGCCCGCTGACCACGCTGCTTGCCGTTAGAGTTCTTGTTAGCCTTAAAGGAGAAACAATAAATATTATACTCACTAATACGGTGATTCAACCAAGCCCCTGCAAATGGCCGTTGCCTGTGAGCAGGTAGCCATGCCATCTGGTGTAGAGCGGTCTTGTTGGAAGCATAAGTCGATTGAATCGCGGCAGCCACCAGGGAAATAGTAATTCATCTTCATATAGTCATATATGGATTGGTTCACGGCCTCAATCCCATATGTATTCTTAAACGCCATTTCGGCGTAATATGGTGTTTGGATCCTCTCCGATATAATACCATTTATGATGCCGAGCGTATGCATGGTGAGTTCAACACCGGGGATACTCCCATCCTGAATCAACTTGTTCTGGTCATAGAAATACTTGAAAAAGGCTGGACCGTAATGGCCACCATAGCTCTCCGTCCAGAGGTTGAAACTGCGAGACTTGACGGTCTCGTCTAGGACTGGCAGGTTCTGGATAAACGCCTGTAAAACTTCCCAGGTGCCCTTCGCAGCAAGATCGGTAGTGTCGAACCGGTATGGGTCAACATCGCTATACCGGCCATCGGGATTGGATGAGTTCACAGGCACTCCCGTGGTTTGATTCACAACACCTACAACCGCATCGGCGTACGAAAAACCGACCCCAATAGGCTGGGAGAGGAAGAGAAGATTGCTCACTTCGTTCCAAGCATATGGATTCACGACCGAGGTGCCATTATGAGTGACATTGCACGGTCCGAGTTCTATTTAATATTATGTAGCAGTTAGCGTATCGGCTTCCAGCTAAGTTTAGATATTCATTTGAGAAAAGTACCCTCAAAAAGCCCAATCAGCGAATCGCTACCAGGTCCACCGTTAAGCCACAGCGTCAGAGGCGCTTCATCGGGATTTGACCTGGCTTCGAAAAACCAGAAGAACATGTGTGTATTCTCATCGAGGTCGACATAGCCTGAATATGAATTGACTCCAGGAGTCGTCTCGCATACGCCCTCGAGTTCTGGTTCCTTGTAACGGATTGTGACTCCTCCCGGGGATTTGATGGTTGTGACGTTGGAAGGCTCAGCAGGTACTTGTTTTTTAATCAACTTCTCAATATAATTCGGCAGCGAGCTTGCTGATGTGAGGGAGGTATAGAGAGAAAAGAGCTGCAGAGCTGCCGTAGCAGTTCGCCGCCCGATAAAGTGCATGGTTTTCCCTGGTCTTTGATGAACTCGAGGGGAGAAACGAGGGCGAGCGAGGAAAGAAAAACAAGAGAACTCACAGGAATGGAAGACGATGGTTCAGCTCACCGGCTTTATACTGAGTCCATATTTTATACCCGACTGCCCCACTCGTCTTTTCTTTTTTTGTTTACATACCTGGGTAGTGATAATACGTATGAGCACCTAACCTAAGCATTTGCTATCTATGTACCTAGGTACATACCTATTAATACAACAATTATTCTGTAAGGTGACGTGCTTGAATACCTAGCTAGGTATACTATATATTGCATATACCTATGTAAGCAGGGTTGTTTAGTTTAATCTTTACCGATGTTGATCAACTACCGGTTTAAAATATAACGCTTTTTGAACTAGATGTAACTTTGCCTACGACTGCGTGCAGAAATATTGGGGGCCGTAGGTCAATGCTGAATTTGAATGGGAAGGTGAGCTGTTAAGTACCTAGGTTAGGTACCTATGTAGGTTAACCTATTGTACAAGGATTCCGCGGGGTAAGCGCTATCATATCAAGGTATGTACCTGATTAGGAACTACATGTATGTCGTATCGGATACGGTTCCTGCTTAAGTTGCTTTCCTTTCTAAGTGGGGGTGTTCTAAGTTTGCGTAGAGCAAGTTATCATTTCGGCATTTCGGGAGGTTGCTGAAATGCTTGCACTTAGATTAGTTGCAGGGGAGCATGCATTCCGTTTCTAGGCTAACCTACCACCTTTTACTCATTGCTACCAAAGCAGTGTGCGTTCTCATCTATTAGGTACCACATAAGTGTCACCTTGAAGCACTTGTATCTGGCAACCATATCTTAGGAACGTATATCTTAAGAACGGATATACCCAGAACAACACCCATAGAAAAATGCTCGCTTTGAAATGATATAGCTCAATCGATATTCTAGATTTATAATCAAAGACGTAGAACAATTAATCCATCCCAGGCTCCCGCCACCACCGGTTTCGATAACACACGACATGCGGTGCAAGTCCTTCAAGCCGACTAATCCATTCAGGCAAGATGTTGCCATATATTTGGATGAGGCGAAGTTCCTTCAGAGTTTCTATCGTGTTGAAGAACTCGTCCTCCTTCTTCGCGTTCACGCGACCAGTCCACCCTACGGAGCCGACAGGCCTAGGCGCCCAATCAATCACCAAGGCTTTGAGGTTTTTGGTACGCTCAATAACCTCTCCAAAAAAAGACAACCAACTATTCCAGTTGGGGTGCTCTGTTGCCGTAAGCAGCCAGAGCTTTTCTAGCCGGTCGAACCGAAGTTTCCCACGGACAGCGAAGCCGATTCGCCGGTCATTCCACCCGGAAACCTGAACGCGCAAGATAGCTTGTCTGTGAACTATGGGAGAAAGATCGCGATACATATTCTTTGAGGCCAGCATTAAGCTAGGTAACGGCCGGAAGTATGCCGTGTCACCCATATATACAAGATGGGGACGTAGTGTATCCTCAAAATCTTCGTGGTCAAAGGTGAGATAGAAGTCGATAATGCGATCAAGCACTTCTCGTGGGAGGGATAATAACGGTGAGTAACCTTGCATCGTACCTAATTTAATAAGTATGAGTACTAGAGTCTATGATAGCGTCTATAGTATCTTGAAAAGATAAAATATTGTAAGAAGACGTGAACTAAACAAATTTCCATGTCAAATCGAGGTTTCTTAGCTAGGTAGGTAGCTACCTTAGGCAGAAGTTGATGTTGCCAAGTTGCCAAGGCGAGATGCGGGGTGTAGGGCTGTGAAGTAGTGTACGAATTACAGATTACATCCGCTGCCAAGCTCTGCAATGCCTACAATAGGTAAATCGGATTTGAAAGATTACAGGGATTGTTATGTATGTACTGAGCAGTTTGTCTCTATTTTCTATTTCGGCTTTGTAATACTAGCCCCTTTCTCTCCCTATTTTATGTGTTCCTGAGTCTTGAAAGTCGCGTTTGATACCATTCAAATTAAAAAAAAAATGCCACCGGATCGGAATACTAGAGTAAGCTGCGATCCTCCTCCAGAAGGGCAGCACCGTACCTGTTCTACCAATAGTAATACGGGCTTAGTTTGGGTATCTGACTTAGACACCTCGCGGAAGCTGCTTAGATCTCATATCGCAAAACGTACCCACGCAATTGTTAGGAGAAAAGGGGTTCTTGAGTATCAGCAACAAAAAGAAACTCCAAATAGTGTTCCTGGAAGATCTACTACGCCTCTCAATGGTGGTATGACTAGCGAAGAGTATCATCGTAACCAGGCCTTCCCAGTGTTCTACACTCCATATGACAACCGAGCACATGATTATCATATACCCCATTGGATAACAACACATACGCCCTCGCCACGCGGAGATTCATTTAACCATTCTCCAGTTCCATTATCGTCGTTTGAAAACTCGCTTATGAGCCACTGTTAGTACTACCAGTCAATTACCCCTATTACCCCTATCCTAATATTCAAAAGGTACATCAATATTATACCAAGGTACTTATAATAACCCTTTTAGATATTTCTACAATAGTGAATGGCTACAGTAGCAGCCCCTACTCTTCATACCAACATGCGGCTATGAATGATTGGCTCCCGGTAGCCATCGCAGATCCTGGCATGCGGATGGGTCTCTTCCTTTGCGCGTCCCGTAGCTTATACGCTCGTACGGGTGCATGGCTATATTTTCAATATGATCTACAGTATAAGGCTGTCCGTTTAAGGATTCTCAGCAATGCTATCAGGACAGCACTTGAAACGACCGAAACCGAGTCTATATCCGCAGCAGGAGATGTCAATATCTCTACTGCGCTTCAGCTAGCTTCAGATGAAGTAAGTAACTGTTATCATCATCATGAATCCTAGTTCTCTGTACTTGCTTCTAAAGGGTTTTTAGGAGGGAGGGAGCCGGGGGGTTTGTCTTCAACACTCTGTATCTTAAGCTGACCATTTTATTCAGTCTGCAGCAGGGGATGCTGCCGCGTTAAAACGCCATATTAGTGCTGTGAGCCAGATGGTCTCGTTGAATGGAGGTTTAGAAAATATTAAAGGAATGAATGGATTCTTGAAAGTGATGATAAACATTCTAGTTTGTAAACATCGACGAATGATTGAATCAACTGGCTTCGACAATCAAGATCGCTCCAGGTTATACACTCTAGATTATTTCTTTAGTTATCTGATTTAATATAACAACATAAAAATAAAACATCCTCTATGAGAGTCTAGGGTGGAGCTATTCGAGCGTATATGTGAAGACGTTTGATTGTAAAATAGAACCGGATAACTCAGGCACCCGCGAGTTAGAAGGCCGTTGTGGCGGTACAGGCGCTTATTTGATGCAGGGGGGGCATCAATTTCATGTCGCTCACATTTCTATCACAATTGCTGCTTTTCACCTTAGGTCTATTTTATTTTGTTTCATTTCACTCAAGCTCAGATTGATGAGATTCTACGATGACAAAACTCCTTGCCAAATTTAAGCGCACTGCATTGTCGCCCCTATTTGACCGATCCTCATCGAGTCAAGCATTAAATGTAGAACTCCCAACTCCGGCCCGTGTAACAAGCTACAATGGCTTAGAGAAACTTCCACCGGAAATACGACGCCAAATACTATCTACTCTGGATTTGCAGAGCCTAAACTTCTTGGTGCATTCATCTGCTATTTTTCACGAGCAGTATCTTGAGGATCGACGGTATCTACTCTGTTCGTCGTTGGAAACGACACTAGGCATCGTTACCTCCGATGCTTGTGCTGCCTTTCAGTCTGGATCTCCCGACTTCTCATACACACGCGAAAATGTTATGAATTTATTAGGGTCCTTGCGAGTTAATAAAAAACCTCTGCACGAGAGACTCAGAGAACACGAAGCAGTAGAAATGGCCGCTTTCCATTTATCTATAATATCGCCTCTCCTCCAATACTACACTAGCTGGGCCCTGGCCAACCTCGCCACCCAGTCGGGAAACATACCTAGAAGTACAACTCCCAGCCGAGTTGAGGAAAGGCGGCTGCTGCGTTTCTTCTACCGTTTCCAACTTTGTTGTAATCTATTCCGGAAAGGCGGCCAGAAGCAATGTACAAAACAGAACCTGGGATTCCGCCCCGTCGAAATTCTTCAGCTGTTTTCCTGCCTATTCGAGCCATGGGAAGTTGAGGAAATATCGTGCATTAATACTTTCGCTCAGGATAAGTATGACCAGATATTTCAAGAGATTTCCTGGGACGTGAATAAAAAAAACCCAAAATTCGACGGTCAACGCCCACCTACGCCCGAAGGGGCCTTTGATTTTGAAAATAGTTGTATGTTTTCTTTGTCCATAAAGCGCCCGCAACTCTGCGGCAAGTATAATCGGTTCAATTACTAACATAACCAGGGGCTAGGAAGCGGCTGCTAACTGGAACTGTGTCTCTTGGCCTTGAATTGCTACACAAGGTAACTAGTCCAGACGATGCAAGAGTATATCACTTGGCCCTTAGGAAATTTCATCGCAAAGGAAGCTTTGGGAGAGACGGCGCAATGGGAGCGGCGCCAGGAAGCCCTCTCTAAAAGAGATGAGAAGCAAAACCGACGCGACCCACTACCCTTCAATGGAGATGAAGAATCGTGTCCGCCGCTGGCTTGGACGTTAATATGGGGTGGCACCTATAGTAACTTATATGGATACTACGTGCAGGATACCATTCGTCGGTTCGGATACGTTTTTTTTTTTGACGCCATAACGATCGAGTCGTTAGGCGCTAAAGATATCTTACTTCGAGAGTGGAAGAAGGATTGGGGTGATAGCGATCCACGAAATGATATTTAAAGACTATTTAGGTCGCGTTATTGATAAAGCACACATCACATAAAAAATTCAATCAATACCCATCACACTCGTCTACCTCCTGGTCCTTTTCGAAAGGTCTAGCTTGACTAGCGATGACTTGACTCTTGTGTCCATGTCTGTTCCCAGATGTTCAAGGGCAAATCTTAACAATGCGCCTTGCTCGCATGCCTCATCAAAACATAAAGGATCAACAACACCCAGTAACTGACGATAGAACTCGTATAGGACGAGTCGCTCTCTTGTATCGACATGCGGGGAAATTCCGTAGGACTTTGCTGCATCCTTCAGCTCTGGCATTGAGTCAATGGCGTTGAGTTTGCCAATTGCTATGTACTGCAACAGCCTCCAAATATGTGCACGTCTCTCCGGTTTAGACGAGAGGAACTTTCTGAAAAAGGGCCAACTATCGATTTGACTGCTATATCCATACTTATCAAAGACAGAAGGCAATGTGTAGGAACTCCAGGCCCTATAAAACTCGTCAAAAGAGCATATTGGTGGATCAGGAGGGCCATCGTATGGGATTCCAAGGCTTCTACAGTAAGCCCTTCTGGGCTTGTGCCCACACAATAACAAAGAATATAACCCCCCGAGACTACCCTCGGCGTGTTGAATCCCTTTGGGAGTTAGGTCGCGACCGATACATGTAGCGAATCCGAAGTCATACCAGAGGTCAAAAGCATGTTCTATGGGCGACGGGTTGGAATTTTCAAGTGTTAAGGCAAAGAAAATAAAACATCGTCGCTTATCAAACGGCTCCAGCTGTTCCACGGTCTTTCCGCTATCTTGACCCTTGAGATATTGCCTCGCTTCTTCAAACACCCTTTCTAGGTAAGATTGAGGAGATTCTTGGCTCGGCTCGGCAATCTTGTCTTGGCTTAGCAGGTGGGTGTTGCGAAGAAGCCACGGGAAATACTTCCCACGCGATATCTCTGGTATCTCGTTATACACCTGCACGATCTGATCTAGGAGGACCCCGTTCTTCCTCCAGACATCAACGGTCTCGCTAGGAATCTCTAGATGATTGAACAACCCGATATAAACGCCAAGAAGATGCGATTGCTCGTCCCAAGTCTTGCAGCGGCTAAATCCAAAGTCTTCTAATACTCCAGGATCATCTGGCATCTCATCTGAAAGGCAGTTTCGACATAAAAAATCCGCTGTGGTGAGTGGCCGCAAATTGCAATAGAAGATATGATGAATTCCCATTTGGCTCTGGCAATGCTCACTACAATACCAATCTCTGCCGCAGAGAGTACAGTGCCGTGATGTTATTGTGTCGCATGTCTTGCATTCGCCCTCAGTCTCGCGTTCTACTGGAAGCCGGGATCGAGAAGGAGTCTCATCAAGAGTGTCCTCATTTTGCGGGGAGACCGGCCTAAACGAACCAAACTTGTTAAATATTAAACCAACTCATATTATCAGAACTCCATTCTTACCTTATTATAGGTGCTCTCAACATAGAATGCTCTCTATTCGTTTGCAGATGATTCCTTATCAATGTCGCCAAGTGTTGGTCCTCGGTATGCGGTATAACAGTTGCAATCGAGGAACCTCCGATGGTCGACTCTTTTACATGAGGTCTAGGCTTCGTATCATGCCGAAGGGACTTCGCGACTTGGCTCTGTAACTTCTTGACTACCTCAGAGATCAGTTCAAGAGAGCCTTCGCAAAGTCCATCAAGCTCAGGTATAGTCCACAACTCATACACTTTTCCGTGACAACCCCGGCAAGCAAATCCGACCATTGAAAGGAACCTGTAACAGAGCAGACAGGACCTTTTACTGCAACCGACGTATTTGAACGCATGATCTAGCTGCGCATCCCTCTTAGATAAGTCTAACACAAGCTGGACTTCGGCGTGTACGTTATTCTCAGTCGCCTTGAGCTTACTGAATCTATTTACCAGTTTGTCTCTGGTCCACTTTGATGGCTCATCCTTCCCTGAGTTCATTAAGACGCTCGTCTCCGCGTCGTTAAACTTCAGACCGAGTGACTTGAAAACTTGACCAACAGTCCAGGAGGGAACCACAGGTTGTTTCTTGGTGAGCGGTGCCTTTTTTACGAGGGATGTGAACTCAACCCATCGTACACGCAACTTGTCAAACCCTTCAATCCTTTCGATGGCTCGAACAAAAGTTAGAAAGGCTACGTGAGGTCGACTCAATAGATAAACCAAATCGCCAATTTGCCGGCCGACTGATAGCTTCTCTGGTTGAATCTTCTCAAAAATGGAGATGTTATGGAGGGCTCGTATGTGATATGCCTCGAGAACAATCTTACTTAGGTCGTGTGGCACTTGGTTCAAGACTAGTGATAGTGCCTCGATCTGCACTGCAAGGCTTCTAGTGATATCCGAACCAGACTGCTTCATGTGGATCCGACCTTGGTTCAAAGATTTTTGCAAATCTAATATATATCCCTTTACTCTCGGCGTGTATTGAGTTAGTATCAACTCCCACAACTCGGCTGTGTCTCGAGGCGAAACTATATGCTCTGATAAGTATCAGGGTAAAGCTAAACCCCCTGAAAGGAAACATACTTGGGCAGCCCACCATGCGCCCTAAGATCTTCTCTAAGGCTATTATAAAGTCCTTATCCGTTTGCTTTAACCCAGAGTTCTTAGCGACGGTGACCTCGGGGACTCCCAAGTTCTCTGTCATCAATGCAGCAGCTACTTGATAGCCACCTTTTGTATGTGACAGAATCTCAGATAATCGGTCAAGAAATGCGCGCTTAAGCTTATCATCGTCGAAGTTAGTTAACGGTTGTCCTGTAATGGAATCGTCATCTTCCGGTAGCTCTGTCATATCGGGGCCTGCTTTACAGGCGTCGGATGTAATAGCATCATCAGCCTGTCCTCCATTGCGAAGGCTCAATATCTTGGTGTACGCCTCGAATCGAGACTTATTTAGGCCATCTAGCCCCCAATGGAATGAATGGCTCATTGTTTGGGTAAATATTGAATGTAACTGGGAGGACCAAAGATAATTGTGCCAGCAGCGCTTGATCAAGGCGGGGAAATCATGGTTATATTTACGGTGAGAAGCGGTAGGCTACATTCCGCTGCATATGTGGCCAATATGATCTATCATTAGCTGGGGGGGTTGCATACCTTACCTTCGGTGTCTAACGTAACAAATCATGCGACCAAACGGTAACAAATAACAAACATTAGCATCTCTTCAAGATCTTGTATTTCTTAGCCCCTATAGCAGATTCAGAGCCCTTTTTTCCGCCACGTTTAACTAAAATTTATTAAAACTTACCACTTGCTGACCTCACTCGAGTAATCTGTTCATATTATTAACAGTATGAAGATAAAGTGGACAGTCTTTATATCTAATAAATACCGTAGTCCGTCGTCGGCAAGGTCTTCATATACTATTTGAACCTTGAAAGTCGCTAACAGCTCACGGAAGCAGCAATAAGGTCTACCAGGGACACTATTTACGTTTCTATATCCGAACAATCACTATCATTTGATCAGTTAGTCCAGTGGCAATTTTAAAACAGCCATGAAAATAAACATGGAACATAGAGAGCTATATTACGAAGTAAGCTAAGTATTCCATATGGTAACTACGTGTTAGTTAAACTAAATTTGAAAGCTTTGATGTCTTGGGTAGGTGGCATTTCATTTTCTACCCAACATCCGAAGAACCACTGCTCCGATAACATACCTACCTACCTACCTGCCTTAACAAAGTACCTAACCTAGTATATGTGGTCAACAACGAAGTAACCCTTTTTTCCTATTATAATCCTAACAATAGATATTTTTCTAGCAATATGCGGCTATGTTGTAGTGCCCTTTTTATTAGAACTCTGTATATTGCTCGTCTTTCCCCCTATTTGTTAGTTAATACAAACTTCGTATCTAGCTTCTTAGCTTGAGCATGCAATATGCATTTTCGTAAATATTATATCTTCCTGTTTCCAGATCATCCGGTAGATGTTTTTATGTTCCTTGTTCCGGATCTGGGTTATCTTTGTGCCTTTTTGACCAGGCGTCGTGGCCATATCCTACCATCTTCGTGTCATGTTGCAACCGAACTTCCAATCCCACACGAGTATAAAGATCGATATATGCTAAGTTGTGACAGTCTCTCAAACACCTATTTTCACGAGTAAGGACTTTATATCTTCTTCGTTTGAGTGCACGTTCTTTCTCTTCGTCAGCTTTACCTATGTGGTGCATAATCTGACACCCCTATTAACGACATTTATATCGTGAGAAGCGAGTACGGGGATTTATGCAAATATGGTTGAACATATAGGGAATAATTTTATTAAATCGAGTAAGAGGGTCTTGAAAGCGGGTTGAGTTATCTGAACACAGAAGCTCGTTTTATGCGAAAAGATTTCTGTTAGTGAGGTTATCCATTATTATCTACTGCTAACGGTGTTTGTTCGTCATCATAATCTTTATTTGATAAGCTAATTGTTATATCTGCTATTCTCTCATTAACCGTGGTTCGTATCACCCGAACCAACAATCATTGCTATATTAAAACACAGCTATTAGTTTCTGCCTCAGCTCGTGCAGAATTACCGCATATCCACTCGGAGCTTGTCTAAGTAAACAACTGGCCTTGGTGGACCTTTTTAATGCCTGACAACTAATTATATGTTTGGTTTATTAGGCCTATTGCACGTCTTGAATATTTTTTTTATTGTAACCCCATGGTTTCTTCCGGAATAGATATCTCTCATATAAACTCTCGTAGATATTACGGAAGTCGCCTTCAAAAGTTCTGTCCATAGGCCAGCCCTTGTCAGCTTTGGCCGCAGCTGTCGGGCAGCCTACCCCACCTGGCAGTTTAAAATCGTAAAGTACCTATACTAAAATATACCTTCTATTATACATATTACCACACGATTAAAAATATTTAAAAAATATAATAACTTTATTATATGATAGTATATATTGTTGGAATATGGGGAATAGCCAATTATGTAATCTAGTCACGTGCCATCACGTGCGTGGGGCTAACCCATACACATACAACTTAACAATAGACAATAATAGATCGTGATAGCCTTATTTAGTACCGTGTGTTTCCTTTCTTTTTAACGTATGCTTATTGGTGTACACCTAATCTTTACCTAATCATTTACCCCCTGGTTTTCCTACATATATTTTAATAAATTAGCTTTTATATTCGAAGTGTAATAAGTAGATTAAAGTACAATATATTTGGAGGTACATTTATTATTATGGCTGCTAGTTGCTGCTAAGCCTTGTTAAGCTGACAGGGGCTGGCCTATGGACAGAACTTTTGAAGGCGACTTCCGTATAGTCGGGCTCAACTCGAGAAGATGCACTCTATGTTTCGTAGATACTAAATAGGACGTAAACATTCGAGGTGACTGGCCAAAAATACTGATTCAAGCAAATGATCCCTAAACCGACTTGGACTTCCAGTTTCGTCAACCTCATTGCGTTGTCGCTAAGGCCCATGCCTTGCGCCAGCATCGTATGACGTGGATATTAGAAGCTGGTTGGGTCTTATTGAGTGCTAGTAAAGTCGGTGAACTATGTAGGACAAATACTCGGAGGGCACGGTGGGGTTATATAAAATATCGACCTATTAGCAATATTTTCAACTAGAAACATAATTTTTATTTTATTGATTTGATAAAAAGCACCGTGTGAAGGTTCAACGGCGCCCGTGATTTTAACCTTTCGGGGAGTGTTGATATGTCTTGATGATGGGCATTGAAGATTCTTTTAAACATTAAGTCGGCAATTATTGATCATCGAATTATGGAAAAGTTCTAGTCTCGGCTTATGGAGAGGAGTATAAGCAGGGATCTGGTCTCAACCCCGCTATATCCTACTATGCACTTCTATAGCTCTACGTATTAAAAAGGGGTAGGTAGGTACATACTCAGTCATTTCTCCATTAAAAACAAGATACGTATCTTAGCGTGGATCTCGCCAGCAAGTCTTGGTAGCGAGCTAATGGGTTAGATGGATCTTGGTTGTTTTTATCTGCATATGATAAGAGCATAGCCTAACGCAAACAAGTCTGATTAGAGGAACTAACCAGGTTAGGTGCTCTACTGAGCTATGTATGCCTTATTTTTTTTTTCTTTCCCTTTCTCTCGTTTGCCGCTTTTTAAAAGCTTTCCTACAAAGATTACTGGGATGAATGTCTCATGGTTGAGACAAGAGTCAGTATGCAGTTTTTAGCTCTGAAACTCTTATGTTTTCGCCCCCGATGTCCACAAATGTTGAGGGAATTGTTAGGTGTAATAGGTGTGTAATGATACTTAGGCCCATAGAGTCACATTCATCAGGCCGTCTTTTAAATGACAGACTGTTTCTATAGGCTAGTAGAGATAGCGGTCAAGGGAATGCCCAGCTTCAGTGTGTATTGGAAGCCCATATGGCTCCTTATTCTTGACTCTTTCGATGTATGAAGTTTATTGTCATTGAATATATTAATGGATAGACTGATCCGCTTTGCATTCGTTTAAACGAGGCACGAAAATATCATTATTATCATTATTATTCATTATTATTGATAATTATTGATAATTATAATACTGCAACATATTGGGTAGACACGTGTAAATTTTAAATGGAGAGATGAATGGGATCTAGGTATTTTGACCATCCGTTTGCAGGAATTTTCATGTGTTTATCTTAATAACCAGAGTGGTGTAACAAGGGTCTTGATATATCCACCTCGGTTTTTTTAAACAATATTCTATTGGTTAGAAGTCTCTTACACATGCTTTTCAAACCGTGGAACAGGGATGGCTCTCTTAAGACCCCTGGACCTACATAAAAGGGGAAATTGGATAGATTGGGATTAGTGCTCATGACTTCCACCACTTCCACCACTTCCACCAACCTACGAACCGTGCAAACAGGTAAGGACCAGATTTAGATGTTGAGCTAGACCCGCTTCCAAGATCCAAACCCCCAGGGACCCCTGTCCATTTTTGAAGCGGACCCAGAACTGTGTTGAGGCTCATCTCAACGAAGATTTACGTTCCAGACCCCCACGTGTAACTTGTAAAAGGTTGCAAAAGGTTTAGTGGAGTGTTATTCAAAGTGCAAGCGACCCCCTTTTTCTTAACCCTAGGCTGGATATGGGGTTAAAGGGTAATAGCACTAACAATAAGCTTGCCCCGGCGAAAATTTTCGCAATCATTCAAAACGCGGATACGAGACCTTGAAAGTTCTTCTTTCCTTCTACCTACCTTCTCTAGAGACAGGTGAATTGCAGGTCATTCAACCCTATCGGCTTAAAGTAGATCCATTATGTCGACAGTTACTACTCAGATTGAAGCGCCTGTCGCGAGGTCTCGTGTGGTGCAATTGGTATGTGAAGATGCACACCGGATGGAAGACTCGATGCTGATATTTTAAGGCAGAAAACCAAGGCAGAGCAGCCGGCATTGCCAGACATCAACACTATCCGAAAGGCTATTCCCCCTCACTGTTTCCAGCCTTCGACATGGAGATCGTTATCCTATGTTGCGCGGGATCTCGTGATGGCTGCCGTACTTACTTACGGGGCCGTGACGTACATCCCTTCTGTGTCTAATCCGGCCTACCGTGCTTCTCTGTGGGTTGTCTACGGATTTCTCCAAGGTCTTGTCGGTGTCGGCCTCTGGATCTTAGCGCATGAGTGCGGGCACGGCGCTTTTTCGGTCCATCGACATCTCAATGATACAGTTGGCTGGGTTTTGCACTGCGCTTTGGGTGTGCCTTACTTCTCGTGGAAGTTCTCGCACGCTCGACACCACCGCTTCACCGGCCATATGCAGAAGGATATGGCTTTCGTTCCGCAGACGAAGCCCTCCTGGTTTATTCAATCCCTAGGAGATGCTCTGAGTTCTTTCGTCAACTCCGAGGTTCTAGAGGATGCGCCTCTGGTGAACCTGATTCGCTTACTCGGTCAGCAGCTAGGAGGATGGCAGATGTATATGCTTCTCAACGTAACGGCTGGTGGTGATAGTATGCAGAACTTGGAGGCCAAATGGTGGAGACGCAGCCACTTGGATCCTTTCAGCGGAGTATTCCGTCCCCAGGAAGCTATCTATGTTCTTATCTCGGATTTGGGCCTTGCACTTGTAGCCGCAGGCCTCTACTACAGCTCGTTGGCTCTTGGTTGGCAAACCGTGTTCCTCTTATATGGAGTTCCGTATCTCTGGGTGAATCATTGGCTAGGTAGGTTCCAGATTGCAAGATCAGACGGTTCGAGTACCCAGCTAACATCATACCCAGTTGCTATTACCTATCTCCACCATACGCACAAGGACGTCCCTCATTATGATGGTGAACGATGGACTTTCGTGGCCGGAGCTCTTGCTACCGTCGATCGTGATTTTGGTTTCATCGGCCGCCACATATTCCATGGTATTATCGATACCCACGTTGTGCACCACCTGTTCTCGTAAGTGGAAACTGTTGTCATAATATACTTGCTAAATACGGAGTTAACTAATATTTATTAGGCGAATCCCTTTCTATCACGCCGAAGAAGCCACCAGAGCGATTAAGCCGCTTCTCGGTGATCTCTACCATAGCGACGAGCATTCGTTTATGAGTTCATTATGGGAAACTTCTCGTGATTGTCAATACGTGGAAAATGACCCGAGCAACCCTGGAGTTATGAAATGGGCTCAATAGATTTTCTATTTCAAGAGTTAGAAGGTTCAGCACCACTCACGACGAACTCCTTTTGGAGTTTAGAAGACATTAGAGAAGCATAGATGTGGATCAACATGGATATAGACATGAATAGAACGTTAAAGATGTATTGTTTTCGCGATCTTTTGTCTCGTTGATTTGAAGTATGAATAACATAGTATGGCTTATAGGATTGTACTTACCCGAGGAATTGCGACTTAGACTATCTAAACGTTTAACATTTAACAGCAAGCTTCTAGGAAGTCAACCGCATAGTGTTACAATCGCCTGTTCCGAACTAATTAATGCATTCCGATCATAATTGCCTGTTCACAATAACTAAATCTGCGCCAACTAAGAGTTTTGGATATTCTTATATATCTGTCAGAGATACCACCCACGGTGTGACAGGTAACTGGTTGGTAAAAAGCCTAAGTGTGTAACCTAGGTAGGTAGTACATTAAAGATATATCAACGCCTACTCTTAGATAAATTAGAAGGCACTGAAGTGCTCTATCTATATTATTCCCATACTACGGCTATCTACGTAGGTACCTAGCCAGTAAGTAGCAAAGTTTAGCCTCAGCTCTTACACAATCTGGGCACTCCCCACGTCTGGTATGTATCACTCACAAGTCGACACAATATATCACGAAATGCAACGCACTGTGAAATCGAAGGGCTCGTGTTTAACCTAGGCGCCTATAATAGAAGCACGTATGTATGCTGCTCTGATGCTGCCACAATGATGCCCAGATTTATTCACTAAGCCCACTATCCTTGACACCACCGTATGCCGATAACCTAGTTCCTTGCCCCTTAATTACAGCCCACTTGAACCTGAAGCCAGAAAACAAATTGATAATGCCAATCGCAACGTATAACTTCAATTCGTCTCGACATGCGTTCGTATAGGTAATGTTGAGGAGCACCCATTCTCTTTCTCACCATTTTCCCCACATCCATTGCATGCATCTGCCTTTGCTGCGGCAGAAAATCCCGTGAAGGGACACGAAGAAGACGGCGAAATGCCTTCCTCGATGTCCTCTAATATCTTTTTCCCGTGCAGGAACCCTTCCGGCTCGACTCTCTGCTTCTCTATTTCGTCTGCGAACTCGTCGCCGTCTCGCACATACCACTTTGCGAAAAGGTCGTTCTGGACCCAGATGACCTTGCCGATCGCCTTTACTAGAGCAACCTTCTTGTCCGTCCGTAGGCGCGGGTGTGAAAGAAGCGCCTCCGTAAAAGTGTCTTGGATGAAGGCGAGACATGCCCCGATATGGACATATTCGACATGTAAGGGGTGTTCACGTCCACGGCCAGTATGCATCATACTAGAATTCATCATTAGGAGATCCTAATATTTGATCAAGCGTCGATATATGTCACTCACCCCACTTTGTCCAGATACTCCCAAAATTCCATTGTGCTGGGGTCCGAACATAACTTCGATAGGTACGCCCTTAGGAACATTTTGCGATGTAATATTTGCGGGCTGTTTTCATCTAGATTCTCATCTACTGGTCCCTCATAGCTCGTACTCCGGGTTTCTAAGGCCCGTGTCGTAATGTCATACTGCAGAAGTTTCTGGTAGACAATATTGACGATGGCAGGGATAAGCTGTTTTATGTATCTGGAGCCTGTCACCAAGGCCTCGATATCATCTTGGACTCTGTTAATATAAGAATTCGTGAAGGATAAAGATTGAGCTTCATACTTGAACTGAAATCAATAAACGAGTGGAGATACTGTATTCGCGCCTCGAGATTTGTATATAGATCTTTCCGATCGATATGCTGCCGAGGACGTGCTGAGGGTCCCATTGTGGAGAATGTTAATCCTTGAAGCTGAATTTCGTGCTGGAATAACTCTAAACTTAGTGGCGTTAAAGGAGAAGCAAAAGTTCTACTTGATAAAGAAGCTGAGCTGTAGGAGAGAATAGCAATCGACAATGAATTTAATAAAAGCAGAAGAAACTAATTTGAATTTTATAAAATGCCTGAATCAACATGTAAAACAGAAATGACAATTCTTTTCTTTCTGTGACACTAGAAATGAAGCGATGAAGGGCGATGATGGGCTGACATCGTGTGGGACCATCGAACCATCGTGCCGGGCGCATTCAGTCTGGGCTGACCCCGCGGATAAAAAAGCCATATTAGAATTGAAACGTCGCTTATTCGTGGGGTCATCCCCGGTCGCTTTTCATAGCTGAGCTACATCAGGCCAATATGATGTCAGTATCAGTCTATGCGTGCTTTATGTATATCTATTTGTTTTCAACTACATACGAAACCCCATCATGCATGTAATCAAGAGGCATTTTTTGTTGCTATGCAGATAGGGATCATGCTAGGAAGATGTTCATAGCAAAGCAGAGACCCTAATACTTCCTATATAGATCGGTGCTAGGATAAAAAGCATGTGATTAGGTACATATATAAAAGTCAGACTGAGCCATTTCACAGATAGAAAGCCAAGCATGAAAGCCGTTAGGTTGACGTATATCTGTGCTTGATTCATGTTCCACGAGTTAAATATCATGCTGTACTTCATGCATTACGCGTGGTCAAAATTGAATTTTGATCAATCACTTAACCTGTTATTTGTGAGAACACAAGTACGTTGATATTGACCTAGCCAAAACTCAAGTATTCATAACTATAGATAATTAGGTGCTCTTTGCCTCAGGTTACACCTAGGCCACCTCTAATTCCTCCAGCATACCGTACAACTCAGCTTCTAAATCGCGTCCATTGTAATCTAATTGACTATTTTGGATGGGGCGGTGTCTTTTAAAGCGTATATCTCGGTTCCCTGTATCACCAGTTTCATAGATCCCGACTCTTCTAGATGTGTATAGCTCTGCCACTGATTTTGAACATCACCTGTTGCACTATTTGAGCCTTTTGTTCCCTTAGGAAAGCTGCGAGTGTAGAGCCGAAGACGAGACATAGACAACTTGGCCCATTCTGGTAAATGCCGGTCAAAGAAAGCAGGTAGGGCTACTGCACAAGCACATATTATGCCAATATTAACCTCAAGTGTCCTAAATAAATATAATTATTAGAGCTACAATCAAACTCTTGCTCAGGAAAGGCTTACCCCCAAACTGTTATATTAGAGATATTCCAGGTAGCGTCGAGACTACTTGAAAGGACTGGTGTCATTGCTAAACGAATAACACTTGAAACGCAAGCACTATGAGAAAGAATTAGTTGATATACTAGCTGTGTTTTTAAAACACATTTGAGGGCTGACTTACAATAAACCTGTCCCGAAGATTGCTATAAGTCTGAATTTTCGTTTTCGTCCCATATTCAAATGCCATAAAAGTGGTATAGGCAAGATAAGGATATAAATGTCGGTGAGGAAACTCGTCACACCGGAAAGGTAAGGGAGGATTTTAGGGTTGATGCAATGACCGTCTAGAGCCGAATTCCATGACCGCGCCACTGGCGAGCACTCGAAAATAGTAGTGAATAGCAACGCTGTATTAAGACAGACGACGAAGTAAATAGCTCCGTAGATAAAGTATTTTGACTTTGTTTGCGGAGAGAAGATACGACGATAAAGAAACAGGAAGGTCAATTTGATACACGTCGATAGGATCAAATATATAAACGTGGCAATCGTGTATATCTGCCCATATATTCAACTTATTAGCATTTACTCCTGTTTCCATAAGTAAAACATGCATTTACCTTCAAAGTGCCCACAATCCAGACTGCTGGCGTGTCCCATATATGACGTCCAATTCCCTTCGAATATGCTAATTATACCATTAACTTCTTCGAAGTTTATTGTAAGGCTTAAGGCATCTCAAAAGTGACGTACCAGCGAACATCAGTCCCGAGAATGTTACACTCAAGGCCTGTTCAACATACTTTAATGGTGATTGCTTGCTAGAATCTATGATCGAACTTACCCATGACAAAATGCAAAGATCTATTGTTTAACTATTAGCTAGGTACCTAGCAAACTTAAGTAGCTCTTGAAAGGAATTATGAGTACTAACAGTCTTCGATGCCTAATTTTCCACCAGAAATATATATGCGTGTATACAACCGTATAACCACGGAGAATGAAGCTAGGGTGAGACATACTGTATGGAGGGCTATGTTCTGCTTCATCTGAGTCGGAGGGTCGATGAGGTTTGCTTCAACCCCCGGGGGAGGGGGCATAGCCCCAAACCAGCCGGTCGCCATAGGGATTGGGTATAAGCTGGGTACGTAGGTAAGTATGGAACAGAATTAAATAGAAATCTTACGAACGGGTGATATTGGGCTCTTATCTAGATTCGATTGTTCGTAAGACAGTTGATGACCAGGTAAATAGGTAGGTAGATAAGTAAAAAATCAAGTACAACTAGTTGGGCGTCTAGATATCTACCTACCTACCTATATATGTGAGCACCAAAAGAGGTACCTATAGCTAAAATACCTAAGGATATCGATAGGATCGAAATAATGGCCTACTACTGATATAGATGCAACTATACCTAGGTACCTACCTACATACCTACGTACCTAAAATAGAATCAAAATCCGTATACCGCCGCCCGAAAACCAATAATATACTAGGTAACCAGCCACCTGGATCCTATCGGATAGGTCGGTCACTTTAGTAGATTGGGTAGAATGTTGGGTTGTGCAGTTAGAACAGTTTAAACACCTATATACATGCATACATGTTAGATCTAAAGTACTTCATACAGTGTTCACCGCACGTTCTTAGTTTGTATAATTCGCTACCTGTCTTTCTTATGTACGGTACGTTACTACCTTCTAGGTACCTTAGGTATCTTTCCTTTCAAGTACAACGTCTTGTGCTCCCTCTTCTGCACGACCCCCTCGCAGTCTGCTTAGATTTTCGAGTTTAATCTCCTATTGCCATCTTGCTTCAGTGATAAGGCTAACGAACTTCACCATGTTGAGCACGGAAGAAACTGCTGTCTCGTATGTGTTGGGGGTCATCATTGTTGTTTTATTCGTATGTAAACCGTCTATAAAGTCCAAATGCGATGTTAACGATTATAGTATCCAACTTATCGAGCGATTTGCAACCTCTTCTTGCATCCTCTGTCCAAGATAAAAGGTCCACCAGCATGGTCTGCCTCACGATTGCCATTCATATATTCGCTCCTTCGGGGAACCCTAATTCACGATGTGGAAAAGCTTCATCGGAAATACGGCCCAGTTGTTCGCATTGCTCCAGACGAGGTCACGTTTGCTCAAGCAGAAGCCTACCAAGATATATTTCAATCTCAGCCAGACAGCAAACCATTTTTGAAGGACCACATCTGGTGGGAGACTCAACCAGGTCTCCCTGATACGATCTTGAGTGCAATTAACCCCGAAAAACATTCTCATATCCGAAGACTTCTTGCCCCTGGGTTCACCCCACGAGCTTTACGAGATCAAGAACCTATTTTGCATCAATACGTAAACTTACTTGTTGAACGCTTACACGAGCGCGCTCAGAAAACAAAAGAGGCTCGAATTAACCTTGTTCCCTGGCTAAACTTCACAACATTTGATATAATCGGAGACATTGGCTTTGGGGACTCTTTTAACTGTTTACAGCACTCTCGATACCACCCCTGGATCGCGTTACTTTTTAGTACTGTGAAAGCTGCTACATGGGTAGCATCAGCACGATATTATCCTTTGGTAGAATCAATCCTACTCAAGTGCATTCCACCTTCTTTAATGAAAACTCAGACTGATCATTACCAACGTATTGCCGACAAGGTCGATCGGCGTCTCAATTTCGAAGTGGAACGACCAGATATACTTTCATATGTCATCAAGAATCGTGAAGAAGAGGCGCTACCAATTGGCGAGATCAACTCTACATTCATGATACTAACCACTGCTGGTAGTGAAACTACGGCCACCCTTCTCACGGGAATCATGAACTATCTGGTCAATTATCCAGATAAACTTAGTATACTGGTAGACGAGATACGTCATCAATTTCATCGCCAGGAGGATATCACCCTCGAAGCCTTACGTGGCCTTTCGTATCTTAATGCTGTTATTAATGAGGGCTTTCGGTTGTGCCCTCCCGTCCCTTGGATACTGCCAAGACGAGTCCCTCAAGGTGGTGGCAGGGTGTGTGGTATATGGCTTCCAGGTGGAGTGGGTGACATATGCAAGCAAACCAACATTTATTTCTAGCTAACTTGAATCATGTAGACAGCAGTATCTGTTCAAGCCTATACGACGAATAGGGACCCCAATTACTTTCATTCCGCATCGGCCTTTATTCCCGAACGTTGGCTCCCCGAAGTGCATTCTGACCCCACGTCTCCCTTCTCAAAGGACCGTCGTGAAGCGGTACAGCCATTCAGTCTTGGTCCGCGCAGTTGTCTCGGCCAGAATCTGGCGATGGCAGAGTTACGACTAATCATTTCAAAACTTCTCTGGACGTTTGACTTCGAGGCAGTAGAAGAAGAGAGACTAAACTGGGAGAATCTTAGAGTATTTTTACTCATCGAGAAAAAACCCATCCAAGTGAAGATAAGGCTGAGAAGTGGTGTGAATTAGGAACAGTGTACTTTGAATGGCCGTTCAGCATGAGAAAACCCTCTTGAGTTTTGGGTATATTGGTGTTAGGACTTGTGATTTTCCATGTATTGGCCAGTATCTTCCGATGTCTTCCGACTTAGTTATCGCCTTTGTGTGATGTACCTTTCTGCATTTCTGCCTTGCCCCTCCAAAGGTTCGGTTAGTTCATATGCCTTTTGAGCCTCCGCTAGGCAATTCCTAGGTAGTTAAGATAGGCGTAATGGGAAGTGGTTGCTTCCAACAGCATCCGAGAGGCCGCGCCATGCACGACATATACATGTGTCTAAGACTTACCTTAATGTGCAACAGTGTAACCAATATTAATATCTCCTCTTCAGGCAAATTTAAGGCAATCCTTCCCCCAACATGAGGGCACCCCTGCGGTGCGCCATAATAGCCCGAATTTACGAAGGTAATATGGTGCTGCCGGGGAATGGCGTGTTACGCGCGCCATTCCCCGGCAGCGGCACCTGGAAACCTCGAATATCGACCTTTGCAAAAAAAAATAAAAAAATAAAAAATAAAAAAAAAACCCGGGAAAAGCGTATGGGATTCGAACCTAGGCTTAAAAAAATACGTATTTCGAGAAAAAGATAAAAGTGGAAACTTGGAAAAGCACGTGGCTAATTCTACTTATTTCGGGGATGCATTAAATCAAAACGTTTAAAAAGCGCATAAACAAACTTCCTCTTTTTAGAAATCGAGGTTAGCAAAATAATATCCCTCGTAAACTCAGGCACTCGGGCAATCGATCGATACGATGTCTTAAGTTACATCCGCGCGTATTATTCGACTAACTGCATACAGTGTTATCACTCAATATAATCTATGCTTCCTCTCCATCCTATCATTATGGATTGGTGCTTATTGTATCACAACAAACTCAAGCCGCATATAACTGCCAGAGAAACCTGTTTTGATAGCAGCGGTTGGAAATATCAGTGAAAGGTGTGGTTGCAATAATTTAATTCGAAATTATATAACTACTTATAATGGTGGTATCTCGGACAGGAGATGCTCCACACTAGATTTCCAATGTAACTTAGTCTCACAGCCTCAAGGTAGCTTCGAAGGTCTTGAGACAGAGAGAGGCTTGTTCGTACACTCTCAAGAACCTCGGCGTACTGTGAAATGTACTTCAGGATTTCTGACCGGCATATCTGCTTAGCCTCCCCTTCGGAGACTGACATTTCCGTCATAATCACCCAAATTGCGTTAAAGACGTAATCCTGGCCAGATCCTTCAGCAGCCTCACGCTCTTTCTCCCATGAATACAAGTCATTTACAAGAGCCATCGCTGCATATGCAGACTTTGCTAGCTCGTGGCAAAGGTCATATTCATCATCCGGGATAGTCAGAGCCAACCCAAAACTCAACGTGCCAAACCATATCCTATGATTGGTTAGATTGCATGTTAAAGATAGGGTCGAAATAAGGCTGTAATCTTACAATTGACCAGCGTCGATAATCCTAGCCGGAAGATATTCTTTCAGGGTATCTATGGGGCCTGTTCTTGCTTTTGCTGCAGATTGAACAAACTTAACCCATGCCTTCATTGTTGTTTTCGCCCGTTCGGGATCTATACATTCCATTTCGGAGTAGATTTGGGCTAGCAAGCGCTTCTCAGGACGAGAGTTTGAAGCGACTCTCTGATTAAAAGGGTCCCCGCTGAACGTTTCTAGAATCCCGGGAGACCCGCCAGAATAATTCTTTAGATCAAGGGTTTCTAGTTCGTCTAAGGGGTGATGATCGTTAGAAAAAATTGAAAAAGAGGTATAGTACGCTTGTGATATTTACCGTCATAAAGGAACGCATATTCATTTGCATATGAAATTATTTCGAGTCTCTCTGGCAAGCACTCAGGGACTGTGACTCTCATGAAACTAAAGAGACGCCCTAATCCGCCTTTGTATCCTTGAATCGAACTGACATATTGGGACCAGTCAGTTTGGGCTCTCAGCGTACCTCGGATTTCTTTGAAAAAGTCCTTATGTATACGAAGTGGAATATCGTGATCGAGCCCATCTGTCCTATAAAGGCTCTTCTCCACTTCTTCCGAGTAGCGATATTCCATTTTCAGGTACTGAGATTGTATGATAAACTGCGCTGATCGATGGTGAATTGCCTCTACGTATCGAAAATTATCTAGATTATATACACCGGGTAACCTACGTGAGGTAACCCATTTGATATAGGTACCAAAGTGACATGTAGATAGGTGCCTAGGTATTTAGTTGGTTCTAAATGCATAGTTGAAGTAACTTAGTACCTCTCAGGGTTATTTTGATGCAGCTGAGGTCCATTGTGCCTTTGTGACATGAGCGGAGCTATGGGTGGTGAGTGACTGGATCTGCATATGCATGCTAAGTGCCTAACATATATCGTTCCCTTGTCATTCTGACCTAGATGATTTACCGGCCCATATCGCTCATAGTTTAGTTTGTTCCATGATCTCCTTATGACTACGTATTACTCCAGAAATTACTTCTCCGATGTGTTGATCGTTCTTACTTTGCTGTTCATTGAATACCAATGATTATCATGGAATATGTTACTCATAAAACCTCCCCCTTCGGGGTTCTATTGGCAGTAGTCTTGTCCCCGATTATTTACTTTATCTTTCTAATCGTGTATCGTTTATATTTTTCTCCTCTAGCCAGATTCCCTGGGCCCAAGCTTGCAGCTGCAACAAGTTGGTATGTGTTTTATTATGATTATTGGCTCAATGGCCAGTTTGTATTTGAAATCCGTAGAATGCACGAGGTTTACGGTGAGTAAATCTATAGTATCACATTTATTGATCAGGTACGTAACTTATTTTATCTAACTGTGCTTATATGTAGGCCCTATTGTACGTATCAACCCGGCCGAACTTTCGATCCACGATCCAAAGTTCTACGATAAGCTCTATGTTGTTGAGAGTAGACGCCGAACTGAAAGCTATGATGCGTTTTGCAAAGGTATAGACCATGAAGGTAAGTATCTAGGTAGTATTGAAAGGATCTCTGAATGGGATAGTGAATAACCTTGCCAGGATCATTCCTACTCACCAAGGACCACGACCTACATAGGAGAAGAAGGAAGCCTTTTGAGCCATTCTTTTCCAGAAGGGGGATTACCTTACTGCAGTCAATGCTTAGCCAGGTAACGCTACATTTTGAATCCCGCCTCCGAGAATTTGAAGGCGGAAAGCAAGTCATTCGGCTTGACCATGCCTTCTCAGCTTTCTCGGGAGACATCATTAGACGGATATGCCTGGATGTCAACGATACAGAAGACCGTTTCCTCAATGACACAGCCTTCTCACTTGAATGGTGGATAGTATCCATGTTCAAAATAAAGATAAAAGATTAGTCTAATTTCGTGTTAGGTACGATATGCTACAAGCGATTATACGTTCCATTCCACTATTCACTGGGTTTCCGTGGATTATTTAGTAGGCAACTATACACAAGATTTGCCGGCTTTACTAACAACGCAATAGCATTGCCAAGTCACTACCTGAGCGCTTCCTTTTATGGGTGTTCCCTCGTGGTCAGATGTTTAAGAAATTCTCGCAGGTCCGTATAAGGATGTATTATTTAGTATTGTCAAAAAGTAACACATATTTTAGGAAGCAACCCAGAGTATTAGGAGAGCCATGGCGGATATCTCTAAAGAAGAGGAGCATATTACCTCCGTATTTCATCATGTTATGAAGAGTGATATGCCGGAGTCGGATAAATCCGAAGAACGTTTGACAGGAGAAGCGCAAGTCATGCTTGGAGGAGGGACTGTAACAACCGCACGCACACTCTCCTTTGCATCATACTATATTCTTTCTCGGCCGGAGGTCCAATACCGCTTAGAACATGAACTAAAAGACATCATGGCGGACTGGCCACAGAGAGTACCAACGTGGGCAGAGCTCGAGAGGCTGCCATTTCTACAGGGAGTTATCAAAGAATCTTTACGGTACGTTATTGAAATTATAGTCTCCTTTCAACAGTTTTCCATCAAACGTTTCGCGAGTACTGATATGGCTGGCTCACATAACTTTCTCATCCATACAACAGCCTCGGCTATGGTGTAATGCATCGACTGCCCCGCGTTTCGCCAGATGCGCCTATTAATTACAAAGAATACATGATTCCAGTCGGTGTAAGACAGCTCTTAAGCGAAATCATCCTAGATGCTAAATACTCGGTAGACACCAGTCAGTATGTCCGGATACTTAATGCACTCAGATCCAGTGGTGTACCCGTCGCCAGATGAATTTATTCCGCAGCGATGGGTTGGAGATGACGATAAAGCAGTGCATAGAAACTTCGTGCCATTTTGTAGAGGCTCCCGAAGCTGCTTGGGAAAGAAGTGAGTTTCGACCAATCTATAAAGTTACCTCAGGGATTTATGGTGACCAAACTAATTTACTTTGCTATATCTAGCTTGGCAATGGCCGAAATGAGCCTCGCTTTGGCAGTCCTTTACCGCCCTGGTGGCCTAAAGTTTGAGCTTTTTGAGACGGATGAAAGTGATGTAAAGCCAGTACATGACTTTATGATCCCGCTTCCGAAGCTTAACACGAAAGGTGTGAGGATATTGATCCATTGAAAGAAGAATCATTGGTTCTATCCTAAGTCTGCTGGGGCATACGCGTACATCCCCGATAAGATCCCCCGTTATTGTTTTAGGTGGTATGTATTTTAGGCCTACCAACCTCAAAATCCCGCATCTACATTAGGTACATGTAGTAGGTATCTATGGTGTTGTAACACGTTGGATATAGTAGGTACCTACCTACATAGCCTGGTACCTGTCAGCTTCAATTATTTCATTGTGCTAAAACAAGCCTTTTTGTGATATCTCTACCGTGCGCGTATTTTGGTCGTATGATCTGCTCGGTAACTATTTGTACTTACCTATTTGATACATGTAGTTTGACAGCTTATTGGTGGGTAGCTGCAATGTGTCGTATAATATGTCGTACAGCATAAGCGCGAATAATTACCTTAGGTAGGATGTAAGTACTAACATAGGTACCTATGTATGATTACACCTAGGTTATACCTTGATAAACCAGCCTAAAGTACCTAGATACATTACGAGAGATCATGTAGGCTACTACCTTAGTAGTGTTGGTACATAGGCTGAGCTGTTAAAACATGCACCTAATCTTATAGGTAGGTGCTTAAGGCATCATATGCAGATAAGTCATGTCTTACAACTTCCATGCTCCAACAACCCCAAAACAATAAGTTACCTACCAACCTGCCAGCCAGCCTGCCTACTTACCTAAGGTACGGGTAAGAATGAGAACCCCTGGATGTTAGAGCTTGAATTTGGTCCCTTCCTACCTTACATTGAAATCCAAACTTCACAAGGCGAGTAGAAACAACCTATTTTACACACGATTCTATCCTCCTATAACTTGAAAGCACAAGTCTGATTTCGGTTATTATTCCATATAATGGGCGCACAATGGTCTCAGGTTTTCCCCCCTAAGCCTACCTTCATAGAAGGCAACGTGGGCCCCCAAAATGGCAAAGTATTTCTCGTCACCGGCGGGTACTCGGGGATAGGACTCGAGCTTGCGAAGATGCTCTATAAAAACCACGGTAGCGTGTACATCGCCGGTCGCTCCGAGGACAAGGCCCGCCAGGCAATCAATGACATACGAGCCGGTGCGCCCGCCTCCCAGGGCAGCCTCGAGTTCCTTCGCCTGGAACTCGATGATCTGAGCAGCATTAAGGCTTCTGTGGAGTCTTTTAAAGCAAGAGAATCAAAGCTTCACGTCCTCTGGAACAATGCCGGTGTCTCGCGACCGCCCGTTGGTAGTGTCTCGAAGCAAGGGATCGAACTACAACTAGCGACTAATTGCCTTGGGCCATTCTTGTTTACGCGACTGCTTCTACCCTTGATAGAAGAGACCGCCTCTACCGAGCCGCCCGGCTCTGTCCGCGTTATCTGGACTTCCAGCCAGATCGTTGAGCTCTCCGCACCCCCCGGAGGCTTTGATATGTCTGAACTCCAAACGCCTTCCAAAGATCAACTCCGAAATTACATAATCTCTAAATTTGGAAATTGGCTTCTGGCATCGGAAATGGCGAGAACAGTTGGTCGCACGTCGGGAGTCGTCAGTGTGGCCTTGAATCCCGGCTCTGCTTACTCGAACCTCTTCCGACATACACCGTCCCTCTATTTTTTCGCATGGCCTTTGCTCTATGCACCAAAGATGACAGCGTATACGGAGCTTTACGCTGGGTTGTCAAAGGATATAGGCTTGAAGACAAATGGGTGCTATATCGTGCCCTTTGGAAGAATTGCGAAGGAGAATGACATCAGACAGGACCTTCTAGAAGCACTGAAGCAGAAAGAAGACGGAGGCTCTGGAAAAGCGAAGGAGTTTTGCGATTATTGCGAAGATAAGGTCCGTGACTATTTCTGAGTTAATGTGGAAGTAGTTCCACTATATTATATGTAACCTACCTAGGTACCTACCTTATGGTAGTTATTATTAGATAATTCGAAGTTATGAAGACCAAGACACATGTGGTTTGACTTCCTAATCCGCATGAAGGTATTGTCATCTAATTGTTCAATTGTCTTTTCTCATGTATCGGCTTGGAATCTTGTCGACATATGTCTTGTGCCTTGCTTTAATGTTTGCAGGTTTCTTTACTCTCCCGCCTCGGAGTTTCAGAGCATGGCCGGCGGCGTTTGTATTTACTAGAAATGGTCTGAGCAAGAAAGCCTTGGTACACCAATATGATAGGTATTCCACAAGTACCTGTATCTTTCTGTTTGCATGTACTATAGGTAGATTACCTAGGTAGGTAGGTACCTGATTACCTAATGTGGTCCTTACGTATTTCCTTGGTTTATTTTTAAGCTTAACTTCCCCGCATTGTACCTCACAATGATTAACAGTTGGAATCCACACCCATACCTATGTAATCTTCACACTACATAAAAACTACACTAGGTACGTGAAACATCTAAGCTAACTGATGGTTGTATGATGACTCACGGGGACCCCTGTCCCCACTACTAAGGAGGGACACATACTATAAATAGACCATGTCCCCGACATGGTCTCTCAGATATTTCTTCCTCCTTAGACAAACTTTAATACATCGTCTCAACACCATTGATTTCATAGTTATTACCTTGTTATTTGCTTTACCATACGTACGTACCTACCAACACTAACGTGTATTGGGAATTGCAGACAAGGATCTTTCTAATACCTACTGTCTACACAGATGGACACGATGGTAGGCTTACCCTTTGGAAAAAAGCAGAAGGCAACGCCGTCAAATTCTTCGCAGCAGATCCAATTTACATGGTCTGACGACTACGTATCTGTGGGTGCGGATGACCAGTTTGTGTCAGTTGACCACGAGGACTTATACCAAGGAGAAGTCCACAAAGATGGCAAGAATGAGGGCGAGAAGAAGCATATGTTCTTCCGTCCCAATGTGACGGTCAACGTTTTCGGCAACAACGGGTCGAATTCTGGAACTACAGGAGCGGAAGGGACCGAGCCGAGCGTCACAAAGCCAGTCAACGAAAAAAAGACCGAACAGATTCATGATACCGTAGCCGATCTGACGGCTAAACTTGCAGCTTTATCCCAAAAAGTTGATGAGCTTTCCGAGTTAGCATCCGCTCGGGGACCTCGAGTTGAATGCGGTTTGTGGAACACGGGGGAGGTTCGTTCATCGAATCAACCTTCGAACAACACCAGAGCGCGAATCTGGTTTGAAAAAGAATTCAAATCTGTTCCGAAGGTGACGACTGGGATGTCCTCAGCCGACGTGTCTAAAGATGCAAACTTTAGAGTGTCCGTTTATCCGACAGAAATAGACACAAAAGGATTTAAAGTAAATGTACATGGCTGGCATGATACGATGATATATTCCTGCGGGGTGTCGTGGGTCGCTATAGGCGACTAGTTGTGTACGTACACCGCAATATATACCTGGTGTATAGGAAGAGGCCATCCTACTTCTACGGCGTCTATTGTGACCCACCATGGATACTATGGCCCCAGAAACTTGATAAAACATAACTTCCCAGATACCTTAGCTAGCTAGATTGTCTACATTACAGTTAAACTTGAGATTTTCTCCATCTGTCTTGTCTAAGTTTTCATCATTTATCAAGATGGTCTGACTGCTAGAATCAAGTACTTCATTCTCCTCGTCCCTAAATTCGAAACCGACAGTAATGAGAGGCAATTGCTGCGACATATTTATTGGGAGCTCGTTGAAAAACCTGTCTACACTAAAATATGTGTTAGTACCTGTTGATTATCACCGGCCTCGGGATATTTATATACTCACATGAGTAACTCTTAAAACCAGTGAATCATTCGCGAATCTAGGCTCATTGGAATGTTGTGTTCGAGATGCTTGAATGAGTATTGCGAATCATGGTGATCTTGCGTACTTTCTCCCTAGTGCTCAACTATTTTGCTTCTATCGGAGAGTTTGGCAAGCGTAAGTTTGCAACTCAGCCTGTAGAGCTGCTATGTACCAAGTAGTTGTACCAAGATCAGGGACGATGTTTGGTAGAGCAAAGGCCAATAATTCCCCAAAACAAAGTGTAGACATAAATTGTTGTCCTGTTTTTACAAACGGATATCTTCAGAACAAGAAGGCATATAGGAAATGAGACCCCATGATGAAATGTCTCTAGCCGATCTTTTACGAAACCTAGGTCCTAGGGCAGAGTGCAATCAGATAACCAACGTAGAACATCACAAATTATTGTGTTGTTTCTTGGTTGTATTGACGTCCTCGGAATTACTTATTGTACTAGACTGTGATAGACTGGAATTGTCTAGGTGAATGATAAATACTATCTACTATGTTTGGCTCAATAGACGCCAGAAGTTCTTGCGAACGATTTCGATTTGGTTTTAGGGGTTAAGGGACCCATTTTTTCCTTGTTGAGGTCGTAGAAACCCATTGTATCATCGACATCGACCAGATCAACATGCCTCACGTTGCTATTATTTCAGTTAGTATATCTTAGGGACTGATTTGCGTATTGCTTCTCGTTCTCAATTATCTCCTCGATCTTCGACACGTTCAGGAGAGCTTGAGGTGGGCCTCGGACGGCGTCTTTCTCTAGAAATATGACTTGCGCTCGCAATTAGGTATAGCTTAGAAATAGTATAAATAGCGAATATGCGAAATTTTATATTAAAGGAGTGGCTTGGACTATCGTGAATGTAACCCTACTTAAAAACTTCAAGTGAATGTGAAGGCGAGCAACGTAGTAGTCGTGATTAGAAAACCTTTAGGCCCAACAGCCCAGAATTGTATGTTGATGACAGACAAGTAAGCTGCCGAAGTGTGCTGACAGTCCGAAAGGCAATAGAATCTGATACCCTGACAGACGACTCGGTAACCCATTCTAACGTCACCATGCCATATCTTGTTGCCAAAATTTGCTTCAATATAGCCCAACCACAATATCACCACGGACCCTAGCCGTAGCGTGTACTTCAGCCTCTAGATCCAGCTTGATTCCGACCAGGAGGGCGGCATCCTTGAGCTTACCAGACTCATCAACAGGGCCCTTGAGAAGGTTTCCTAGTGTAATAATATTAGCACTGTAATTGGCGGTGTTATTTATGGCTGGATTTCTGGGATATGTATCATACCAACTGGCCCATTAGCACTGCCGGATAGTCCTGGCATGGGGAGACTATGCTTCAAAGCTCCACCAGCATGTCGGTCCGCTCCAGCGAGCGAGTTTCCACTAGTGGTGACAGGACCTCCAGTCCTATGAGTGAATAAATGTTAATTTTAAAATATTTACTGTACGGGTTGATATGACTGACGAAGACATGATAATTCTCTGTAGTTTTTATTGGTTGATCCTTAGGTGTTGTTAGCCGCTGGGAAGTTAGCCTATGATTTAGGAGACACTTACTTTATCCCTTTTTGACAGGGATGCGTATTATTTCCAAATGTGGTATTAAGAAGTCCACCGTGGAAGTCTTCACGATAGAAATAGAGTGGAAGGAGTTGAGATCGGGTAGAAAATGAGTTAATTGCTACCAGGCAAATATTCCGATCACTCAAAACTCTGTTCTAAGAGCTGTCAACTGTCTGTTTCTTCAAGACGAATATGGCTTGTCACAAGAGACTAGAAGAAGCTTTTATACACATCTTCAAACTTTTCGAAGTTACGATTATGTCTATCTGTAGACTCTAGTGATTGAAAGGTGAGCTACAAGATCATCGTATGTCGGTTAGATTCTAAGCCATGACGAGTGCTGTGCGAACTCACCTCCGTAAAGTCATCCAAGCCTCATGAGATCCTAACGTGTTGGGCATCGTATCCTAGATCCTCTATTCGTAATTTCGACAAGAGGATAGGCCTGCCTTAACAATGGAGAAGACCGTGTATACCTTCTAATCATACGATCCAGGGGGAAATAAGCATTGAAAGTTACACTTCGGCACCTGCAATGCATGACAGTTCATTGTCGAGGCCGTTCTGTGACGACACGGAGGAAACGGAGGCAAGTCCGGAAATCCTTAAAGATGTCTAAAACTAGTATTCTTACTATACCTGTTTTTCTTTCAATTCAAGATGCATTGTTAGCGCATTGAGCACATGAATTTGGCTCAGGTTACTCCCGAATAGCATGGCGGTTGGGTATCAATACTTCCGTGGGCGAGCAAAGATCATTAGGAGATCTGCTGTATCGCCTCGCACAGATACGCAGGTCCTACCGACGGGGCTATCATCTCGGCTATCCACGAACATGGATACGAACTCAATGAGAGCATATATACCCCGCGTTCAGTTGGACTTGGTTTAACGCCGTGAAACGCTCAATCAGAATAGCAACTATGTCGCAACCCCTCACGTTTCTCGTCGCTTTCTCCGCCGTCGTTGGCACTTCCGAAGCCATCCGACAGATTCAGTCAGATTCTAAGAGAAAGGAGCATCGAAGTCGAAAGAATAATCTGATAGTGCGGTGTCCCAAGTCGTCTCAATATAGCCCTATAATTGAAGGGAGGCGTGTAGTCCTATCTGGTGACAAGGTGAACAGCTTCCAAGCTGCTTTTAGCAAAAACATACTTAAGCTAATAAGTTTCTGATAGCTATACATTGATACAGGCACCGAATATGACCAGGCCTTCGGCCATCCATTTGCTGGATATTTCCTTCCATACCCTGATTCAAAGTACTCTGGTCTCGTCTCAACAATCTGCGACGAGCCACCAATCATGAATTGGATATATATCGATCGAAATACGTATGAGATCAAGTTCGGCACTCGTCCATCGGCACAGCCCAATTGGCCTGGGCCTTTCGATTGCTCTCGACAGGACCGTAGGTTGACATTTTCTGGATGGGAAGGTTTCCTGGCCGTCAAGGAGGGCGATTTTTGGGCATTATACTTTGACGTCGATGAAGATAATCTAAAGTCAAAGGTAAAGAGTGATACTCTAGTATTAGATATAGAACTACTACGCGTAGAGATGCGTGTTAAACCCTCTAAGGAGGAGAAACCGTCTGCTGGGGGCTCAGAGGATACCGAATCCAAGGAAAACCCTTCAGGGTCAGATGCAAAGCAGTATGAGCAAAGGAGTGAACAGAAGGGGGAAGTCGCTCAAGGGTTTGACCTGGAGTCGCCAGATGTGGATTGAACTGGTAAATGTACGCCAGATACTTGCAATAAACCACTTTCCCCCTCTACGAAATTCGTACTGGAGTTATTTGATGTCAACATATAAATCAGCTGCCCAACCCTTAGTATTCCGTTCGGGTGTTTGATCATTCCATTAGATACCTTGAGACGTTTTGGACGATAATTTCAGGAAAATCCCATAAGAGAAGATACAAATAAGCTCTATATCTCAAACTATGCTGGCCATTAGCATGCTACGGAAGTCTACAGAAAATACTCATCTATTCTAGGCAAATTTCGCATATAAGGTACGCTCGTAGCTCTTCACGCAACAGTAGAGTTGCTTTCCTAATGTACGACCGCCTCATCACAAGACCACCTCTCTAGGCAATAACTTAGAAACAGCTACGACGTGAAAATTGAAATCGTTACATATCTAGACTACCTACCCCAGACTACCCTCCTGTCGGAACCGAGAGTGCTACCGTCGTCGTACAAAAGCCATACGATATGTGTGGTACGTGATCGCGTACAACTACACGTGTCCTAGTTGAACTACTAGGAATACAGGGCGAAGCTGTAGTTTGAATGAGTGGCTACTAGCATATTGAGAAGGCAAAAAGTCGTAAGGCGGAGGTGCATACGTTCGGCAATGGCCGCGGGTCATTAACTACGGAAATATATATAACACAATAATTTTGGAGTTGCATAATCCCGGCCATACGTGACCTGGATCGTTCGATACTAGAGTGAGAAAATATTCGGGCCTCTCCATCTTGTTACTCCCTTTATAATTGTACGTGATCACGATGAAAGTTCTGTATCATTGGAATTTAAGGCAGTTAGCCTAAGATATTGATCCAAATGCGGCCCCTTCATTAGTAGGCACCTATCTACCGTTATACTCAGGTAATCATTCCTCGCCGAGGTTATATTCACGGTGCAGATTGAGTCCCCTGATTATTTACGACAATCTCCCCATTTACCCTGTATTCCAGAGCCCTGTCTGCCTCCAGGGTAAATAATTTCCCGAATGTGCTTTACCGCACTTCAGGAATACACGATCCGGGACACTTTGAGCGACCCTGATACTCGGTGTTTCCCCATTAGGTATCGTAGTTGGTTTAAGAATCTGGACAGCCTATGAGAAGTCCAGTTCAGATACCATCTTGCACAAGCATGTGTCTGCAGCAGGCTATGCCTGGGGACTATTGCTTTCCAACCTGTCTTAGACGTATTGTCTAAGCTATAGACTTTTCGCTAAGGAAATTATCGTGCTTTTAGGCGTCTTGATGGCCGATAGTTCCAACTAGATATAGGGCCATCGAAATTTGTACTATATATACCGCGTACAGAGTGCCTAGGCGACTCGATAACGTAATATCACACGCATTAGGCGGTCGGTCGAGACAAGGTACCTTGCTTTCGAGGAGTTCCTATGCCTATATGTGACTGGTACGACTTAGGCGGATATGATGTGGGCGGGGTGATCGTGCACCCTTTAATTCAGATCCTTCCACTAGATCCAGATGACGCCTCGGATTATGATGACGCCTTATGGTTCCACCCGTGCTGGCGATCCATAGCATAAAACTGCCCATATTCCTTAATAATTAATGCTATACAGTTTCTTCCTTACTCCTATCACCAATCCCTCAAATATCTTTCGCTTCCGGGATGTTCTTGTTGTGGTTGCTCATGCGGTCTCGCAGCCGTAGTGACAGTATTGTCGGTAGTAATTTTGATGTAGTTACTTCGATCCCTATTTTGAGAGGAGCCCCCTGACCCTAGTTCAGATGTATTTGCGCCACTAGGAGGAGTCACACGCAGCTTGGCGAGCGCGAAATCGGAAGTCAAAGCTCTGTTGTTGGCTGATATGAATCCGCTTCGTAGCGATCGGAGGAAGGGCCAGAAGTAGGCAGCACAGGCGGCCGATATACTTGCGAATTGGACGAATTGCATGCTAAGGTAGTATGGAAATCCTCGTAGCGTATAATCGTTTTCGGCAAGGCGGGGAAGATAGATGAGTTGGCAAACCGTCGCTGCAATAGCACTTCAAACTTGTTAGAGACACCCGAACGAAGACTATATAGATATAAGTGAGACTAACAATATTCTCACGGAGAAGAAGCTAAGAGTTATGATTCGTGTCCTAGCCGAAAGTTTGAGTGGATATATGACGATTGCCGGGAGAGCTATGAGTGAAGCGTCCGTTAGAATATTCGTGATGTCCACGTATTCTAAAAATGCTATCTATATGGCTCATTAGCAATAAGTCTTCAGTGTAGATTCTACAGTACCTATCAACTTGTGTCTTACCCTATCAATGCAGTTGGAGTCGCTGCTTTCCCATGGACCGTGGCTCCCGCACTGAAAAGCCGTTCCGACGAAGGCTACTAGCAACCAGATTATGACGGTAACAATGAAGACAGATGTGAGGCGACGGTGCCCCGTTTCCGGGGATAAGGCATATAATCCTATGCAGACTGAGAGCTTCGCAAGTCCGAGGGCAAGAATATACAATAATTGACCGGCGTATTGCACCTGAATAGGCGCAATTAGCTTAGATATTAAGTCAATATATTTCACGATAGATGCATACTTTAAGACCTGCTATAAATTCATCGTCGGTAATGAGACTCCGCGCTTTTCCAAATATTTTTCCCTCGGGGACGAGGAGCGTGACGGATTCGCCGAGACCAGCGAACTAGTTATCACAATGTTAATCCAACTGATTTCTATCTCTCGTTAAGACGTAAGTTAACGTACAAATGCTAAGGCGATGAGAGCTTCTTCCCACCCGAACCGTTGGTTCGTTTTCAGGAAGAACTTCGTCAAGAAGCGGAAGCAGAGCATAAGCGAGGTCAACGCGATCAGTAGCCAGGTGATCATCTGTAGGATAGGGTTCATATCTGAGTCCGTAACGACGATCCCAGTGGGCGGCGAGGGCGCGGCATCCGCGGCGGTGCGACGGAAGACCGACGGCATCTTCAAGAACCAGATGCCGGTCGCTCTATAGACGAGAGACGATATATCTCAGGATAAGCCGTCGAAGAATAGCAGCGGGCCGGACATTGGTAGGGCTGAGAACCCCTAGGGTTTCCCGCGCGACGATGTGTATGAAGATTATGAGCTATGGAGTTTGGAAAGACCTGGGGAAAGAAAGTGGCCTTGATTCGCGCGCGCTCCGTGCGTATTTTCTAGGATAAATTAGGTACGATAGGAGAGTGGTAACGCCAAGCGGCCAGCCACTGGCTCTAACGATGCTGACGGGCGGCACAGATTTGCGATCGAACCATGGATATCCGCGGCAGTTGGCCCCATTAGCTTATTTGAGGAACAGTATTGCAACAGGATCATCTATATGAGAATACATGGGTTGCACTGCATAACCAACGGGGCCAATTCATAGGTTAGGTAGTCTCTGATATTCCATGCGTCTGTTGGAAAGATTTTTTTCTGACTTATTTTTATCTCTGCCGCCCTCCTTTGGTTTAGATATCACATTCTCTATGATAATCTCCTCATTTGCCCGTTTAGAGAATTAGAGCTGGTCACGAAGGATTGAGGATGCAGGGGACCTAGGGATCTACACCGATGAAGGCGGGAACTACATGGAACTAATGCTAGTCAGACCGTGGGGGAGTACCCATACACATGAAAATACGGATAGCCTAGATGGATCGCGTACCTAGATGGGCTGCCACATGTATGTATACAAGCAAGGGTACCTAAGGTATTTGAATAGCCTGGTTCCTTACGATGTCACTGGTCGGCCCAAGCGCATCGAAATGTCTGCACGGTAAGGTAATTTCTAGCTAATAAGTGGAAATGAGTAGAATAATAGGTAACCAAGACCATGTCTTTGAATGTTCTAAACCGAACCGCGGCACAGCTGGAGAAATTCGTCGTCTCCTCATTCATCCGAAGGATTCACTTGAACCGAGACCACTAATCTAGGTAGGTTAAGAGGTAGTAACATGATACTACGAAGTACGTAGCAACTGAACTAATCTTGTGCATACGAATTTGAAAGACCTACGCAGGACCACGTGCTACTCACCTATATCCTAAGGTAAGATGGGTTACTTTCATGCGGCATGCAATAATGCTACCCAGAACGTATATTGCCCAGAGTTGATATTTGGGGGGGTCATATAAGGAAGCAGGGCAATAAATTTTCATGGGAAGGGCTCAGATGCTGGGGGTCTTCGATCCCTCTCAAAAAAACTGTAACCGTTAGTGGGGTTGACGCAGGAGCAGCGAGGGTCGCCAAGACGGCCCGACTCTCACCAATATCTTGGTTCAGCACATTGATACGTCTAACAAAGCTTGATGGGAGTCTTCTGGACCATAACTTGACGATTATAAATGGGTGAGGGTGGTAAGTATGAATATACAGTGGAGTATGGTGCAGGACAATGGAATATGACGAGATAAGTTCATGATGATTTTAATAGGGTTTAAATTAGCATCGCGGTGCATGGACCCTTTCTTAGTCGATACCTCCTGAACCGTTCCAGAGCACAGTGAAATGCGAATATAACCTAAGGCGCGTCAAAGGGGCACGAACACCACGTTATTCAGCCACCAAATCCCCGAAGCCAGTTTTTCTAACAGCCTTCAAGACGTTAGGAAATAAATTAGATACCCCATAGTAACGATACATCGACATAGCAGTGCCGTATAGTGCGTTGATATAAGGAACTAGGCCGGCCCTTACATACATGATATATATTTATAAGTCGCCACTCAAACCCATTCAAACAGGCTCCTGGGTAGGTTTCACAGGTTCAGCCTCATCGGCATATAACCGCCATTGCTCTTAGTTAGATCTTAGTTAAGTTCTGCCAGCTCTTACATCCGCATAACGCCACAAGAAGGATTCAAACCCCCGTCTTTGGTTTGCGAACTGCATTTTCTGTCAGACTTGACCTTTTTGATTGGGTTGGGATACCTTAGGTACCTAAGGTAGTTAAAATCTCGGCCCGGCGCATGTCAGCACTCTACCTTAAGCTTATATACCTTGTCGCCGTTGGTAAGATCAAGCCTTCTAGGGTAAGATTAAGCTTAATCCTCAAAGGATTTACCTATTCGGCAAGAGGTCCGGATCGTATTAGGTTATTTAATATTGAATGATTACTGATGGCCAATTTGGCTTAGACTTCATTGCTTTCCCGCTAGACTATCATTCTTAAGAAGATTATTGTTCGGCAGATATCATGACTTACTTATGATTGAATCGATCTTGCCAAGTGCTAGAAGCGTTCTGTGATGGTACCTGTAGTAAAGGCGGGCTTATAGATGTGACAAGGGTGGGCGAAGAGCCAAAGGTGAACTATTTGATAAGGGGTGTCTCCCATAACCCGGGACCCTACCGAAGAGAATGATGATGATTTGTGTAGCAGAACGACCCTAGTTATTCATATTGCTTACTATAGGAGTAGCTCTTGATATAAATTCCTTTGCGTGCTAATTTATTTCCTCTATCCTTTATGTCCTATAATATCCACGAGCAACTTAGCCATACAGCCACATTGTTGCTCGTTCTATATTTCATGGTGAGAACCCCTTTACCCGAACGAATTAAGAAAATGAGATCATTGATACTCTAAAAGGTGTCTATCTTCATTGCTGCTTTCGAGCAGGTATGGTACTCTCCACTATAGAAACCTCATTAGAAAGTTTGGAAAATCAACTCACTCTTCAGACAATTGTCGCAACTGCAGTACAAACTATAGCCAAATCATTCTAGGCTACAGAACTATAATATGCTTGGATACCTGGACGGCATATCTCCTGCCAGCAGCTGGTGCGTCGTAAGCTTCGATGATTTCGTCCTCATGAGTTGGTTCCGGTTAAATTCGTCTCGCAGCTGCTACTTCACCCTAGGGTAAAATTAGTGATATTTTCGGTTAGAAACTAGTTCTACTCGCGGCTATCGTCGTGTTCTTCGTCGTCTCTCTCATAGGAGCGCTTGCAAATAAAATAACACGCTCATCGTAGGTAGAGCAATACAGGGAATCGGTGGCGGGGGAATATTGGGACTATCTCGGTAGCCATCATAAGGGATGTTTTCAGTCCTCAATATATGTTCATTTTTATCCGGTTGATAATTAAGCTAACTTTTTGGCAGTGGTCGAAGCAAGTATTATGGTATACTAGGTGTGACTTGGGGATTGGCTTGTGACCTAAGCCCCGTCGTTTGCGGTGCTTTTGCTGAATTCGTATCTTGGAAGTGGTGCTTCTGGGTCAACTGTAAGTGCTGTACGAAGCTACCGTGAAATAACCTAGGCTAATTGGCAAAAGTACCAATTGTTGGTCTAGCTGGCATATTCGTGATTTTCTTCCCCAAGGTCCATACGCCCAAGACTCCCACCATCGAGGGTCTCCTAGCAACGGGCTGGCTTGGCATGGTAACAATTGTAGGTGCTATCGTGATGTTCTTACTAGAATTAGCTACGGAGGGGCGGTTGAACCATGGGACTCTTCCGTCGTAATCTGCCTTATTATCTTTGGAGTCGTGATGGTTGTCTTGTATGTCCTTATTGAGTGGAAAGTGGCCAGATACATCAATTACTCCGCCGAGGCTTTTTCAGTCGAATTCTAATATTGCCCCATTTGGGATTCCTTATATCCACGACAAAACCTTTATGGTGCATCTTTAATACCTTTCTCTTTATTTCCAGGCCGTCCTTGGTGCGAGTCCGAGCATGTCGGGTGTTTATCTCCTACCAGTCGCTGTCATACTATGTGTCGTATCGAGCCTGATAGGTGTCTATATCAGTAAGTCGGGTAGATATCGATTGCCAATTTACTGGGGATTTCCCTTGATGATTATAGGAATTGGTCTCTATATCATTTCCCAAGATTATTTTTCGTAGACACGAATTATTATCTATCAGATTATAGCATCAGTCCCATTTTCTAGGCCCCTATTGTTGTTTAATTCAGTCTTACAAAGCCTGCAGACATTGTAAGTGCGGCGGCGACATTCCTTTTCATGCGCGATATGGCAACAGCTATGTAAATCGTTTTCAGAGGAGAGGTTGTTGTAGCTCTTCCATCTGACAAAGCTACACAAGTAATTGGTGGTGAAGCTCCGGTGCACTAAATATTATCCCAACTTTACCCCATGGTTAAATGCAGGTGGTAGTTGGGGTATATAACGAGAGTCTATAAGCTGAATGGATTTTATATACTGCACTTGGAGCTGTTGGGATGTTCTTGAGCTTGCTTATCAGGAAGCAAATATTTTCTAGGAAATATAAAATCTGCAAGACGGGGTTAAAGACACAAGAAGATGCTCGTTTGGAGGAGGCCGAAAATAAAAGGGTTAGTGCGAATATATAACCCTAAGTACTACGGATTACTCTTGTAGTAGATATTACATAAGAAGGCTTTTCGGCGTTTGTCAGGGGTAAAGGGTATCTTAGGTTAGGTCTAATTCAGGGGTCGGTTGAAGCTCGGAATAAGGCAGAAGCTGAGAACGGCAAGATGCGGCCAGCTTGATTCAGCTGGTCTCCACTACTTCGTCATCGCAACTATTTTCTTTTTCTATTATATTTATATTTATTAGCTGCTTCACCTTTTCTTCGTCTCTTCTGTATATAGGAACTGGTGAAGAATGGAGTCTTATATGTGCTGAATTACCTACCGACTAGAATCTTAATCGAATGCCGTTCCCATCGAATAATACTAGCCTCATCGCGCAGTGTACAAACACGATCCTCTGCCATCTGCGAGCTTTACCTCTCTGGGGAATCGCCCTAATCATACTGCTCCTCGGATTCCTTCGGACACAGCTGGTGGTTACTATTACGAGTAGTAGAATACCGGGATCAAACGGAATACCTAAAACATAAACATCATGGCGTCTGCTGCCGGCGCGGCTAATAGAGTGCTGAGAGTCACTGGGCCGATACTCCTACCGGCTGTCGCTTATGGTGCCTACAAAGGGAACTTGCTAGCAATGCTTGGGTCTTTCTTTACAGGCCCAGGCAGAACAAGTCGTGTTGTAGCTCTGGTAGTCGTGCTTGTTAATTGGAAAAGCCTGCCCTTTGCGTGGACTGTATGTAATCTCCGGGCTGACTGTCCTACATTCAAAAAAAGGTATTTACTAAAAGAAATGCTCATAGTTCCGCGTTGTCGGCGCTATGGTAACGCACCTAGGTTTTAGGCGCTTTCATACACACACTCCCGATCAACTCTTCCACCCAGTGATAACGCCATCTCATGTCTCGCTTCTCGAAGTCGATTATAATATCCACAAGTCCAACTCGACCTACTTCGCCGACCTCGACGTCAGTCGTTCTCAACTAGTTTCACACTTATTTGCTCGCGGCTGCCGCGAACTCGCTGACAATAACTCAACACGCCTGGTGGTGGATCCGTCGGACCCTTCGAAGCCAGCTGAGGGTAAATTCAGCGTTATGCTCGGTGCTGTGCAATGTAGCTTCAAAAAAGAGCTACAACCTTATCAAAAATATGAGATGTGGTCCCGTGTTCTCAGTTGGGATCGTAAATGGCTTTACATCGTAACGCATTTCGTTGAACATGGTGCCGTCAAACCGCGGTCGTGGGACGGGGGGAACTTCGGCGCGACGAGGAAAGACAAGGGGAAGCCCCAGGATTGGGAGAAGAAAATACATGCTACAGCCATCAGCAAGTATGTATTCAAGATCGGACGATTAACAGTACACCCGGCTATTATTATCGACGCCAGTGGAATGCTTCCAGAACGGCCTGATGGTTGGGTCGCTACGGAGAATGGAATGGCCCCTCCATCTCATCTGATCACTGGCCATGCCGTCAGTGAAGCTGAAGCTAAGGATGGACATGGCAATTGGGACTGGAAGCAAACAGAACAGTTGCGTAATAAAGGCTACGAGTTTGCAGCGCATTTCGCGGCGCTAGATGGTCTACAAAGCCAATTTGATAGCGGTGAAGATGGGGCTCTTGGTAGATTTGGCCTCGCGTGATTTATACCGCATCTACACACTAGACTTTCAAACTCACGATATATATTGCTGGTCGCGTATTATATAGATATGGATTTATATCCTTGGACTTGGCCTTAGAAGAGTAAACATCGAAGACAATTACAGACTATCAATTAGCTTTTAAGCCTTCTCGACTGCTCTTATTGATTTAAGTATACAAATGATCTGAAGACCATCGAAACGTTGTATAAAAGAAGTTTACTATTAAGCACACCATGCCGTGCCAACAATTTATAGAGCTAAAGCAGCTATGGCCGCAGCAAAACCGAGACCGGCAACAGCCCGGTTACCGGCTCCGGGGGTCGCAGTTGGGGTCGAAGTCGCATCGGTAGCCGAGCCGAAGACAACAGAGCCGATCGCAGACGTGGCAGCGGCGCTAGCACTCGATATGACCGAAGAAACAGCAGCGCCACCGGCGGCAGCCGCGACATTTGCGCAGATCTCCGCGGAAAGCTTCGTTGTCTCTGTTGCTCTATTAGTCATGGTGTTCTCCTTGCCAAAGTATTACCCAGAAGCAATGGGTAATTGTGATTCAGAACATTCCAAGACGAGGGGTAAACATACTGGCCAGGTCATCGGTGTTACAAGAAGTCGACACACAGGTAATGGCCTCCTTAGTCAGGTCGTCGATATTGCTGCATTGGCACTTGTTGTCGGTAGTCGAGCAGCCAACCTTGGTTGAGGCGCTGTCTAAGCATGGCTTCGCGCAGGACGGAATCTCCGAGACAAGCTCTTGCAGACTCTCGGCGGTGACTGCGGCGGCGAAAAGAGCGATAGCGAGGGTCTTGAACTGCATTTTGAATAAATAGGTAGGTATCGATGTTTTATTTCCACGTAAAGGAGTGTATGTTCGTTTTCTTCGGCCGGCGATGAAAATAACGAGTAGTCGACGTGGTAGAGTAGAATGAGCGAGTAAGTTAGGATATTCAATAAGAAGAGATAGGCAAGAGAACAAACGTCTAGGGTAAATAATTTCGATACTGAGGCGTCGCAGCTTTTTTATCTACATAGTACGTTTGATGAAATGCCCTGACATACATACTACCTAGTATCATTGAATGATACCCACCTCCGTAGGATCCTACTATACCTTGGCGACCCTTGACTAACTGCGTATGGACACAAGTACCAAGATCGGCCAGAGTCTATTGCATCACCAAGCTCGAGGTCTTCCTGTCTGGCTGTATGTATGCATAGCTATGTGACACTAGCAGGCTTTCCCTCCCGTTTTGTGCCAACAAAATCTTCGCTTCTCTCATTATAAAGTATAAAGAGATACGGCGTGAGGGCTAATAGAGAATATATACAAATAAGACAATGCGATACTCCTTATATTGTACGTCTCAACGTCCCGTACGAGGTGATAGCCTATTAACGGCAGTTCAGTTTTCCTCAAGAACGAGGAGTTGAAAATGCGCCCCTTAACTACAAACATGCCGGGGGGGCCTGCAATTTCATGCATTAGCTCAGGGGTATAGCTGTACGAGGCCTAGTGCTATCCCAAGCAACAGCTATATCCATGTCGAATTTGAAACTGAATTTTTCCATTTTGCGGGGATCTCAGAAACGTTTCTTATTGATGGATAAGCGGGATAACATACCTTAGGTAGGTAGGTAGGCAGGTACCTAGGTTAGTTATGTACATAGGTAGTTGGTAGAAATGATCTGATGTAAGCGATTGCTTTAAAAGACGTAATATAGCGATTTTCTCCTAGCCTTGGGTATTTAACATTGTAACTTAGTCACATCGAACGACACAGGCGTCTTTATTCATAGATAATCCATCTATTTCCTTTCCTGTAGATTAGGTACCTAACCTAGGTAAATCGCCTAGTCGCACGATGCTTGAGCTGGTAGAACGTATTTAAAGACTTCCGGAAAAGGTAAAGTAAGAGAATATCTACATACATACCCTATGCACTTATCGACCATGCTTCACCAATACCCTGAACGCAGATCTTATAGATATAAACTAATTACAAGGGATGTATGCCACCCCTATGGACCTAATACGTCATTGGGTTTCTTTTGATGTATCCTTGCCGTTCGAAATAGACAGCGAGACTAATTTCAAGGCCTACATAAACTGTTATTGAATTCATATTGTCAGATTGACCACTTGACCAACAGGTATCTTGTAATGTCATAAATGTCATTACTTAATATATGCGACACATATTGTATCTGGGACTGAAACAACCCACATCAAATCCTCGTTCAAGACCCCGAAGCGGCAAATGGGTAGGCAAAACAAATATCCTCTGAGAGAGGTCATACCAATCTCCTATCCAGTCCGAGAGCTCTCCTACACTAGACAATATTCGAATGCCTCGAATTCCTTTTGCTATCGAAGGCAATGTGAATCCCAGTCAATGTTACCAGCTATTAGCACCCCCAAGTAACATTGGCCCTATCCTATATTTAGTTCCCATACGTGAACATATTGTCTCTAAACAATAAGTCATTACCTAAACTATATCCCCGCCGCGAGTATTGATCGACTCTAAGGATATAAGGTAGGTCGTAGAGACCGGCGCTGGCTCGGTGTGTTTGATTTTACTCGCATTTGAACCGGAAGAGTCCCCTACTAGGTTCTTAGAGCTATTAAATAATGAACGAAGACTAGAAAGGAGCTTCGAGTCTTGAAGCATAAGATTCCACGTCGCTGCAGCAGCCGGTGTGCAGCTAACAATGACGGCAACATTCATTTCAACAGCGCTTGAAATTGCTTGTCAGTAATCCCTCATAGTGATCAAGTAGGCCTTAATGGTGAAATCTTACACTGTTAAGTAAGAAGCCGCCACGTTCCATGTTGAGTCATCTGTATCGTTTCGCCATAGCACGATACGGAAGTAGAATACTAAGCAGCTGCTCACAATTCCACTATAGATTTCAGCGCATGCCAAGTAAGTGTAAGTATATGGAAGAAAAACTAACATGATAGCGGTTAAGAAAACTAAGCACAGCCCTACTCTCCTTTTCCGTGACACCTGCAGTGTCAATAAAATTGGAAAGGGTAAGACTAAGATATATAGGTCGGATACCACACTGATGAGGCCCATGACAACAAATGGAACCTGGGCTGGCTGGCTGTCTATTGATAGTGAAAGGTCCCAATGCTCATCGCCATGTGGGAAATTATATATGGCTGAAACTGGAACAAGGCTCCAGTAAGCGCAGAAGAGGAAGCCGATGCCACAGTAGCAGCACCATTTCATCCATGTCTTGACGCTAAATAGACGCAGGTACATTGTCAAAATGGCGGTTTTGGCGAACCACATAGCTGGGCCATATATTGTACCTAAAACTGCACTTTGCTACAAGATTTTCAGTAGGTATCGTGATATTTAGAGTGTAGGTTATACTTACTTTAACCCATGATTCATCGATAGCACTTAGTGGAACATCCCAAATATGCCGAGCCGTAGATGTTGCTAGCTTGAATTAGTACATTCTATGACTTATGTGGAGTCACTATTACAAGACATAACAACAGCACTGTAGACAGTCGTAAGCGCCCAAGATGCGATGCAAAAACCTTCAATCTGTTATTCGTAAGATCAATAATATGCTGTAAAGGTAACTCACAGTCGTCAAGCGCAAGCCCCTTGTATATCTTCGAATGTGCCTTAACTCTTAACAGTACCAACACGGATGATGTAGCTACCAGGATAATAGTTACCGAGAATGTCGTCGCTTTAAGGGACACGGGGTTGTCAAAATTGGGTGGCGAGCCATCAGGGTTTGGTAATAAAGGAACCTTGGTGAGATCAGTACCAGGTGGGATCTCCATTAGGATGTTGATGATGAAAACGATTGGTTGCGGAGAGATAGGTTCTAAGTTAAAAGAGAAAGGAGGATATTCCTATCAGGAATTACTTGGGATTTTAAAACTGCTTTTCAAAGCACTTGTTATAGCCGTAAGAATAGACTAAGTATCAAGTCATAGTCGTAGTTCAGAGCATTAATGTGCCCAAATCACCTAACAGCACCAACACTTGTTGGTAAGTAGGTGCATATAGCCCCCACATACCACACAAGTGGAAGAAGAACTCGGTTGGAGTGCAAGAAATAATGAGAATTTCCAAAACCGGTTCAAAGACATAATTATAAACCTATTAAACGAGGTGGCCTAATGACCCCAGGATTTTACATGTTCCCCAGTTGCACATATTTGCAGGCAGAACAGTTGGAAAGTTAAACAGTGGATGAAGTTGGGGTCCAAAAGCCTGATAGGAGAGCCTCTAACAACCCTAGTATAACACGAGATCGTTTTGCCACCTTCAATATACTTATTATCACATATAAGACTTGGTTTCTTGTTATGTTACAGCGTCATCTTTGCAACACCAATCTATATTAGGAAGTGTTCAGCTTCTTGGCTACACACCTATTTACCTTCGCCGAGGGTTGGTTATCGGGACTATCATTAACAACAAGTGAGAAGCAACTTATAAGTTACAGGTTAACTTACATATCACGCCGCACATTGTAGCAAAAAAATAATGAAATTTACAGTTGGCATATCAATTGATGTGGATTACCTAGGTATTTTGAATGCGCATATGTAATCCATCAGACGGACCGGTTGTTAGTTGATTGTGGCCTCATATCGTACAGTAGGTAGTCCTAGCAAAAGGCTGGGATAACAATTAATTTGTTTCCACTGCCACTTCGCGATTTCTTTATGGTGTTGTCATGTATTAAGTAGTAACCTTTGTGCCATTACAAGATACCTTTTGGTGATGTGGTCAATCTGACAATATATTCGTAATCATCATATACCTTGTATTAGGTGGTTGATATAGAGAAGAAGCTGGAAGCGAATGATAAAGTCAACTACCTAAATGTCTCTCCGATGACGACGATGTTACTTGTACTTGACTGTCAAATTAATCCTGCTTCCTCGGCCTCTTTGGTACCCTTATTAACCAGTACAACAGTACTGCGAGTGCCACATTAATAACATTATAAACGATGGTAACTCCCCACTGCCACCAGCGGTCCTGGAAGCGTATGCCGAATTCGGCCAGCAACGAATCAGCAGTGTTAGACACGCACACTCTACACCCTTGTATATCCTTAGTGTTTTCAACCAAAACCGTGGGTGGGTTGAGGTACGAGCCACAGAATTGACCTGGTACAGGATCCAGTTTATATATGGCTATGTCGGAGCAGGTGATATTTGCCCCTGAGAGACCGGTCGCTATGATGGCAGACATATAGTATGAAAGTGGAGTTGCCCTGTACATGAAAATCCAGAAGTTCTGGAGGGCGCTGGGAGGCACGAGAACCCTGAAAGCAGATTAGTATAAAGCTCTTCACGGTGTGTGAGGAACGGTAAGAATTACCCGGAAAATATTAGCGACAACATAAATAAGAGGTTTCCATTATTGATCCCAGCTGGAATGTTAGGCATTATGGTCATGAGCATTTGTGAGAGAGTTTGAAATAAAACAAGCAGGGACCAAATTAGTAGAAAGATGAGACCACTACGGCTATTAAGCTCGTCCTGCGCGATCGCATTCTTCCAGAGACCTAATGGATAATACCACGATACGTACGCGATGACGCTGATGACGGTTTGTGATGCGAGCTCGACTATGATATTTGAGATAAGAAATACGATCCATGAGTACGTTCGGGATTGACGCTCTCGATTTTCATATAAGGTTCGACTGTTGTAGAATCGTTCCATTATGAGTTGTACATGTGTTCCGAAAATTGTAGAAAATACGAAGAGAGAGAAGATTTGGTTTTGGATGGCTTGGGATGTTGTTCCTGAGGCCCAGAAGCTCACCCCATTGATGAATGCCTAAATGTTAAAATTAGAAACCAGGTTTCTGATGAGTGAAATAGATACCTACATAACCAAATGTGGTAAGGCTCTTGGAATAGAGGTATTCCGGAGACCTCCAGTCATGCTGAAAAGCTCTCTTGGTAACGATGCCAAGTTGGTACCAGAAGGTGGTTGCAAATTCAGTAGCACGACTCTCGTTAAGAGCCATTGTAGTTGGCATCCTAGATAGCCGTTGGCTCATTTGACCACATTCCTTTTTAACAGCGGCACATTCCGCGGATCTGTCCCATATCTCTTCCCAATTCAGTGAGTGCTCGGCATCATCCGTGCTGGTGACTTCCATCATCCACTCAGCAGGGTTCTCATGGGGAAGGCATTTCCGGGCCCCGTGGCTTTCAAAGTAATTGATTAGTGAGCGAAATTCAGGTCCAAAGTCGCCGAAATATACTGTGTGGCCCTCCTTAAGGAAGAGAAGCTTATCAAATAGGGTGAGTATAGGACTCGATGGCTGGTGGATGGTGCATAAGATTGCCTGTCCGCTATCTGTTAATCTTCTTAGGAGAGTGCAGAAAGACCAAGATGAGTCACTGTCGAGACCGCTTGTTGGTTCATCGAGAAATAAGAGAAGCTCTGGTCGTGCGGCCAGCTCGGTGCCAATTGTGACACGCTTCTTTTGTTCGACATTAAGCCTTCCGACTATGGCATGCTGAAACGCTTGCATATCGAGCATCTCTATAACATAATCGACATAAGCCAGCTTTTCGTCAGTGGAGTAATGCTCGGGCTGCCGGAGCAAGGCACTAAACGTAAGTGACTCTCGAACAGATGCTGTTTCGAGATGTATGTCCTCTTGCTGAGCGTAACCAATCTTACGAGAAAATGCGATGTTTTGGTAGCATGTATCTACTACTTTGCTACCAGTGACAACCCCAATAGTAGTTCGCTCGGCGAGAACATTTAGAAGAGTTGTCTTGCCAGCCCCGGATGAACCCTAAAGAAGTGTGAGAATATGCGTCAATATGCCGGGAAACAAACTAACCATGAGTGCTGTCAAGGTTCCAGGCTTGACCCAACCATCTATCTTATCCAAAATGACTTTCTCCTGCTTTCCGATCTTGATTTTATAGGTGAGATTGCTCCAAAGAAGGTGTGCGCCATCACTTGTATCAAGTATACCATAGTTACTATTCTTATCATTATTAAACTTCTCGACACTATCTCGAGTAGCTTTACCCTTCTCTTCGTCGTCGATAATGGAATTAGCGGGCATATGACCCCTCTGGAATAGTAAAACGTCCGATCTTGGCGGAAGCATTGTAATGAACTCGGTGGCGAGAACATAAACAGATGAACAAAATACTAAGAGGGCAATTAAAATGCCAAGATTCCTGTACACGTTAACCTTCGAATGGATTTAGGAATTGTTTAACGAACCTCCAAAGATGTCCGCTCGTAAATCCAAATTGTGCGGCAATATAATCGTCCCCCGACACATATACTTGTCCTTGTCTGGAACCAACCACAGCGCAAATGAATGGCGAAAGATTATTGCGTATTTCAGGGAAGAATTTGCTACAGGCGAATTCTCGTCCAGAAAACTATACAACTCTTGGTGAGCAAAAAGCTAATTGGTTTGATGTCATACTTACTTCGTTGATGATCATAGCCTCAAAAGCGTAGTGCACCGGATTGATATACGTAAACCATTGAAGCCACGGGCGCATTTCTCGAAATGGTATCACGAATCCACTGTATATGGTTAATAGTACAACAAGTACTGCCCCAGGAGGCTGAGAACCAGCCAGAGTTCGGGACATGGCCCCCATGGACCTATATACCACAGATCCATTGAGAAGACTCATCAATCCAAATAGATAATAGGTAAAGAACGCTCCAGGCGTACGCCGAAGATTACTTAGGAAGTAGAGTGGGCAGTTAAAAGCGAATGTGAGCACGAGCTTGTTTGGTAGGTCGCAGACGAAGGATGCGACGGCTTCAGTAAAGGCATGGTAAAATCCGTATTGGACATGCTTCTCGATAATTGGGCGATCATCCCATAATGCTACGGACTAGTAGGTGTAAGAAACAAGTATAATAGAGACCATAGTGTGGGATAGCTAGGTTCCTACCTCGAAGGCGGCCAGTGTCGTGTTGACCAGACTAGTAAAAAACAGTAGCACTCCGCGACCAAAGAAACTATCGGTATCATCTTTCATGTTGTAAAACATGCTACCGAGGATAAGGGAAACAACAAAGTTCCCCATGATAGTGGATATTGGTACCCCTAGATTATTACGCAGACGAAGGAACCCCCGATTCACACAGAGCCCGATTTGCATCGGGACTGGGAGAACATAGGGGGTTCTACCTTTTGTTAGTTACCCTAATATATCGTATGATTGGACTCTAACTTAACTAACCTTCGCTCTTCGAACCCTTTCAGCTCCCTCGGCATTACCCGGCGATTCTTCTCATCCCCGAGAGGGTAAGTGGCGTTATAAGTATCGACCTCATTAATCAATGCTTTGTATTGATGGGAAGTCTTCCATCTCTGCTCGAAGTCCTCTGCAGTTCTTGGCAGCCATCCGATGCCGTCCCTTGTTTGGGGGCGTAAATCGAGTGGTCTCGTAACAGACGTAAGGAATTCAGGGGTAGTGGATCTGTTTGGGGGGATATATCCGAGGTCGGTGAAATATTTTTTAGCATCTCTCGTAGATCCAAAATAGATCTGTCGTCCTTCATATAATACCGTCACTTTATCGAAAAGCTAAATTGTATGAGAATTTATAAATGACTTGCTTCGTATTAACTATACTCACATCATATATCTCTTCGCCTGCTTGGTATAAAGTCACAATGGCTACGGAGCGGTTCTCTGTAGTACGTTGTCGTAGGGCCTTGACGAAGTCACGAGCATTGACACTGTCTAACCCTCGTGTACTATTATCCCAACATTGGAAGACACTGTCTCCTAGGAGGATTTCCTAGGTATGGTCAGCGCATGAATGCGAGTTTGTTATACAATGATCGTATATACCGCGATACTCGTTCTTTTGCGTTCTCCTCCACTAACTCCAGGAACATAGGCGTTCCCCATCTTGGTATCAAGGGCTTTAGATAAACCCAAAGCGCGAACATCGCTTTCGACAGTAGCTTTGGTCACATCCCAATACTTAGGAGGTCTTCTTGCTCTATAGGCAAACTCAAGAGTCTCTCGCATAGTTAAGGAAGGGAAGTGGATATCGAATTCAGCTTGATACGTCGCTTTTCCTCGGAACTCAGTAAAAATTTGCTTCGACGACAAGCCTTACATGTAGGTGAGTATATCGCGATCTCTACGAACGGAGGAGAATGTTTACCTTGGTAGTTAATAGCCGCCTCTTCGTCTATGTAAATATCGTATGTCTGTCCTGCTAGAGACTTCAGCATGGTGGTGCATCCGCTCCCTGGATTTCCGAGCACTAGTAACATTTCGCCGCTCGGTACAACTCCGTCGAGTTCATGGAGGATGTCGATCCGGAATCGTGGGTTTTTCGTAACCCAATTTGCAACAGATGCACCGAGAAAGTTTGCGACAGTGCGTTGGTAGTCCGTTCGTCGGCCGAATGCGTGAACACTCAGATTCCGAAACGCAACACTCATAATGTTTCTACGCAAAAACTCAGAATGGGACAAAGGATAGGTCATATCAACGTGTAACTAACCTTGAAGGAGTATAAGGTGGTTGTTGCTGGATGATTTTTAATGTATCCTCCATTCTTTTCTGGTTGTTGACACCATCTTGGAAAGGAGCCGAATTTGTCTCCATAGCTGCTCATAAAATGTTGATTCAGCTTGGTAATGATTCATTCCTTTGCCAGTGAAGACTCACAGCTTCTTAAGGAAAAGAAACTAAAATTCTGAGTAACTATATTTTCAATCCTTTGTAGGTATGCAATAATTCCTAATGTTAGAGAAAAGCATAGCCCCCTAGAAAGGGAGAGGCTTATTACTATGCAGTCACAGTCTTTGGTGAGTGTCTATGGGCTGCTTTGGATACTAGTACTGTGCTGTGTTTGTGAAACCAACCACGTCGTCTAAATGAGCGCTATGAACTCTAAAGGCAATGCCCGGTGATCTTACCAAACCATTAGCATATGTCTACGATAGTTCTAGTTACACAGTCAGACAAGGGCAGGCCCTTCTTAGATAGATATTTGAAGGGAGAGGATTGATTAGAGCTTCAATACCGGTGGCTAAATGATATGAGTACTGTCATAACAAAAGTACCTGCCGAGCCTTCTCACAAGCTGAATCGCCATGTGCAAGGTGGAATCATACAATTATGTCATATTGGCCAAGACACGAGACGCCAACATTCAAGCAATCCCAAAATCGATAGGTTACACAAGAATATGTAACTCGTATCATATAACCGACTAAGGCGGTTAGGTAAGAATTATAAAATTGGGAGGAATAAGCAGGCTACGAAGAAGGCAGGGTTATACTAGATTAGACATACAGCACGGCACGGTTACCAACCCAACCAAGTTCAGAACCCAGATGGGACCAATAAATCGACACCGATAAGACTTGAGTTAAAGCAAGCGTGTGGAGATTGGGATACGTGTTGGTTAGGGTTCACATGTTGGTATGAATTGTTATTCAGTATGAGGAGGCTCTTCGATGTTGTGTTTTCAAACTTTGCCAAGATGCCGTCGAGGTAGGCTACGAAGGGCCAACCAATGTAACCCACCTTCAAAAGCATCCAGTAAATTAGACACTCCCAACACGCTTATATGTGATTTTCTAATAATGTTCAGATAGGTGCCTTGTAACCCGGTTAAAATTTAGTAATTGATGCAACCATGGAACTCGCACTTATATCGTTTTAAGCCTCACTCTTTAACGGCTCCTAATTGGGGTGGAATAGGTAGCTAATACAACAAAACACGTGGAAGTTTCTAATATGCTCATGTTTCCATTTTAAAGACAGGTAGATACCTACCTCCTAACCTAACATACAGATTACCCTGCATAGAGGGGTGTAAAATGAGAACACTGCCTAGAGAGAAGAAAACCAATCGCGTTCGTTTATGCCTCTTATTCACAAGGGGAGAAAGTTCCAAGTACATCCTCCTTTGGAAGAACACAAGTCCTTCAAGAACTAGATTTCTCTATGTTTTCGTCCAAGAGACTGCAGTCAATTTTTTTAAGGATATGAGCCACAATGAGTTTAATTGCTACAGCATCGTAGAACCTTCCCGGACTATGATAATTATTAGATGGTTCTATTAAATTAATTGAGTATTCACTTACCAGACGATCCGTCCAATCCCCCACGTATGGTAGTTCTCAGACAGGTCCAAAAGCCTCGACGGTCCTTCTGGCTGTGATATTGTTTCCATGTTTCCATATTTCTCAGAACTTTGTCCAGGGGTGCTAACCGAAAGCCTTCGAACTTGGAGGCGTGAGGAAAGTATGCCTCATCATTTAACATCCCCTTTGTTGGTACGCAAACCTAGTCCCCTTTTTTGATCGTTGTTCTAACCGAAAAGGTGAAATCCTTGAGAGCTGACCTTCGACCAGACACTGAACATACCTATGTAGATAGATGAGTCTATGTTTTGTTAGCTACACAAAACTCCGCCGTTCCGATTTCATAGAGCCGCATATAACACCTGAAAGTAACGATGGCACATAGATCTTAGTATTTAGTGCCTCGGGATGACTCAATGTTCATAAGCTTAAAACCCCCCAAAACAGGCCGTCTTAACCCACATAAGGAAGGTTAGTAACTATGATAATGACTATATTTTAACCAACCATGTTTGTTGGATGAAATACGTAAAATTGAATGGGGAAGGGATATGATATTATGGTTACATTCACGGTTCCCTTGCTGTTAAATCCTGATAACTTGATATGTTAGGTACCTGTTTTACCAACCCTTTACTTTTTAGTGATAAAACGTTTGGTAATTGCCACACAATTAATACGTAGTAATATATTCTTTATAATTTAATTAATTATATTAGATTTATAAAACCGCATTATTTACTATTAATTATATAAAATTAGAGAATCTAGGTCACTTAACAAAGCTGACTAATCTGACAACAATTAAGCTTACAATAAAGCCCCGGTAAGCACGGAATAAGATAAACCTATAATTAAAAGATCAGGTACTAATAGCAGATAAGCCGGCTCAAAGGCGAGACTACATGAGCTGGGGTCCCAACAGTTAATAATAAAAGCCACAATTCTTATAACGTGAGTTGTATCACTTTCTAATATCATATGTAGCCAAGAACTGTTAGGAAGTTGAAAGTTCTAACATACCTGGTAGGTAAGTAGCCTATTTATCAAGTTGCACAGGATACTGCCACAAGGAAACATATGTCTGAACGTCATTTGATTCATATTGTCTCGTGTGCATACGAGGTACCTATGTACTTGGTATATCCTCAGGTTGTAGGATAGTTGTTGGCGGGAGACTGAAATAAACAATACATTCTAACCTAGTCGCCACTCATCCAACGGGTTTCATTTTTGTTGCCTTTCCACATGTCCAGGTCTAGTTTCCCTTACTGTTAATGTTACAAGTAGCCGATATCAAAGGCTCTTTTGGACCCCGTGTACCATACCGCTATCTCTCCAAGGTTCCATTTTCCTTTGCCCTTTCTCTACCTTCTTATCGGCATGCCAGGTACCTAATCCACTCAGGGACTTATGGAATGATTCGCCTAATAAGCCCGTTCATGCAATCACATTCTATTAACGGTGCCTCCAAGTCAAGCTACATATCTCCCGAGATGTCTATCTCAGGCGCAATCGAAGCAGTAAAGAAGGTCTCAAACGACTTAGTTGTTCTCCCTGGAAGCGAGGAGTATGATGAGATCACCAAATCGTATTTTACGGAACTAGAACGCGAGCTGAAACCTGCATGTTTCTTAACTCCAAACTCGGCATCACAGGTTGCGAGCATAGTAACGGCCATAAAACCATTTTCGGGTCCTTCAACGGTTGCAATTTGCGGCTCCGGCCAACAGGCAACCCCCAAAGTTGCAAATGTTCGCCATGGCCTCGTGATCCATCTTCGCCATCTCCGAGGGATCGAGATTGACATGGAAAAGGAGACCGTCTCGATCGCGGCCGGGGAACAGATGGGACACGTATATGAGAAAGTAACAGCAGCGGGATTCGGCGTTGCTGGGAATCGACATTCGAGCGGCGGGATAGGGGGAGATGCCGTTCAAGGCAAGTTTCGATACATACTACACATACCTACTACATTCTAACTCTCTCAGGCGGACTATCTTACTTCTCTTATGCTCGAGGTTTCGTTTGCGATAGCGTTGTCAATTACGAAATCGTCCTTGCCAATGGGGAGATCGTAAACGCAAATGCCGAAACAAATAAGGATCTATGGATCGCACTCAAAGGTGGCGGGAATAACTTTGGGATCGTCACACGCTTCGACCTCAGTATCTTCAAGCAGGGCCAGCTGTGGGGTGGCAAGGTCTTTTACTTCGAGCCTAGTTTCTCCGGGCAAATACAAAATCTTGTCGACTACATGCATAACCCAGAAGCCGATGTCGATGTTCATATCTGTGTTAGTCTCGGATATGCCGCCGCAGTTGGTAGCATTCTCTGCATGAATGATATTTTTTGCACCAAGCCCGAGAAACCAAAAGCACTTGAGCCATTTGCGGATATCCAACCTCAGATCGACCAGATGAAGACTTTACGCATTGATAACTTGAAGAATCTTACTACCGAAGCATTTTCCGGTGCTCCTTCTAACAGGTAAACTTATCCATATTCCTCGGTGCTTAAATAGACGCTAAATTCAGATAGGATAGTGAAAATTTCCACAACTGTCAAGGTTGACACTGGTATTCTCAAGTATGCTGTAGAAACGTATCATGCGGCATTCGAAAAGCTAAAGGAGGTGGAGAATCTCTTATTCTCAATCACCTTCGAACCCTTGCCTGTATCCATGATCGAACAGTCTATAGCTCGCGGAGGTAACTCTCTCGGACTTAAGCCATCAGACGGCCCTCTTATTGTGATACTATTCTATAACTCCTGGGATAGTCCTGAGCATGATGAGAAGGTATACGATGTGAACAAAAAGGCCCTCGAAGTCATCGACAAGGAGGCACAGAGTAGGAGTGTATCCGCCGCTTACCGATACTTGAACTACGCGTTCACTCACCAAGATCCTATCAGTTCATATGGGCCCGAGAGCAAGGCACATTTGCAAGCTGTTAGCGCCAAATATGACCCAGAGGGTTTCTTTCAAATTGCAGGCGTAGGACCTTTTAAGCTCTCGAAGTAGACCTAAGACAACGGCCATCTTGCCCTATCATAAAACGGAAGACGAAAGTGGTTACAACATGAAAAGCAACTGCAATTCTTTAAGCCTCTGAGCTTCAAGTAAGCGGATAGATTTATAGGTGCTTTAGGTAGTAATACTTATATTATGTACTCCAATAAATGAACTGTGCCGCATCGTCATCAGTAATTTCGAGTAACCCCACCGTGTCAGGGAGACGAGCTGAGGACGGATTTTCAACCAACGTGTACCTGTGAACTTGTAACCCAACATTAGCCCTACACAATAGCGGTTCAAATAAGTAGTCAAGAGACTACTTTCAGATACATTACATGGTATCTTGGCATAGAATGGATATATAGGTGCCTAAGAAAGATATCCCTCCCCACTCATACAGTTGATAGATCAAGTCAATCTACAATCTACAGCTCATATACCGTACCTTTCAGCAATAGCATCCTATAAAACTTCCCTGTGTAATATGACCATATTACAATTTATAAACATTTTTACCTTATTTTTAACTCTCTATCTATGTGGCTTTTCTGCACCGACTAAAGCTCCACCTCTTCAATTTAATGATTCCAAGGCTTTTTACATTGCCATCGCTGGAGCAGCCTCTGCGTTCTATCTCCACGATCTATCTGTCTCGAAGTTTGACAAACCCATCAAGGTTACTATTCATGAAAAGTGATGCTATTTCTAGATTGCCATAACACTCTTCCTCGAATTATATATCGATCGTACCGGCTGTGCAGATGATGACCTATGCGGCCAGTCTGTCGATGTTTATCAAGTTGATTCACACCAGCCTATATCGCGAGAAGACATTCGCAAAATGGCAAGGGACGCGCCTGCTAGCTGGATTAACTCGCAACCTTGGAACCGTAGGCGGTTTGTTAGTAAAAATGATTATGCGTCTGGCAAAGTGGAACTTGAACCAAATCTTTTTAATATCGATAATAACTTCCTGGGTACGATGGAAACAAGCTATAGGATGGGGAGAGATATAGCTTTGAAGCTACATGAACAAAAACTCTAGCCTAGAAGCCTTGATAAAGAACCAGATGGTACTCTATCATTTAAGAATATCAAGGGAATTGGTTAAGCGGTAGCACAGAATCTAGGTATAATATACATCAGAAGACATCTCCCTATTTTAGATTCGCAGCGTGACATAAGAGACTTTGGGGGACTAATCGGGAGATTTGAGCTTATACGAGTATTGATATAAAAGCCTTTAAACCATCTACCTGGCTCTACAATAAAATACATTGTGAGCAACTATTCCTATTGGGGAGCCCTGGTTCCTGAAACCTATCTCCTTTTATAAATACACCATACGAATTTCCGTCAATCATAAACTCTCCTTCTTCTCAAAGCGCTGGTATCTCTCCTCTCGCCACTTAGGACCCCATTTCCTTACTATTATAATACACGGACTTGCCGCTAACACGATACAACCCATGAAGAGGTACGTAAAACCATAGCCCCAAGCATCAATAATGTACTGCACCACGGCAGTCCCGACGGCGCTAAGCGTGGCGCGCGTCAAATTGAACGTGGAAGACACTCGCCCTGGGTTCATGGGATAGAGATCAACTAGCAGTGTTGTCAAGATACTGACAGGCCCGCTTAAACCAGCACCACCAAAGAACAGGACTACCAGCGGTGCAGCGAGGCTGGTCCCTGAGTCGACAACCCATCCCCATGCTATGATCATAGCTACGGCCAAGATTGTCCACGGCCACATCAGGTCTAGCCGGGCCCTCTCAATGGGGAATTTACGCATATCGTCGCCCCGTTTGCGATCCGGCGACACGCCGATGCTCTTAGCAACCCGCGTATAGTTCCAGTTTAATAGTTTACCGACGACGGTAGCTCCAAAGACCGACCCCACTGCGTAGGGGATGTAACACAACCCAACCTGGAGGTCATTAAAGTTATACTGGCGACGGATGACATCTTGTAGAGGAACCAGCATTGCGTAGTTAGCCATGACAAACAAGGACATAAAGAGCATGAGAGAGCCGACGTCTTTCTCAAATACTATAAGCACCGCGGCAAGCACGTTGGGCACAGGGATCTTCCTCGGAATCTTCTTCGGTTGTGGTAAAGTTAAACTGCCGCACTGTGATTCAACGTCGCGACGCTTCTTGCGCCATTGATACGTAGATGTCAAAGACATGTTTAGTCGTGGCGGGGGAATGGATCCATTCCCAACTATATTACGAGCGGTCTACGATCATGTCAGATTAGCTCATGCATACTAACGCCCAGGGGTAAACTCGCCTCAGGAACGAAGGGTATGTAGATAAGCAGAAATACGCCGGCGGCAATAACAAGAAGCCAGAACGTCGAACGCCAGCCAAGAAACTGTGTTAATATTCCACCTAGAACGGGAGCCAGAGCGGGCGCAAACATGACGCTCGCTTGCACAGCTGTGATATAACCGCCCCTGTCGGCGCTTGTGGTGAAGTCGGCCATGACAGCACTGCCAATAGCAACGGTAGCGCTACTGCCGGTGCTCTGCAAGGCTCGTAGAACCATAAGAGCTGCATAGTTATGTTGTAATGCTAGACCGATGTTGGCGCCGAGATAAATAGCGAACGTGAGCATGTAAACGGGACGGCGCCCGACCTGATCGCTAAGATCACCAAGGAAGAGCGGCGCAACAGCTTGCATAACCTGATACAAGGTGACGGTGAGATTGATATCGGCAATGGAGCGGCCATATGATTCTGCGATAGGCGTAATGGCAGGTAAGTAAATGAAAGAAGAGAAGGGCGAAAACAGCGTGGCGAAAACGGTTATGAGGACGAGGAAGACCTTCATCCGAGGAGAAAAGACCGAGTAAACCTCGGATTCATCGTTACCAGGAGTCTCGTTAACGGAGCGGCTTTCTTTATTATTCACGACGTTATCATTCCGTACGGCAGTCGACTCGGCGTCGGGCGAGTTGCCATCGGGGGAGTCTAAGCCGCCATGCAGCTCTGTTGTCTTTTCGTCGGGCGCTTCGACCATGACGTCACTATCTTTCTTAAACACGGAAATTTCTCTTTAAGATGAGTTGTTATTCTAGACCCATAGGCTCACACTGACAGGAATAGCTAGATAGATCTTAATATTTATATAACATTGTTATTGAGAAGCAATGATGTCCGTGCTCGGAACCGACGTCATTCGGAGCCGGCGTCGGCTATGGAGCGGCGAATAGCAATCGCAAGTTGTACATAATATCTACAATATCAGATACATGTCTACATCTCGTAGTTTTCTACTAAGTATATGCTATATACCGACTAAAATGATCATATGTACCTAAGTAGCTGTTGTACTTACGCCCTATATTTGCGATGTTGTTAGGGAATTCGGTCTCTTTTATGTAGGAGTTCTTCATAGAGACGATTGGAAACAGTTCTATCATTAGCGTGTTCCATTAGATCAAGTGTTGACTTTCCTAATTTAGAAATATTATGCATTTCTTGTCTTCTAATTGGACATATTTCCATTAGTGTCACTTGACATCTCTGAAAGTTTCGGGTGAGAGATAGGCGCTTAGGGGTAAGGGGGGGTAGTCAAACGTTAGATCCGGATAATTGAGATTGTTTTCGAAATAATCGATGGTCTAATTCACATCGGAACTTATTAGTAGATATTATGTAGACTATTGAGAAGTATATAACCCATTATGTCCGAGAGACTTGGGTGTCTGGTTTATTTAGAACTCCTTCTATTCCCTATATCCTGGCTGTTCCATGATTTCTTCCATTATAAAACCTTCTCCTAATGATGACTCCAGATTGTTGAAGAGGGACATGTCGAATGATTCCAAGTCAAAATCGAGACTTACAGAACTGGCCTGTTCAACTGAAGCTGATTGACAGCACTGCGATATACTCCTTTGCGATATTGGTGTATGTCCAAATCTATCATATATCATCCCTGAATCTTCATATTCTGCCCTTGGTATCGTCTTACATTGTTGTATCTGACGAAATTCGCGAAACGCATCTACTAAGAGACCCCTAACGCAATATGTTGCTGTTCTCTTTAAGCTTTCCTCGATGGTGTTAAAGTCTCTGTCAAGCTCTGGTCGTAATCTTTGCTGCAAACGCAAAGGTATTTCCCGGAGGATATAATCCTCGCATTCTGCTAACTGATCTAGCTGGCTCGGTACTATCTTTGCGACGTGATCATAGTCATAGACTGCCGCCTGTGGTTAGTTTCATAATTAAATCCCGCGTGTTGATACTAACAGGGAGTGGGAATGTCTTCATTTTGAACATCCGGGAATAATATCAAGTAGACCGCTCGCCATTTCTCTGTTTCACTCATATCACTTGTACCTTTTCGTAGCTTGAGCTGCTTTTCCTGGCTGTTATCAAATCCTTCTATCGGTTCTTTTTCTCTCAAACCACACGACTCTATCATTCTCTGGTGGCCTAGATAACCCTCTTCACTCTCAAAAGGTTCCTAGCAGCGCCCGCACCGATGAGATGGTTGCCGATGTCGCCGATAGAGATGCTCTCTGCAATCTGTTAGTCACCTATACCATGCCCACAAGGAAAAGGGGAGAGGGGAAAAGAACCGTACTTGACTCGATGTACGTCGAGCCATCCAGGCCCGGGGCATGTTCTCCATTCCTTGTATTTGCTTGGGTTATGTTTGAAGTACGGGCAAGCGAACTTCTGTTTTTGATGCTTCTCGCCATTGACGCCCTTTTTTATACGTCGCTGATCTTGACCACTCCCATTATCATCCTCCTCACTGCCACCGCTTTCCCTATTTTCATATTTCCTCTTCTTGGCCGCATTAGTCTGGTTAGAGCCTTGCCCCCGGCTTAACTGGACTGGGGGGCTTTTAGATTCTGGAATGCTTCCACTGGCAACTTTACGGGCTGTGTTGAATCCAGATTGTAGCCAATGCGTTATCTCAAGCACAACCTCATCCACAAGCTGTTTCTTTCTTACATTAAAGTACTCTCTGATAAAGGTTGAGGTTTCAATGTGGCAGCCCGTGAGTTCTTCTGGCTTATCCCTACTGGGATATTTTGATATAATGCCGTTTTCATATATCTATTTAAATAAAAGTGAGTACGATGCCACCTCAAATATTAATAGTAACTCACAGCACCATGTCGAGGAATATGCGGAAAAGCTTCGAATTGTTGAGATGTTCCGTGACAATCGTTATACAATTTCATACCTACTATTTGCATATCGAACATGCTTGAAAGCGACGTCTCATATTGTGGGCGTACGCGCCGTGATTGGACGGTTGGAAAGGGTACGTCGAATGCAGGTGATGAAACTATCTTTTCCGTTAGATCTGATTATGCAGAATTGCAGATGAGGCAATCCCTAAAACTAGAATGGTTTATATGGGTATGGTATTACCGTTATTAGATACTTTTAGCATTATTTCCTATAGCGATGATAGGCCTGTGAAATTTAAATGACGATAGAGTTCTAATACAACCTAGGTAGTTAACTAAAAAAAAAAAACAATGACCTAGTAGTGGTAATTTGTTATGGTGGTGATTTTATCTCGGGATGGTTTCTCTATATGGTAGTAGTCATCCATAAGAGGGAAAGTATGAAGAAAAATATTCCCTAGAAGGGGTAAGGGCGCCCAGACTTTATATCTTTCTCTTTCTTTTGCTTTTTTCATTTTTTTTATCCCCTTTACACGCAAGTGAAGTGTCCAGTACTATCCTTATACGAAAGCGACCAAGAAATACTTTGGAATATTCCTTATTTCCTTACTGTAAGCACTTGAAGGTGCTGTACCTTGTCTGTACCTTATCCGTACCTGGGAACATGCATGTATATAGCGATTTGTCAGAGTATGCAATAAACGTATAAGGCATTTCCCCTCCCCCGCATAGGATGTTTTGCGCAACTGCGCAGAAGTCCTATGTAGAGTACGAGTACTATGTAACCCAAAAAGTCCTATCGATATTCTATCGATTTTCTATCGATAAGATAGGTTGGCATCGAACCTTAATTTTTCACCCGTTACATGTAGTGTAGCTTTTACTTGAGCTCTTGTGGCGTCTTTAATGGGACAAATATGTTGACATCGCAATGGGTGTGCCGTCGCTGTATCAAGGCACTGGCACAGCCTCGGAATCGACAGTTCATACGGTTAGCCAGTACAGGTACGTAATATATTAGCTACCTCTACCTAGGTACCTAACCTATATACCTACCTACACATACTAACATTTCTCAAGAATCACAGACAAATCTACCCCTCGTCCTCCTCCAACGCGCCCGCAATATAACCGCCGAACATGACAAGCTCGCAGCCGACCTTGCCAATGACTTCGATTCCAAGATAGCCAAGCGTGTCGGCGAACTGTCGCGCGTCGCCGAGGCCCTGAAAGAATGGGAAACTGCCCAATCCTCTATAGCAGAACTTAATGCCCTTCTGCAATCACAGGATACCGAATTGCGTCAGCTCGCCAGAGATGAATTATCCACGACCAACGCCAAGTTTAACTCTTTGGCCACTGCTCTATCTGCCTCTCTCACCCCACGTGACCCCTTCGCTGATATGCCTTGCCTACTCGAGGTACGGCCGGGGCCCGGCGGTATGGAAGGTCGATACTTCGCAGACGCGGTGTTCCGCATGTACCGGCAGTATTGCATGCGCAAGGGCATGCGCACAAACATCCTGAAGTACGAGACAGTGGACGGGGGCGAGTCCTTGACTGGTGGTTCGAGTGAGTCTCCACTTCAAGAGGCGGTGCTCGAGATTTTGGACGTAGGCGCATTCGACCAGTTCCGCGGCGAGGCGGGAATGCATCGCGTACAGCGTGTTCCATCTACGGAGACAAGTGGGCGCACACACACGAGCGCCGTCGCGGTATGGGTCTTACCATCGTTCCCCGAGGACGAGAGTGAGATGCCTAACGAGCAGAGTTTTAACGATCCCAATAGCATCTTTTACGTAGACCCGCGAGAGGTCAAAGAAGAGAAGATGCGTGCAAGCGGAGCGGGTGGCCAGCACGTCAACAAGACGGAGAGTGCCATCAGGTTAACTCACGAGCCGACAGGCATTACGGTGTCGATGCAGGATTCGCGGTCACAGCACCGCAACCGACAGTCGGCGTGGACATTGCTGCGATCGCGCATCGGTCAACGCCGGCGCGAGGAGCGCGAGGAAGAGGCATGGGCGCTGCGCAATAGCGTGCTAAGCAAAGACAAGATCACTCGCGGCAATAAGATCCGCACCTACAACTACAGCCAGGATCGATGCACGGACCATCGAAGCGGCTTGGACGTACACAACCTACCCGACGTGCTGGAGGGTGGAGAAACACTAGACAAGATTATAGAGAGCACGAAAGAGTGGCTAGTAAAGCGAGACGTCGAGGCGCTGATCGCCGAGGAAGAAGCTGCTGCGGCGCCTACGGCTAAGGGGGCGAAGAAGACGAAGAAATGAGTCTTCTCTCATCTCTCCTGGACCAACAGCTTTGTGTTACTGGACTCACGACATAGTTGATATATGTACACCTCGCGTGTAAGAGGCCTATAGAAAGCCAACTCTAATAGAGAATTAGCTACCATACTAGAATTGCCACGATACCCAAACTTACCGGCCGTATCCTTAGATAAACCGGCATCTTTTATTTTTTCGCACACAAACCTAGCGGTCCAATTCCCAGTGAGCCGGTTCAAACCGGCACCTCCTCAATGGGACGTTCTTTCGTCATTTCAATGCCTTCTCCGTCTCAATTGTGACCTTTGTGGCACGGGACGTACGGGTCGATCTCGTATCAGGTACGCTTTAATCTCTCTAATGAGCATGATGCTACCCACCTCGGCCTCATTCTTCGTTGGAATTTCTATATTATTATTATTATTATTATTATTAACCGCTTCGGGATAGCTACACATACCTATGTACCTACCTACCTATTATGTGCTAAAGCTCATTATTCATTGGTGGTAATAATCGCGTGGATTGCAAGGGCCTGTTAGTGGCATGTTCTATGTAGTTGTTCTAGCTGTTCTAGCTATTCTGTACCTACATACATACATACGTGCGGCAAGGAAAGCTTATCGGGAAGCTTGGTAAACGGTTCCTGGTGAGCTTCCTAATGTAGCAATTGATCGGGTCTCGCAAAAGACGGTGGTCCCCCCGCGTCTTATATTGGGGCGTTATTCCCGTACCCACAGATAAGCAAGCTGTAGCTCGACGTAGAGGGCTGAGAGGATAATATAATTAATTACATACACGTACATACATGGTAATGTTTAGGTGTATAACCTCTAACCTAATGTATGAGAAGCTGTCTCGTCTTCTTTTACCTAAGTTAGGGGGCACATATGTTTCTTTTCCGATCGATAGGTATTACTTCAGTTCTGCTGAGAGTTTTCCTTGTTGTCCCCGCAGGGTTATCCTACGAACGGACGAATAATACCACCATTAGATATTCTCCATCTCAGCGTTTGATCTTCATCTCCCCAGCTCTCGCACGGCACAGCCAGGAACCGTTGATTTCCCCCCCACCTAAGGTCCTGCCTAAGGTCCTGCTTTCTTGAACCACCATGGTACTATCTGCCTTACATACGTAGGTATCTATGGGGTATAGGCATGGGTGGGTAATCCGTACAGCAGCTAAAGACGGCACAAGCCTATGTAGCACTGATGGGACATTGGGTCATGGCAGGGCTCTGTTACGTGAACCTCCTATTTTGGCAACTAAGTCTAATACGCGGTGACCAGACCAGGTTATGTAGGCAGAATACGAATAGACCGTTGCCGTAATCCCGGCAAGTTGTTGTTGATTCACCCTGACACCGCCAGCCACCATCTGGAATTTCTCGATCTCATTTATCTTGGTTTCCTCCCCCTCCATTCCTGACCTTCTCCCAAGCTGCATCTGCCAGAGTCTCGGCGCAGCCACAAGTTTCTCGTTTTTTTTGGGAACGCTTGCTCGAAGTAGTTCAGCGCTTGCCTTTTTGAATCGGGGGTCGTCGGGATATCTGTATTCTGTATAAGTACGATATAACCATGCATTGGCCTAAGCTTGCGTCTGGGCTTCTGCTATCCGCCGTCGCCGTGACGGACGCGCGCCGAAGTTTGCAGCACGTGGGCAAGAAGGATGCGAGACCCAAGTCTACCATCTCGGAGCACGATAACTTCGCTACGCGTTTCTTAGCTACGCGACAGTTACCGCCGCCTAAGTTTGCCAATGCGAATACCACAAGTATGGCTCCCTCCTCCGTGTTCCACATAGCTATATGAGACGTCGTGAAACCATATGATGTGTTCAAGAGTACCTGGCTAATCATCCCAACGACAGAGTTCGCCGTCAACGGTACCGGTATCCCTGATGTCGACTTCGACGTCGGCGAGTCGTATGCTGGGTACCTACCCATCACCGACAACCCTGACGATACCGATGAGCTCTTCTTTTGGTTCTTCCCCTCGTCCGCCTCGACGAATACGACCCAGAAGGAGATCCTGTTATGGCTTAACGGTGGTGTAAGTCACTATCACTTTTCGCTCTCGGTTGTAGAGCAACGCATGGTTCCATGTAGCTAACATTGGTTGGTTATTATAGCCCGGCTGCTCCTCTTTCGAGGGTCTCCTCCAGGAAAACGGCCCCTTCATCTGGCAACCCGGCACCCTAAAGCCGATTCCTAACCCGTGGGCTTGGAACCGGCTAACAAACGTGGTATGGGTAGAACAGCCCATCGGCACGGGTTTCTCGCGCGGCAAGGTGACGGCCCGCGGAGAGGAGGATGTAGCCGCCCAGTTCCTCGGCTTCTGGAAGAACTTCATAGACACATTTTCCCTACAAGGCTACAAAGTATACATTGCGGGTGAATCCTACGCCGGCGCATACTGCCCGTACATCGCATCTGCCATGTTAGACAAGAACGACAGCGCCTACTACAACGTGTCAGGTCTACTCGTATACGATCCCGTCCTCGGCGACGACGTTGTCCAAGACTCCGCCACCACGGTCCCCTTCGTCGATTACCACCACAACTTGTTCACCTTCAACAATTCCTTCAGCGCCCACATCCACGAACTACACGATTCCTGCGGCTTCGCTGACTACAACGCCAAGTACCTGACGTACCCACCACCAGGCCTGCAGCCCCAGGGCTACAGCCAGAGCGTCAGTTCCGAGTGCCAGAACCTGTGGGAAGTCATCCTAGAAGAAGCACTCAGCATAAACCCTTGCTTCGACGTGTACCAAGTCGCCATCACATGTCCCCTGCTGTGGGATGTCCTCGGCTTCCCCGGCACGATCGGATATCTCCCGGAAGGTGGTGAAATCTACTTCGACCGGGCCGACGTGAAGAAGGCGATCCACGCGGACCCCAACACCAAATGGGCCGAGTGCACCGACGGCGACGTCTTCGTAGGCGGTGATAGGTCAGACCCGTCTTCGTGGAAAGTACTCCCGCATGTCATCGATGCCACAAAGAACGTCATCATCGGACACGGATCTCTCGACATGATCTTACTGCCAAACGGCACTCTACTCACGATCCAAAACACAACGTGGGGTGGACAGCTTGGCTTCCAATCCCCTCCCGTCGAGCCGTTCTTTGTGCCGTTCCACACCCTCAGCACAGCAGACCAGATCGAGCAGGAAACCGACCAGACAAAGCTGGGCAGCATCGCCGCGGCTGGTGTACTGGGGACAGCACACACGGAACGAGGACTCACCTACGTCAGCATCGACCTGTCGGGCCACATGGTCCCGCAGTACGCGCCCAGTGCCGCATTCCGCCATCTCGAGTTCCTGCTCGGTCGTGTTGACAGCCTGAGTTCCGTCCAGCCGTTTACTATCGAACCCAACTACCCACAGCCCCCTGCAGACGCGCTGGGAAATGGCACGGGACCTGCGACGTTCAGCACGGCGGCGGAGCATGGGACAGGTAACGTGGCGGCAAGTGCTGAGGCGAAGGGCTCTGATGCGGGGAGGATCGGGGTGGGCTTCAGTGCGATGTTAATGGCCGCTGGTGCCATGACAATAGTTGCGATGCCGAATTTGTGATCTGTTAGTTATAAACTGTTCGGTTAGGGATTATAAAATATAAAATGCAATTTCTTGTATAACTATTCGATTGCGATCAATGAAGGTTTGCCAAAATTGTAAGATTTTTTTATTTTTTTTTATTCATTCATGGAATTCGAAATCATCAATATGACACGGGATTCCCTGCACTGAGAAATTCATGAATAGCAAAATACTTGTAAGTGATTTTTAGTACATGAGGGGAGTAGAACAACGAACTACACCATGTCCTACCCAAGGAGCGGATAGTATCGTAAGCGCTTCAAACCTCCAAGCCAGCCTACCAACCCCGCCCCCTCCTTTCTCTCCCCTCCTCATGATATTTCGAATATTCCGATTCTTGCTGTGACCATTCATAAAAGACGTTACGAGCCTCCCATCGCTTTTACTGCCTCCAGCTAATTCCCCAAACGCCTTGCTAATTTGAAACACCAGAAACGGATATACAAGTTGTGTTATAACACGGGTATAGTCCTGAACCAAGAAAAAAGAATCCGGATCCATGTTCACTGCTCAAAGACGTTTCCCTCTCGTCGCCTGAGCTCCCTGAGTACAGCAACAACGCCATTACTCCGCAGCCGTTCTAAGACGATGCGCATCCCGTCGCGCGATTTGAGTATCTGGTCGTCTGTCTTGTTCGAAGCGATGGATTCGATACTGCTCTGGATCCGCTTGGCACCCCATCCCGAAATCCAGTCACCAAATCGTCGCGTGCTAGACTCGTCGCTTCCATCTGTAGATTCTGTCACAGCCTTTTCGTGCTTCTTTCCGCCCAATGTAGATCTGTAGGAGAAGGTTGTTGTAACAAAGGTGTTGGGAGCCAGGGGTCGGTGAGCTGTATGAGTACGAGAGCCTCCTACAGCTCCAGAACCAGAGATCGAGGATGACGTAGCTTGGTCGGGAGAGGTGGTTGAGTAGTGTTGCTCCTCGACTACACTCAGGACACCCGTATAATTCAGATTCCGACTCTCCGTCTTCATCCAGCCCTCTTTGATATCCACAACGCTAGTCTCCAGGACATAGCTTGACTTGTCACCACCTCCACCAGTAACGCTGCTAGGAAGGAGCTTTACTACGGCGGAGGGCAAGCGGGTCTTCTTCATATGGATACGAGTCGTGTGCAGGCGGCCCGTTTCCTGATCGACATGCGACGAGATGGTGTCTGTGGAGAGAACATGGCTAGAGAAGGGATTGAGACGTGGCGAATAGTAACGGAGGAAGAAGGCTAAAGTCACGGTCGGGAATGGGTGCGAATAGGTATGATTGGTCGTGTGCGTGAGAACCATCTTTACTTATATGGCTCGGTTGTTTGAAACTAGGTGTAAAGGCGAGGGAAAGTCTTGAATAATAGGGATTTCGGGTCTCGCCAAGGTGAAATATCAGACGTCCCTAGAATTCAAATGTCTATATCGACATGAGTGTGGCTCGTGAGAGGTTCCGATGCGGTTGCCTCGAAACCGAACGAATTTTTCTTGCTTTTTTTTCTTTCCCTTTTCCCCGGACTTTTGTAGGTGATAATGCCCTTAAATCGAGGCTAGATTAATAAAGTGTTAGACGATGATCAGCAACAAATAAATTGTGAGGGAGTCCTAACCTAAAGAGCAAAATATAAAGGGGGGGGGGGGGGGGGGGGTAAAGGGGAAGAAGATAGAGGAGGGGAAGAGGTGGTGGTGATGCCAGGTGATGTGATGTGTGTGCGGTTGCTAATGGAGGATGGAGACTAAATGGATGCTTATCGAACGAGGGCCCATGCTGCCATGGAATGGAATGAACCAACGGAAAGAACATTCGACGCCAACCAATCCGCCCGAGCTCCGACGCTGCAAAAAGTCGGTTTTTAATCTAGGTAAGTTACACTAAATTGGATCCGACCTGCCAAGTAGAACCATTTAGCTAGACTTTTGATTGGTTAGATCTCGCTAGAATGCGGGGAAAGCTTAGTTCCATAGGTGGCAATGCCCAATCTACTTCCTATTAACCAATACCAATCAGCATTTGGAATATTAAGTCCCTCGATTATACTTTTACATGTATCATTCGATTGGTTTATTCCGGGCTTGTCTTCTTTCAACTACCTTTTCTTGACAAAGTTGATGACGATCTGACTTGAGACAACAGTCTAGTTTCGCATCGAGATGGTCGCCAATATAACACAACTAACCTAGATCTTCTAAACTCTTTGTTTTATCATCAGGCCATTATACATACTTGTCATGCTAGTTAGTCTTATGACAGTTAGATCTAAGATTATTCTATGTATTACCTAGTCTTTAGGCACGTACATGTAGCTGTTTTCGACATCGTTGCTAAACCCTAATACATAAGTACCTTAGGTAGGTCTATACACGTACTACCGACAATGGACCTCTATAGGTCTGCACGTCGACACGAGACCAGCAGTTCCGCAGCTAATGTTGTCAGGCAATATTCAATGTCAACCGAGACGTAACCATTCAGAACCCAATCATTGCCCCTCTTTCATGACGATCTCATATTCTTTACTATGTGTATTCGTAGTAATATACGAGCCTTATTCCGATACAACTAGCCAATAAAAGCAATTGCATTACCCGGAGTGCATACATTCATGAGACCCTGAAAACTCACAACGGCAACTCATTATTGAGCAATTACATAATGCATTATATTCGAAGTTGTACGAAGTACTCAAGTATAATACCACATTTGTAATCCATTGATAGCTGGGCTACAATTGGTCAAATCATACTGTGGCGCGAGCTACCCTGCAAGGCTTTTAGCCCCGGCACCAGCCGTTTACATCATTCCGATTGACGGATTGATCATCTCAACTTTTCAACCGCAAAAGTGACAAGAAGGTATTATCTGATATACCCACCCAGCTCCAGACTCGAGACTAGGATAGTATCGCGAGCAGCACATCAAGATGTTCTCACGCCCATTATTCTCAGCAGTATGTCTTCTTCTACGCTCCCCGCAGTAGCAACGATGAACATTAACTAAACCTTTCTTTCTTTGTGGCGACAGACCCTGCGGCAAGCCGCTCGACCCATCGCCCGGCCGGTGATTTGCAGTCGTCCAACACCCTTCCTCACAACCTTCCAGCAGCGACTGCTCTCTGATCACACGCGGCAAGCGATCCAGAAGGCTGTTTCCTCAGCTCCCGTTGTATTGTTTATGAAGGGTACTCCCGAAACGCCGCAGTGCGGTTTCTCGCGCGCCAGCATCCAGATCCTCGGTCTACAGGGCGTTGATCCCAACAAGTTCGCCGCGTTCAACGTACTAGAGGACCAAGAGCTTAGATCAGGTATGGGTTCTCTTCTTCCCTTCCTTTGGTCTAATATCGCATCGTGGGGTGGGCAATAAAACCAAAGGCGAAGTCTGACTAATACATTACTCTACTGGAATAGGTATTAAAGAATTCTCGGACTGGCCCACGATCCCGCAGCTCTACCTCGACAAGGAATTCGTCGGTGGATGCGACATCCTCGTATCGATGCACCAGGATGGTTCGCTAGCCAAGATGCTCGAGGAGAAGGGCGTCCTAGCCCCCCTCGACGGCACATCCGAGTCCAAGGAATAAAGCAAGTACAAAAGAGCGCAGTATGCGAGTGGCAATGATTCTACTCCAAAATAGAAGCTAGACGACGTTTGTACGATTTGGTTAGTTATGCATATATAGACGTCGGTGTGTATTTAATGCGGGAACACTTGGTCAAGCTGGAGCTATCCAATACGATATCCTATGACCAATTGACGACGTATATCCACGATATCTCAAGATAATATAATAAATACAGTCACTTCAGCGAGTAACAGCACAAAGCACGGTTTAGTAGTACCTCGTAACACCAATATAAGCACCCTAGCAGTCATCCTAAGACCAGCATGAGAAATACTCTCAAGACAATATCTCATTCTGTTCATGAGCTAAACATAAAGCTTGGTGGTATAATTCAGCTATACACGCTTTTATAATGGATACGCCCCGCCATCTCCCCGCGGATCGCTGCCCGCGGACCACACTCCCACATTCTCAACGGGGTCAATGCTCCAGCGGATGATCTGACCGCGTCCGAACTGCGCCCTCTCCACATCCGTCACAACTTCAACCTGGTGTCCTAGCTTCCGCAGACCCTCTACCGTCTCGGAAGGCATACCCTCCTCCACGAATACGGTCAGGTCTGCCTTGCCACCTTGACTCATACCAGAGCCGATGCACACGCGTGGCGCGTCGAGTGCTTGCTGTGGGCTGAGATGGCCGACGATTTGTCCTAGGAGCACTTGCACATGCCCTTGGGGCTGCATAAACCCGCCCATGACGCCAAATACGCTATGCAGGCTGCCGTCGTGCAGGTTAGTTACCGCAGCCGGGATGATGGTATGGTACGGGCGCTTGCGCGGCTCTAGAACGTTCGGGTGTGCTGCGTCAAGCGAGAAGTTGGCCGCTCGGTTCTGTAACGTAAACCCGCATCCCTTGGGCACGATACACGTCCCGAATCCACCGTAGTTGCTGTTGATGAACGAGATGGCGTTTCCTTCGGCATCGGATACTGCGAAGTATACCGTGTCGCTGCTTTGCAACGCTGGCGACCCGTGGTCCACTACCTGGGATGCCTTATCCGTGTTGAATAATGCGGCGCGTTCCGCGAGGTACGGCTGTGAGAGCAGTCCGGGTGTAGGTACCTTGGTAACGTTAGGGTCGGTAACGAACCAGCTTGCGTCGGCAAAGGCAATTCGTAGTGCTTCGATGATAGTATGTAGATACGGTGCTGTGTTGAAGTCTGCGGGACCCCACGTCGGGATCTTACCCGCGGCTTCAAGTTCCTGGACAATACCCAGCGCCATCGGCGCCACAATGCCCTGTCCATTAGGCGGGTGTTCCCACAGCTCAAGACCAACGTCCTGTCCCTCATCTCCGCCGATAACCTTGTCTTTAAGAAACTCGCGGACATTTTGTCCCCGAAACTTCAGCGAGATAGGCTCAACAGGCTCACTGCCCGTTTCGAGATGGTGAGTTAGGTCTTCAAGTTCAAGATATCCACCGAGATCTTGTACTACTTTAACAAGTTCTGATGCTACACGGCCGGTGTAGAATCCCTTCTTGCCTTCCGTAGCTAAGGCCCGGAACGTCTGGGCCAAATTCGGGTTCTTCATGATTTCCCCTGCCCGAGGAGCACGCACGCCATTGTGCGCTCCGGGATCCTTCTTAAGCATTTCACCACCATTTGGAGATGCTCCCCTTATTTGTACTTCTGATTTATCCCACTGGCGGAAAGTGTCTAAGTTTCAGTCTAACTTGTCTCCTGAATAGGCTTAGAAGGTGTGTAATTACTTACAAAGTACGCAACTCCTTCTGAGACGGGAAAGCCTTTTTCTCCAAGTTCGATGGCTGGTGCTAGGACCTGTTCTAAGGACAACTTCCCGCTACCAAAGCGCTGGATTGTGTCGTACCACCCGGCCGCGGCGCCGGGCACGGAGACGGCATGCACACTGCTCATGGGGATCTTACCACATTCGCCATCTTTGATTCCCAGCGACTTGCGAATCGTCTCGAGCGTGCACTTGTTGCCCGAGCGGCCAGAGCCGTTTAATGCTGAGACTTTTTTTGTCTTGGCGTCATAAAAGAGACAGAACATGTCGCCACCTATTCCCGTGGAACATGGCTCCGTCATGTTGAGCCCAGCAGCTACACGATCCTATTAGTCGTTTACACTTTACCATATAGTTTTATTAGGTCGTACCGACGGCCACAGCCGCATCCTGATGGAGATATGAGCATCCAATTCGCACCAAGATTCTGTTAACAAACACATACAGCACAGTTACCCCCAGCTTCCAAGACTTGGATACCACATTTCGCCGCGAGGGGTTGTGTACACGATACGATACCTTTCGTACTATGGACTACACTTCGCCGGCTTGGGAACTTAGAAAACACATGTGATTCCGGAGGGAACAACGACGGCGTAGCGAGAGGCATTTTGAGCAGTCAGTCTCGTATAATAGCGGGGTATAAACACATTCAAAAACAGTTGAAATGATAACGAGTAGTGAGATGAGACAAGATTATAGCTTTAGAGTTCACCCTCTCGGGAAGACGGGAGTTCGAATGACGCTTGTATGCGATTACCTCCAGTATCCGCGGTCGTAGTATGTATCTGCCAAGCTTGTAGCCGAAGGCTTAAGCCTGCCTCGGCAAATAGTACCTAATAGTCTTGCTATAGCGTAGTCGGGACCCCGAATTTCGGAGCCGTCCGAAGTAACGGCGCCTAGGAAACTTATCCAATTCGGGATTAAAAGTATGGCCAATAAATGGGACATTATATTCTCCTCCTATCTTATTATACTTATAGTTACTTGAATATTATATAACCTAAAGATTTTGAAATAAAAAGTATAGCATTCCGCGTATGATTCTCGTATATACATCCTTTTAAATGGTTCTTTTGGTATAGTTATCATGTATCGCTACGGTAAGTTTGAACCCCTCTGAATACCCCTCCACGCATTCGTCCAGTTACTTTAAGAACATATCCATCCTATCCCTATATTTACAACTCGGCTACCCTCATATCGTTTAATAGAGGAAATAAACCCTAAAGCTGCTCAACAATATGCTGTTCCTGGGTACCCTCCGGCCATAAAGCCGGCCCAGGAGCCGTGTAATTCGTCAAGGAAGACCAGAATACCGGGATCAGTATCCCCGGCTCATCCCCCCTGTACATACCGGGGATCTTGACTAGCGGACCAAGATCCTCCTCCCTTACGTCCGCGCCCGTCTTAGTCACATCTTCCTCCCCCGCAACGACTTTGATCTGTGCGCACGACACGTAGAATTGGGCTTGCGCCCATTTGTGCGCCGCGTGTAAGGCCAATCCCTCGGCTCGGAGGAGATACTCGCCTGGCGGAGTCGAAGTCGGCAGCGCGAACCGGAAAGTCTCGATGTTGTGCGTGGCCCACGTGAGAATCTTATCGTCATTAGTAGAAGAGGAATTGGTGGAATTGGTTGGCGACGATGTGAGCGAGTAGACCCTGGCCCAACCCCCAGACCCATCGTAATCAGCGGCCGTGATACCTTCAGGTGCTCTAGATAGATATACCTGTTGGATTCCTGGGTGGCCGAAGTGTTTGTTGATCCTGAAACCGACCTTGTCGCCGGCGCGCACCGTGTGAGTCTCGGCTGGTTTGGCATCCACGTTACACCGGAAGTTAATTGAGTTCACATTCGTCAATGGCGCATTTGAGTTATTATGCTGGCGGATATACTGCCAGGGCTCTCCAACGACTTCATTGTTCACAATTAGTCGACTGTAGGTCCAGTGACCCAAAGCTGCCGGTGCGCTGCTGGTAAGGACAAGACCATAGAGGATCGTTTTCGATATCATCCTGTTTTCTTGATTTTCGCCAATATGTTGACTGAGTATAATGGCCCGAGACTAGGAATTGAACATCATGCTTTCCATCTTCTACTAATGTTTAGGCTACATACATACTTATAAAACACTGGAATCGATATGTTGCAGATCGATTCCTTACTAGTCATATAATAATACAAACCAGACCCATCTTTGCGCAGTGCTATGAGATTACTCCGTCAACAATAGGCCGAGAGAAAAGATAGAAAATTCGTATTTCTGATCACGTACATAAAGGCTAAATATGGCCGAGTTTAAACCCAGATCAAGATAAACGATCCTGAACCTCAATGAGAACTCAGCAAGATGATAGTTAACGGAATACGAATTAAGTAATAATAGACTGTTGGCTGTTGACTGTTGACTGTTTTTTTTTTAAAAAAAAAAAGTTTCGCTGGCGCGATTAAGGATTATCTTTACTCATAGTTCAATATCAGTGTCTGTTCCTTATTCCTGTCAGGGGACAGGTAAAACTAGTATGAATTAGGTATACATCTACGTAGAATATATATATAAGTGGCGCACAGCGCCCTCGTAAGAGGATAGAAGGTCGGGCGTTAATAGATTCATATTAGTTCCTTAATAAATCTGTTATTTAATAATTAGATCTCATGAACCTTAAATGACGGATCGTATTTCTACGTAAGTATTAGGTTATTACTATTAAGTACATGAGTTCTTGGGATAATAGTTAGCACTAACAATATCTTATGAGGTAGTTGTAGAAGTTATAGTAGGTTGTACCTATACTCCACGGCCTTTCCTCCATTATTTAGAATATTCGAAACTCATACCGATCGGTATTTTACATAGGGATATACAAACCATCAACAAATGCTGTGGAGCGTATGTGTTATATTTAAACCCCCAACGCAATATTAATAGAAGAAAACAGGTAGTGTGAGCTATACGTAGGTCAAGGGACATTACTTATCTAATATTTTTATGTACCCCTGCTTGATAGTCTCCGAAAGTTGGGAATTGTGAAAACGAAAATGATTTTTAATGGAGTTAACGTATTGGAAAACAATAGTCGATGGGATGCGCGTCTACAGTGGAGCAAAATGGATGGCAAATTATCCCTCAAAAGCTGCATGGCTTTAGTGAGACCTGGATTTGATCAATACATCTCTGGCGTCACTTGGTAATTATACGTTGAACCCATAGTATTTATCAAGATGAGGTGGTAAATCCTGAGCTAACATACAAGGAGTAGAACTAGAGTAGAACTAGCACTTTTGGTTTCGTTGTCAGGGCTACAAGCAGTTCTGACCACGAGTCATCCCCACAACAGTATTTACGATACACCTAAAGACTAAGGGAGCCAGAGAGGAATAACCTGAATAAGATACAGACTTGCCCTCGTGAGTCAAGTAGAATAGTGGGAACTGTCACGAGGTAAATCCAAACAGCATGGAAACAACTTTGTTATTCCGCAAGGAACTCTAACTTAACTACAGGAGTCTACGTATATACATTAGGTACCAAACCTGTTCTTTGTTCTAGATGTCTCATCTAGATCCTGACAGGAACTGTGTTGCTTGGTAAACCAAAATGCGCTTTCTTAACTTCTAAAGTATTATTTCTAAAAGACAGTGACTGTGCGCTGTTTGTGGTGATTATGGAGGAAAAGCCCTGTAACTGTGAAAAATGAGCCCACCATCATTGTAATTTCCTAATAATATGTGCTTGCTCTAAATGTGTATCCGTGCACCAGCAAAATATTCGTAACCTTTAAAACTACCGTATACAAACGCTTATGAATTTTAGACGAAATAAAATCGGCAACTTCCTTCGCACAACAAAAACTGCCACATTACCGACACTCCCAATTACGACTCTAGGAGTACTACATACACAGCCTAGTCAATATGGAACCAGGAATTCCCCTTGCCCCGTGGGAACCGCTCACTAATTGGTATGATACCAAATTAGAAGACATCATACCCCACCATGGATTTGTCTTCAAAGAAGGCCACAAGATCTTCAAAGCCAAGCAAGACTGGGTTCGAGTCAAATGGGCCATCGAGGCACCCGCGCCTACCCTCGAAGAAGAAAAGGTCGATGCCGTACTAGCCGCTATCATGAATGATGCGAACATCATTGCCAATACCTTTCAGCAAACTTATTTTGCTTCTATCGACTACAGCCGCTTCCCTACTGATGCCATTCTCGAATCAGCGCGTAAAGGGCACAACTGGACTGAAATTGTACCTGATGGTCGATTCCCCCTTCTCATGAAGAAACTGATCCGCGCACGCACTCTTTACAACCGAATCACCTGGATTCTGGGTCGTTCCGAGGCCGAAAAGAGTAAGCAGCAGGGAAAGCTGGCAACAGCTATCGATGAGTGGACCAGAACGCGTCCGGTCGACAATCCCAAACCGTGCTACGCGCGGATGCCTCAGTACCTCAAAGACTACATGATCAGCCGAATGATCGAGGGAAAGGGTGCGGATTGGAACTACTTCAAGGGCGACCACTCAGACGACGACAACCCTGCTGACTACGGTGCGAGCAAGGGCACGAAGAAGAAACCTAAGAAGATCTTGAGCGATGAAGACGCGCCCTGGGTGCACACTAATTACGCGTCTAACTCCAAGTCCGTGCTAGAGTCAATGGAAGATGAAGACGACGAGAATGCGCCATGGATTCCTTGGTCCCAAACTATACGTGCACGCCAGCTAATACACAACCCTATGAAAGAGGAGCGTTTGTTGTCGTACCACATGTGAGCAACATGAAGGAATTACGGAGGGTATTCGGGGTGGACACGGAGCAGGCACGGAAAAGGGGGGATGAAATACGGAATGAAACAAGGTAGTGGGGCCGATTGTTAGCGTTAAGAAACGGAAGAGGCCGGTATGTATTGTGAGCTGGGACCAATCAAATTCTGATCGCAAGCCCCACCTACCCCTCGTCAAAGGCTTTGAGTTAGCAGCTTAAGTACTTGTACAATAGCGCAGAAGGGGGTGCTAATTACCTATGTAAAACCCCGCAGTCTGCCGTCATGCGATTAAGACTTTACAAATACATCATATACATCATATGACCAATTTCCATCCCCCAAGCGGCCGCCACAGTTTTTGGAGAAACGTAAGTTATTCTCGTGTTATTGTTCCTATCCAGTTACTTTGCTCGAGATCTCGTTACCGGTAGCTCGGTGGTATGACGCTGCAGCCAAGTGGGCTGGTCCAAGATCTGGGATGAACCGCAAGGAGCTCCCTAGCTAGGAAACATATTTCTATGCCAACTACAAACGGAAGCTTAGCTACATACATATCAAGCGAGGCCTCGCCTGTGATCTGCTTACCTAACAAAGACCTGACCTTGAAGCTCCGATCTCGTCTTCGGAGCTTGCCATCATCTTGACGTTTTGATGTTATTTAGTTAAACTTGATCCTGCTGTAGATTGAACCTGTCCTGACCCATTGCCTCTAGACTTAATTAGTTTCTTAATTGACTTAAACCATCATATCCACCGGAATTTCTACCACCTAAGAACATAAGGAGAAATAGCAAAAAAAGAAGCTATGCTCCAAGCCATCTCTTCTCAACACGATGCCCACCACGAGCGGCGGCGCAAGAATTCTCTCGCGAGTCTAACGGGCTCGCTACGGGATAACAAAACACATCTACTACTTGCGGCCTCCGGATCCGTCGCCACCATCAAACTACCGCTGATCATCGAGGCACTGTCGAAGAGGCACTCGGCACGGAATAGTGGCAAGAAGCTCAGCATCCGCGTGTTGCTAACGCCAGCCGCATCACGTTTCCTCGCCGGCCAGTCCCACGAGCAGCCTCACGTATCCTCGCTACTTTCCATGCCATGCGTCGACGGCGTCTACGTAGACGCAGATGAGTGGCGCGAGCCTTGGAAACGCGGCGATGCGATTCTGCATATCGAGCTGCGGCGGTGTAAGCATGCATTCTGCTCCTAGCCCTTGGTTTTACCCCTTAAAAGCGTATCGCGTAGACTAACTCGGAAAAGGGGCCGACCTCCTCGTCATCGCCCCCCTAAGCGCAAATACAATGGCCAAGATTGTAGGCGGCTTTGCTGATGGCATTCTGACAAGTGTCGTGCGCGCATGGGACGTATGGGGCGAGCTCGACAGCGATCTGGTTCTTGCTAATGGCGAACAACCCTTTCTCAACGGAAATGGGAGACGGCAGAAGAAGCATATTATTGTAGCGCCGTAAGTAATCCCACCATCTTTCATTAGATATTCGGGTATTAAGGGTCTATTTATGTTATCACAAGTCGCATCTGAACTATATCACTGACTCAGCATCCCAGTGCCATGAACACAGCCATGTGGCGACACCCGGTTACGGCTAAATCACTACGTGTTCTAGAGGAGGAATGGGGAGTACACCGCAACAGCAACAAAGCAGCGCAAGTACCAACTGCGGATGAGAGCCACACAGCAGAAGATCAGGTTGAAAACGCTGATACCGACGACGATGGCGGCTGGTTTGAAGTTCTACGACCACAACAGAAGACACTGGCGTGTGGGGACGTTGGAGATGGCGCTATGATGGAATGGAACGACATTGTGACTGTTATCGAGGACAGACTAGGCTTAAATGAATGAGTGGGCAGTTCATTAATTTGCCATCCAAATTTGGCTGGGTTACGTAGAGCAGTAATACGGGTGGCTATACAGTACTAGGAATAGGGGTTAGGCAACACAAGAAGCGCGGTTTTATGTATTAATGTACTACTATAAGTACGAGACTCAATATGAATAAGGGGCCAACCCTTGCTTGATTTGCGGGAACCAAAAAAAAGTGCCATTATGACTGAGCAACAAAGATGGAAAGACACAAGCCGATCTCGGACAAATCGTCGAGATTGATAGGCCAGGTCCGCAAGTTCATCGTCAGGTTTGCAAAAGCTCGAAGCAACTATTATACATTCCTCCTTGTGATCATCTCATCCTTCGTAACACCTGTGTCGTACACCATCCCCCCTGAATATGAATCTGACAACGTCAGAATGCTACTTTTCATGTCGTTTCCTCTTGAACAAAAGAATTTCGTAGTAACTCAATGCGAAGCCCGGCAAGGTGAGCAGTATGAGAGAACACATGCTACCGGCCTGCTTGCGTGTAGAAAAAAGAAGAGAAGAAAAAAAAATTAAGTTCAGACTGGCCGACGAGGCCGGTTGTAATGACATCCCGATCAACCAACGGGAGTACGATGCAAGAATCCTTTTCATGCCGTATGCCTCATATTCCTCTCGTGAGGCGAACTCCTTGCAATGCAGACTTTTGTACAATAACGAAGGAAAAAGTGTAGATATAACTCAAGAGTGGTATCTGTAAGCCGAGTCTTGGGTTAGGTCGTTCTGGTACTGGTTACTCTAGTTCTGACCCTGGTCCTGAAGATCGTTCGGGTCGTGCCGAAATGTGCAATTGCTGCCCTTGGCACACTGACCCTTCGCCCAGAATGAGCACGGTTTCGTACCGATGAGGGAGCGGTTGATATTCTTTTGCTCCCTGTTACCTCGGAAATCCCTGCGGTTACCGCGGTCATTACTATCATGCTGACCTTGCGTCGCCTGCGGTTGATTGTGCTGGGATTGGCCGCCGAAAGATTGATTGTTATGACCATAAGCAGTATACGCCTGGTTGGCTTGGGGCTGGATCTGAGGCTGAGCCTGGTTTTGAGACCAGTCTGGCCAATAACTCTGAGGCGCGGCGTGGGAAGCAGCATTGGGAACGATATTGGGAGCCGCATGAGGGGTGGCATACGCCGGCGCTGAGGCCAACTTTAAGGCATCTAAAATTCCTTGTAAACCTTGCAAAGGATTGGCCGGCTGAGCTGGTGGAGGCGGAGGGCCTGACTGCTGAAGTAACGCGGCAAAGAATGGTTGTTGGGCAACAGGATTCGGCTGAAGAGAAGGGGCCACAGGAGGCTGGACACTAGGCTGGAGAGCTTGACCAGCACTGAGGGCATTGATTTTCTGAAGAGCTTCGAGGTACTCTGGTGGAAGTTGTTGCTGAGGCTGCGGCTGCGGCTGCGGCTGAACCTGTTGTGCCTGAACGTGCTGTGGCTGGACCAGCTGTTGATATTGTTGACCAGCATTTGCTTGGGGCGTGGGTGGCTGGTTGAGAGGGGCCTGTTTACTGATAAACATTGCGAACGTATCCTCCAAAGCATCGATGTCTGCTTGAACCTTAGGATCCCCATAATCATGCCGACGGTGAGTCTTGGGATGTGCTGGGTCGAATGGGTCTGGATCTACATAGTTCTTGACCTTGTCAGATTGTAGTAAGGCAAGCACTTCTGAACCATCATCTCTTCCACTTGGAGCATCCCACCCACTGCGACTACGCGCCACATTAGTAAAGTTCGTCGAACTATGTGAGCCTTTCAATCTATGAAGAGCATTGACTCGCGCCGCCTCGCGTCCGAAATTTATGTTGTCGGACCAACGATGGTGAATCTCTGCACGTTTGGCATTCGTCACCGGTAGAGATTCATTCCATTGTGTCGGGCCTGATGGTAGAGTTCGGATCTTTGGTTGCGTTATAGTCTCAGCGATCCTACCGGTTGGTGATCTAGGCGTCTCGGGAACTTCTGAGAAGCTTGTGTATATAGCCATCAACTCCCGGCTTTCGTACTCTTCCATCACCTTATTCTGCTTGGACTCAACGGGACGCAGGCCACCACGAGATACAAACATTTCCTCTTGCCGCTTTTGAGAGATACGGCTCTTTTGCGCCGGTGAATAAGGGGCAGGCTCGCTCCATTTTTGTAGGGCAACATCATTTGCTTTCTCTCGGGCGTCGTCTTCTTCAGCATCATCGACCCCTTCCTTTTCCCGTTGAACCGACTCTCTCAGCACCTGACCTTCAGAGCGATTGTCTCGGGCGTCTCGCAGCATGTTGTCGTCCCGGCCTTTGTCCTCGGCCGTATCGTGCTCCAAGATACGTATCTCCGTGAGCTCACTGTCCGGTTTCCAAGTAACATGCAGCTTTCGTTTTGCCTCCTTACGCAATCTGATCTCAGTCTCCTCTGGAGTCTCTGGGACTCTTTCCGGCTCCTTAGTTTGCTTGGGTTTCTCCTCCGAATTGATCTCAGCGAGGAGACCACCGATTGTGGAAGAGGCGGATTGTCGAGCAACCGGCTTCTTCGACTGTGCCTTGGCAGACAGCCGTGGTCTACCAGGGAGCATTGACCCGCTAGGCCTAGAGCGAGACTGTGCGTTCGCTGACGAACTTTGGGGAACTGCAGGAGCTACGTTAGATGATGTCTTGGCACTTGACGGGGCACCGGTTGCATTCTCGACGGCAAGTTTCTTTGGGACTCTCGAATCGACGCTATCATCCCCAGGCCTCTTGGAAGCGGTAAGAGAAGGGCTTGCTTTTGCAGCTGTGCTGCTAACCTTTCTAGCCGACCCAAGGCTGGAATAGTCGATAGGTCTCTTGATCTCTGCGTTCTTCTTCGACACAGCATCATTCTTCGAAAGAGGTGCCTTAGAAGGAGCTATAACAGGGTCCTTGATGCCCATTGAAGATGACTTCTTAGGACCCTGGCTAGCTTTCTTAGAATCCTCATTCTTCTTGGCATCCTCTCGAGTCTCCTCTGCTTTCAATGCGGAACGCTTCTTAGCATTGTCAAAGATCTGATCCATGTAATCGGTGGATTCTTCATCAAGATGGTCCTTAAATTTCTGTCGGACGCGATCTAGCTTGACTCTCTCCTTCAAGAATTCCATTTCCACCGTAACAAATAGCGAGAGGAGTTTTAGGATAGCCTTCGGTAGGCGGCCGTTGTAGTCTTCAGCCATGAAGAGGGTTCGTAGTAGGATGGAAAGGTTGCCGAGGAATTTGGTATGTATACCTAGTTGAGTGACGGTGAACCTATCGCCAAACATGATAGCGGCTTCAATAGCAACACGGATCAAGTCGTATGTGGTGTCTAAATCAGCTTTAAGTGATGTCGCTTTAGCCTGATCGTTCTTCTTCTTGGCATCGTCAACTTTGCTCTTCAAGTCTTTGCTCTTAGACCACAGGTCTATAACATAATCGGCAAAGGCATGTAGCTTCTCCCCTACTATCTTCTGTGGAAATTCAGGATGCTTAGGATCACGCCATAGAATGTTGATAATATCATACTCTATGGCCTTTAGAGCATCGCTTGGCCGACGAGTTGACTTGATCTATTTGGAGTCGCGTTAGCCCTGGGACTTGGTATAAATAGCCAAATTTGGGAAGAAGCCAAAGCAATTCCAGAAATTGAAAATAACATACCTTTCGCGCTGCAGTATCTGTCGCGCTCTCTTCATCTTCAGGCACATTCTCCAAGCTTTTAGGCCTTGAAGCAGGATCCATGTTGGAAGCCTGACGTTTGGAACTGGCTTTGACTTTTACTTGTGCACCAGGTACGAGGTCTGCAGTGAGATATTAGTTTAGCAAATCAAGGGAGAAAAAAGACCAGTGTAAATATTTCTAATGTGACAAGGGTTGAATGCTTACCTTTAGATCCAGACACAATAACAGGTTCATTCTCCAATTGGGTTATCTGACTTTGCAACTTATCTTTCTCAGGTTGAAGCGCGTTGTCACGTTCTTTAGATAATATGTCAAGTTCTGCCTGAATTTCACAGGGAAGTCGACCCTGACGTTGGGGCAAAAGGGTGATTGTGCGCGGGTCGTGTTTGGCAATGTATGCTTTATCCGTGTTTCGTAGGTTCTTCACGTCGCGATATCTACCTAGTTGTGTAGGCGGCGCATTTTTTATGAGAAGGAAAGGGCACCCGTCAGGATTTACCCAAGAGTTGTCGGGTTCCTGTGCAACGGTTTGATCACTTGAAGGCGGTGGCCCCACAGCTGCCGTTGACTGAGTGTCGGCTACGGCTGCAGCTGCGGCTGCGGCTGCGGGGTGTGCTTGAGGTGTCGGCACAATACCTTGCATCTGTTGATGCTGCGAGTAAATCTGACCGGAAGTTTCCTGAACACCTGCATTCGGACCAGGCTGGAACTGCATAATAGTTCCACCTCCTGCTTGGTGGCTTTGGAAAGCCTGAAGCATAGGTTGAGCTTGTTGAGATCTGAAGCTTGTTGGTCCATTCCGAGCGCTGAATACTTCCTGATTAAAGAAACTATTTCCTTGGTAAGGGCTCATGTGCTGCTGGTATGTTTGATCACCATTACGATGACCATAGTTAACAGGAGTTACGTTGAAATCCGATTGGAACTGTTGAATTGGAGGGCCTTGCCATGGCTGAGAGCTGAAAGTACTTGGCGTATGGCTATGAGTTCGACTAGGCTGTTCAGTCACGAACTGACTGTGGACTTCCCTATTCGAGAACCCTGTTTCATATCCTGGGTTGATGTTGAAAGAGGAGCTCTCGTATGGATGTTCGAACTGGCCATGGCCATGGAGACCACCTCCATTTGTGTTCGCACCACCAAATCCATGAGGATTTTCGTAGTATCGTCCATGATCCTGAAGGTTACCTTCTCGAAACTGTCCCTGGAGATCAAACTGATTTCCAGGATGATTTGTATGTGCAGGATAAACATGGGCGTGGGTGAGATTGTTAGCCTCCGGTGTTTGGAATCCTTCCAGAGAGCCTATTGCGATGCGTCCCTCTTCTGTTTTGAGGGTACCAGCACCATATCCATTTGGATCCCAGCCAGAGGCATGTCCTGCCATACTGGCTATGATGTTTCTTTTAGGGAGCACGTGATAGGGGATGAATAGTGGCACGTGATTGATTGATTTAGGAAGA